ATTCGAGGTACCCGCTGCAGACGCCACGAATGTACCTGTCGCACGTGGTGACCTACCACGTGGAGGATCCACGACAACAGACGACGAATCGACTGCTGCTGAGGTGTGAGAGGCACTTTCCGCGGCCACACGCATGCGTGCAGCCAACCGTCTTGCTGCTGCAGTAGCAGCTCGCGCGATTTTCGAAACCATGCGTTGGATTGGCAAATGAATGGGATTTGACCAACAAGTGCTCCCTTTCCCAGAGTGATTCAAACGGTGGTCACCCTGTCCCAATCAATTCTTATTCAATCAACGGGTGATTGATGGTTGTGGGGGGGGTTATGTAACGGGGTAGCCCGTTACATGATTTTGACACCAAACGGTGTCAATAGGAATATTGTTTAGCATGACAATATCCTGCCAACATTATCCGAGATGGATAATATTGAAGGAACTTTATCACCTTTTGTATAATATACACGCGCTGCTTAAAGATTAGTTGATAAAAGATATATCAACCATAGATTACCGCTAATCGCTGCTAGACGCGTGCAACGAGTGGTGAGCAGGATGTCGTCATACGACGACGTAGTTTAACATAGTTAGATAAAGAATAAAGTTATATTGATAGCTTAACTATATTAAATACAGTTCTCTTTTACCCTTTACTTAAACAAGTTGTTTGAGTAGATTAGCTTCCTCTGCACGTACTAGTGTACGTGAAGTTTCGTGGCACCCAGACAAAGGGTGCCCCGTTAAATGTCGGTCGGACATTCTCAGAAAACTACATTGTAGCTTGGGTCAGCAGGTAAAATGCCACACTGATGCAGGAGTCGAGCTCGTAGGAACGCATGGATAAACGAACAATAAGAAATTGTCAGCTCCGGCGATCTGCTTCAGCTGGATGTCCTTAGGCAGGAGGTATAAAATTAGCCGATAGATGGCCTGACTCATAGCCCTGGAACTACAAGGAGATACCACCGTCAAGATCTAAGGTGTCGTAAGCTTTACTAGGGGTCGACTGAGAATTTGCAGGATTTGTCTTACATCTCTTGCAATATTTACCGACATTTGAAGCGTATCCGATCATTCACAAGCCCGTCATTGGAGGTATATGTCCTTGCGAGATCCCGTTAAGTGCATCATAGGAAAGTTTTATGTGTAACGATATTGCGTATCACACGGACAATGTGGAAGTATTACCCTGCCTAGATCTTTCTACGAGTAAAAGAAGTTAAAGATAAGTAGCGCCCTCCACATCAACAACAAACTACCGGATGGACATGTAACTCATCTGGCTAATTTTTAAATACAAGAATTGCACCCTTAAAGAGCGTTCTAATGGACCTTCTGCTATCTTACTACAGCTCGTAGCTAAAATGTACCGATGACAGCGTGTTCACCCTCGATTACAGGTTCATCCACGCAGGTCTTTATTACATCAAATTCTTCATTCGTCACTTTGACGTATAGGACTTCGCTGGTACTCAACCAGCTAGAGCAAATGATGGAAGTGACGACCATGGATCGGCGATGATGAATATTGCACAGTGATCAAACGTTCTCGATACAAGAATCGTAAGTGATCTTATTACGCTAACGGCTTGTTACTACTATAATATGGAATCTTACCAATGATCGATGATCGAGCGAGACGTAAACGACATCCGCTACACGCAATAGAGGCGGTTTTGTTTTACATGGGGACGAAGTCTTGGCTTTCGGATTTCGATATTACTAGACGACTGCTGGAACAAGTTATGGAATGCGGGAGTATTAATGACCATCACCGCCATGGGTCAACACAAACGGGCAAAAGCTTTGTGATGATGAGGGACGGACTAATCTATAATGGAGATCTAAGGCTGTAGACAGCATACACATACCATGCGTCGGTGGCGAAAATCTATCCGTGTTTAGATAATTTCTCATACAGAGATCCTAAGTCAGCACAAACAGCAAGACTATCCGACTAAGCAGCAAGAAACTGTCGTTTCATTTGTGTCTTTCTGGGTCGAAGGAGCGAGGTCTGCCGTTTAAGGTTTACTTTTCTTAGGTTCAATTACGTCTAACCAGTAGCAAAAAAAGGTCGGATTTGCTGATGTAGCACTTGACGGCGAATATACCGGTCGTGTTCGAGAACGACTTAAACTGCTACAAAGGTTCAAATATTCTACATTTCGTGTGGTCGGCAATCGAATGATCAGGTATTTTTCCACATTGCACAAACTTCTGCACGTTGAGTGAGTGCCCAAAGGAGGCTGTCAACGTTAAGCGCCACATTTTCGCACACAGACTGTGACACCATGAGGCATAAGTGCTCTGGATATGCGCTGACGTGAATGCATGGAACACTTTGGTCTCCGGTACAAATTGACACAAAGAAATACATAATGAATCAACAGCACTAGCCATGCTGATCAAAACTCATACTGAGTGGCCACGGATATAGCCTCTCCAAAGTAAGTGTTTAGAGCGTGTACATGCTTGAGATCAGGGTGAAAACGGAATGACGCTGCCTGACCTCACCCCACAATGTCGGTGTAGCGTTCAAGCGCAACCACATCATGAAACGGATAATAAAAAATGGTTTGCCGGGACAATAAGACATCGCGTTTTAGCCACGTAGGTTGGCGAGTTTCCAGTCTACATTCTTGCAATTTTGACAACCCTTTCAACGAAGATTGACGTCATAGGCTCAAGCGTTGTCTGTATTTCTACGCACTGGAACAGATCCAACACATTCGTCGGTTCAACCCTCTTCGGTCAATCATGCGCAGCAAGTAAACATTGTTGCGTAATCAGGATAACGAGACGCGAAACAACCAGAGCCAACCATGGCTTTTTCTGGAGAGAAAGCAGTCAATCTCCTTAGCATGCACAGCACGTTGATCACTAAACATGATGGGTCTCATTGCGGCATTGCCGTTCCTTTGGCCAAGTCTTTGTACTAAACTTTCGAGACTACAGTTTGATCAATGGTCCAACGACAACGCTGTTGTATATATCTTGTGAAGCTAAAGTTATGTTTGGCAGGGGTTCGACATTACTAGCTTGCCTGGAAGGTTGAAAAGTGGCATGCTAAAATGGACTATTTCTTTTGCTATTATGCCGAAGCAAATTGTCAGAAACCTCGGTGCCGTCATTCAGGGTGACAAGCTTCGTACTCCTGACCAGACTCGCTAACGCAACTGGTGTTGCAAACTGGGCCTAGAATGTATCAGACATCCTGCAACCAATACAAAGGTGAAGTCAGCACGTCTGCCGTTTTCTAAAGCGGACGGTTTCCATAGACAAAGTTGTACCTACTATTGGTGAACAAACGTGATGTTGTACGCTAAGATGATCTGGTCAGAACATATTGCCGCAGCTCTGGCCAACAGACAGACGAACAAGCACATTCGGCAATAGTGGTGTTTTCTCAAATGATGTAATGAATAGGCGAAACACCAGGTGTAAAAGCCGCCCGTTGCGGAACGCATACCGACGAGATGCTCCTGCGAATAACGTTTTTGACCTCTATGATGTCGAGTTGATCGTAAGTCAGTCCAGGAAATAGCATGCAAGGTGTCTGGGATTCTGCCTTCTTCGTCAGACACATTACGTCAAGCTTGTAGTGTATCTCTCGTGCTGTGTGCTCAATGCCTGATCTACGATGCAGCCGTCTGCAGACAACATTGCGCGTCACACCTCGGTACGGGCGGACAAGCAAATGACTATCGCAATCAACTCGATATCCTTTCGATCTTGACCTAGCTGCTCTCACGAAACTCGACAAGGCTGTACCGAGATGTCACGCTGCAACCAATCAACTGGCGCTAGTCGCCAGCCTTGTAACAGTCGGGGTTAAGTCCCATTAATCATCCTGTGAAAGCCTCTCATGATGTGAAAGAGACCTGCTATCTACAGCGGAGCCACCATAAACATTATTGCTTCGTTCATGTAACTTCAGTATCCCAAAGAACTGGTATAATTTGTTTAAGCAGGATCGCATGCGTTACGTACAAAAGTGCACCGCCTTACAGCGTATGTGTGACCAGACCAAGATGCTTCGCCACCGAGTCGTGCGACGTCATCAACACAGCTCTCAGTCAAGACCGAACACATCCTAGAATCTGATCGCGCCGTGAGGAATTCTCGACGACCAAATGAATTGCGAATCACATGAAAAAAGTGTCTTCAACTCGACGAATTCTAGAAGACACTTGGTGAGAAGGGACGTTACGCCCAGTCTCGCTCGAGTTAGCAGCGTCCTGTTGACGCCCCATCTCTTTCAGACAGGCGTTAAAGCTACAATGGTGCGTTATTCGGGCTCAAACTTGAGGTCCTGCATTGCGCAGACCGCGATTGTTATCTCGTTGGAGCGAAAAAAAGAGAGCTACTCCCTCAGAGACATAAACACGCTTTGAGTATTCATACCGACGTTCGCTAAACGTTGGCCAGAATACTTGTATCGTCAACGATGAGCGTCTTGTACCAAGTGTTTTTAGCTCACGCTTCTCGTTGTTCAGCAGCGGTATTTGTCACTTTTTGCGTCGATGCTCATTCACGCCCGGAGTGCCGAATGCCCAGGCACTTGGATTAGCCGAATACCGACTTTCGTCTCGAATGCAGCGGTCTGTATACAGGGCTCTTTCAGGAGCAAACGAAGTATCGAAGATGATATAAGGATCCCCTCCTTTAGCATTCGGTCTGCCATGCTGCGTTTCAAGGCGTTCAATGGCTGGCGTGCCAGAAGCATGCGGTAGTCTCCTTTACAAACAAAGCCAGAGTGAGCGCCTCTTTCCTGCGTACCAAAGGACCGATTGTCTACAGTGTTACTGATATCGGACAAGCCGCGCTTCTACACGCGTCGTTTCGTTCAAAGCAGTCTGCACATGATCACGATCGTCTCATCCCTTGGACTGACTCCGACACTGGTAAGCTGTCCCGTTTGTCTCCGTTCTCAGCTCTACATCCGGTTCCGGGACCGTAGCATGAGCTTCGTGATGATTTCATGACCGTCTATTAACATATGATTATGCTAAAGATGTCTGAAAACTTCTAAGCCAGGACAATAGCTCCGGAACTGGTAGCTTGTCGTGGCTGTCACCTAAAGGTATCGGCCCATCCCGAGGTTCGAGAATAAAGAGGTCGATACAGGTATGCATGATAGCCCCGGCGACAGCTGTGGCGGGACCGCGATGTTCGCGTTTCGCTAATGCGGTAAGATGTCGAATTCCCAGCGCCCAAAAACGCGCGGCGCTGTGGAGAGGCGTCGACTGCACTCCTCGAAAAACCGCGTCGTTCCGCTCATTCCATAAGTGGGACAGACAAATGCTGCTCATAATAAACCAGAGACGCTTCCAAACCGCGACACCAGCCTCTAAGTCCTCCGGGAGCATATGGTAAATCCGAAGACGCTGCTTGGACGGTATCTCCGGCGCGTGACGATTCACACTCCCGACGAACCTACACTCTCCCCACGTCCTCCCAGCCCTTTCACCTGTCCAATGGGTAATGAGTTGACCCCAGCACGCGCGCGCCTTGGGGCAGTCCCAAAAGATGTAAGCCGGCGTTTCTTTGCAACCGTGACACGCCGATAACACCCGGCAACTATTGTCCGCCGGACGGCCGGCATGGTACAAGTTGAGTTGCTTGGTGGCTATACGATAACACGTCCAGACCTGATGGTCGGAAAGGCCATTGGCATGCTTCCAAACGTGTGCCGGGTCTTGGTTTGCGGCAGCCCGCTGCCACTGATCGAAGTCACAGACGGCGTCCAGACGCCGCACCAGCGGTCGCAATGCGACTGCAAGAAGTCTTTTGTGAAACGTGAACGCCAGGCGTGAAATAGCTTTTCGTATATCTAAATTCGCGACCGACTCGGCGACGGCCCAAGGAAAGCCATGATGCCCGGGATGGGAGTAAAACACGACGCCGTGACGACGCAGGCGTAGGTCCCAAATGGATCTGTCCTCGTCCGAATTAGTAGCTAACTCTGGTAGGTGAGAGGTGAAAAACCAGCGAATTCCATCCGCACTCTGCTGCAGTTCAACAGGCTGGTCAGCGACTTCCAAGTACCCCTCTCGCCTCCCGACCACTCGACCTTGTTGCACCGAGGCCCAGGTCCATTCATGTCGAAAAGGTGGTGCATGGCGAAGAACCAGCTCAGGTTCGAGCGCTAATTCGCCCCCAATGGGAAACGTAGGGGATGCCAGCAAGATTGCCGTCGCCCACCGACGGAGTTTAGGCTGCGAGTGGTGAATAGATCGGGGTCCAACCGGCTTAATGCGATAAATAAATTCAGTTGGCCCTGTTCGCCGAATGTGCAGGTCCGAGATGGGGCAGATCGCGATCCGGTCGTAGGTAGCGGATTTTAACGGAAGGCCATTGCCGTCCTGGATCCACGGGTTATTACACCAGCCTAGTGTCCCCCAAAAGCGATGTAGCGCACACTGTTGAGGATCGAGCGCAGGTAACCCAGCCGGGAAAGGGTGATGATACGACAGAACCCATTCCTCCACCTCCCACCAGCTACTGGCGCCGTGGAGGACGGGGTGGTAGTACGTTCGTACCCGCTCGCTGAGTATGGTGGCTTGCTCTACCGTAGGGTGTAGAAGCTTGTCAACGTCCGGTACCCATGAATTTGGGGACGGTGCCCCGACACACGATGCAGCCCCAGCTGCCTGCGTCCTGCAATGGAGAACCAGGCTCGAATTTGTCGGCCGGTCTTGATAAGCCCACGCACTCCAGGCTCCAAAATACTTGTCCTGAGCTTGTGTGAGCCACTGTAAAGCGTGCTTGGTACGCTGCGTTTTAATAGCCACTTCCAAAGAGGCCAACCCAACCCCCCTGCCTTTTTGGGGGTGAAAAGTAGTCCCGGGTTAATCTTGTGTCGGCTGGCTTCCGTTGAAGTCGCATGAGCCCATTAAAATTGTTTGTACAGGTTGTGGACAGCAAGTCGCGCCCACTCAGGCATATCGAACACCGCCGCCGTGAACAGAACAGACGGGAGAATGATGGAGTTGAGGATCAACACCCGATTCGCCACACTGGTCGCCACCCTAGAAGCTGTCATTAGCCTCCGTTGAAGCTTCCGGATGCGAAGCACCCAGTTGCAATTGTGTAAGTGTCTCAGTCCGACTTGATAGCCCAGGTATCGCACCGTGTCCGCCTGTTGAAGGATCGGAATGCCCCGCATGTCAACTACGTGCACAGCCCGATTAAGACAAATGATCTGACTCTTGGAGGGTTGGGCAACTAGCCCTGATAGGGTCCCAAATTGAGAGAGAAGAGCTATCGCTGGCTCCAGCTGACTGGCCTTCTCGAGAAAGATCGTCGAGTCATCCACAAACGCCGAGAAAATGTGCGTTGCCGGATGTCGTCCAGGGACAGGAAGCCCAGACAAATCTGGTGATTGCTGTACCGCAACGCCCAATATCTCCACCACGACGAGAAAAAGCAAAGGGGCGAGTGGACAGCCTTGCCGAATACCGGAAAAGATGGAGATGGGACGAGACTGTTCCCCATTTACAAGGAACGCGGCCGTAGTACCAGTATGTAGTCGAGTAATAAGCTGAACATACCTTTCCGCGAAACCAAATTGGCGAAGAGCCTCATACAGGAATTCGCGATCGACCGTGTCATAAGCCTTGCGGAAATCCAGTAGGAGGATCACTCGGCTGTCGTCGGCGGATGTAGTTGTATCCGATGTTGCTGTCGCCAGTTGAGCGAGCATCATCAACACTAGTTTAGAGATCTGACGTCCGTGTACGAAGCCTTGCTGCGAGTCACCAATGACTTTTGGTAATACGCGTTGCAGTCGTGTGGCCAGCACCTTCGCAAAGATCTTGTAACTGGTTTGGAGTAGAGAAATCGGTCTGTAATCCATCGCATCCGCCGAGTCTCCCTTTTTACGCAAGGGTATGATCAAAGCTTCGAGAAACGAAGGCGGGGGATCAGCTCCAGCCAAAATTTGATTGCTGAGCTGGACCAGGGCGGGGACAAGAAGTGCAGACGTATCCTTGTAAAAATCGTTGTTGAGCCCGTCCAGTCCCGCAGACTTATGTCGACTGAGCCCAGAAACGGCTGCAAGGACTTCCGCTTCCGAAAAATCAGCCAAGAGAGCCCGGTTGTCGGCAGAAGACAAGACCCGGTCTGTGGGTAGATTGACAAAACGGCGAATGGCTGATGGCAAGTCCACTCTCTCCTCCTGGCAATGAACTTTGCCAAGGACTGTAGACCATTCGGAGGCAAATTTATCCGCGTTAGTCATATCCCGGGTAAAATGCGGACCGTGGATGCGCGAAATTGTTGTGACTGTTTGATTGCGTTCCCAGTCGGCAACCCGCTTGTAAAAATAGCGCAACTGGTCAGCCGTCCTGGCGAGCTTCTGGCCCAGTCCGTAGCATGAGCTTCGTGCATCCATCACTAGGAGAAGCCTGCAGAGCTGCCCATAACGAGGCAAAAAAGCCACTGCGGAACCTGCTGGCTTCCTCTTAACAAGCACCGCTTACCTCATCGATCTGAATAGGCACAACAGTAAAGGATAGAGCACGCATTGCGCTTTAGCTGATCCTCGCCCGTCATAGCACCACCGTGAGTCTAATGATCGAGTGAGTCATGCTGCGCAGTGCAAGTAAATAACGAGCTGCAGGACAACGCATTCAGCGACCTGTGCGTGCATTCTTTGCTCGTAACACACGCTCTGGTTCTTTTGGGGAGAGGGGAAGGTACAGGTAGGACATCGACGTTTTGTTCGGGAACATCAGGTGACTATGCTCGGCGCTATGATTGATTATCTTCCTGCGTCGTGGCGATTGAAAGTGTCGTTTGTCAGAACAATCTACGGACCATATGCCCTGCAAGTCGTGGCGACGAATCTGTGTTGGACTTGAAGAACGCCGTGTCGCCTGGTCAGCCGTGGAGCAGCTGTAATGCTGATGTTGAATGGCCGGAAGTCTCGGACTCTTGTCTGATTGTAACGTCGGACCTAGCCGTAGTACTACCGAAGATGCTATAGAAGTACCGTGGTTTGAAGGAAGATGGTCGGCAGTCTGTGCAAAGTCGACAATGACCTGTGTGTTGCTGTGGAAAGAAGTTCTGCTGGTTACTCTATCGCTGAGATCCACTGGAAAAAAGTGTGAGCTTCATCCAAGTCGGGGCCCTGGCCGCGTGCACAATTCAGCTTTTTCATGTACGCACGTGGCTAGCTTCTTTCGCAGCCGCATGCCATCACATGCACACTTGGCAAAGCTACGTATTTACACTGTCTGGAATCTAGCTTGGAGCCCTCAGCGAGATTTAGCATTGGTTTGAACTGAAGGTCATGCTTTGGGCGAAGGAAATGGTGGCAATCTAAGTACAAACGACATGGATCGTGCCCTGCAGTCTATCTCTCAGGATTTTTCGTTCTGCTACAGCGTCTTCTAACGACAGTAAAGTTGAGCAGGATTGTCATGACTTGCACACACGCGTCCGCTTCTCCCGCAGGAAGCTTTGACTTCGGTAAGCAAATGCCCCTCTGCACTTATAGTCGCACTCTGTACCTTATTTCAGATGACAAAGAAGCCCTTTGCGCTAACCCGTCGATCGTGCTGCGCTCGTCAACAACTTTCCGACAACAACTGTTCAAGAGCACGAATGCGAGTAGAGTACTGGTCCAACGCAACGTATGTCTCTTTCATTGTGCCGCCTATGAGCGTACGCAATCGAGAAATGTGTCGATTGTTTCAGTGGTTAAGAACCATAACACCGCTGGAACTCGCAGATATTTACGCGGTCCAGGTACATGTATATCTAGCAGCTTCTTAGACGACTGTCGATCATCAATCCAGCCTCATCTCGTGCTGGCCGCAGCAGCGTTCGATCCGTATGCGCTTCCGTATGTCGTTGCAAACCCAGGCCTGTCATCCTCTGCACACCCTTCACTTTCACCTTGTCGTATCGCTTTGATCTCGCCAAGGCGACAACGCCGATATTGCTCGGTCCCTTTTTCCCTACCGCGCAGAACTGGTCGACAGCTAGAGGAGCGACGGCAGTGTAGACAGGACAATGGCTCGGAGGTGACGAACAGGTTGCCACAACTATATTGAGTGAGCAGCTCGCAGTAATGTGTGAGACGACCACCTCTGCTGGCAGCTGTGCGATTACTATCGTACCATCTTCAACCATGGGACACCCTCTTTCACTTTCACGACCAAAAGACACGATACCAACGCATCCAGTGGATATTCCTGCTACGCATGACAATCCAAACAGTTCTCTATGTCGCCTTGAGAGAGCAGGTTACAATCGACCTGATCGGCTTCTGCTTGCGGTTCAAGCACCGAGCTGGCTGCGACACGACTCGTCCATTCGGGACACCCCCTCCCCTCCCCTGCCTTTCTGTCTGCCTCCTGTATTCAGGGAAGTAGTTTGTAATGGACAGGGCGAGGTGTCAGCTGGCTTGATAAAAAGTCGTTGTCCCTCGACTCGTGTGAGTCAGTCGCAATACCGGCTCCAACCAGATACAAAAGTCGCAATATCGGCACTAGTTGCAAAAACGAGCACCACTTTAGCACGGAATTAATGTAAACCACGCTATTTATGGTTTTGTGACTGAATGAAGTGAGTCATCAGGTGCCATGAGTAAAGTCGACATTGGATAGATACAATCATTGCATTGAGATGTCCGGCGAAAGAGCAGTGGTCTTAGACGCGGTTCATGGTGCCGCTCTGACTTATCGCTGTTCATTACAGTGATAAGGTCGCTGCAAAGCAATTTCATCCGGGTCATGCGTTTGATCCATTGATGGACTGCCATTTGTCACGACTGCGACCGCTATGCCCGACACCCTTCCAACCGAAACCCACAAGCGAGGATCTACTTCCTGTCACTTAACCGAAGCTGCAGCTCGTAGCTCTTCGCGCCATCATCTCAATTAACGAAAACATCAAAAGTTCGAAGATTGACGACTTCGTGTATATTGAACAGATTACATTTCTGGATGTATGTTGTTGCCTCATCCAGATCGACAAACCGGTATACGATCATGTCCGGTGCCACACGTTCTGGTTGTCAATGTTCAAATACAAGTTAGTCAACATACTGATGACTTACAGTCATGTTCTGTTCCTCGCCCCCTCCTGTCTTTTCTAAGGGGCGGTCTGTCTCGAGTGGCTCACAGCGGATCGAGGAATGGAGGGGATTCGATGTGGGTAGAATGATTTAGCGTGGTACACATTAAGTCCGTGCTGAACGGGTGCTGAGTTTGCGACTAGTGCTGGTATTGCAACTGTTGCATCTCATTGATGCTGGTATTGCGACCGACTCACGAGACGTTCAGGAGCAAGTCCTTCTGATAAGATCAAGCTCCCCATCTCTCGGAAGACTCCGCCTCCCGACAGCGACCGGTTCATTCACGTTCGTGCACAGCAGGGACCTCCTCCGCTTGTCTCTTCGCCTCGCACTTGCCAGTTTCAATTCGGCGCCCTAGGCACCTCATTGATCCCTTCGCATTGTCTGACGCTCGTCATCCACTCACGTAGCACCCCCGCCACTACTGCCACTGCCACTGCCACCACTGATCCATGGGCGACGACAACCCACTCGCTTTGCACGTTCCAATGCAGCAGCAGGACGACGTTGGCGCGCTGGATGAAGATTTCCTGGCCGAGTTGGCTGACGTGCTGTCGTTCGAGTCGCCGCCTCCAACTGCTGCGTTCGGGTCGACCGAAGACGTGCTGGAGGCCTCACTGGGCGACGAGATTGACGTGATGCTGTCCATTGATATCCCTCCTTTGACGGACGGGAAGCCAGTGCCGTCAGGAGATACTTTGGGAAAGGACAGAGGGGGTTCTCATCCGAAACCTCCAAAGGATCTGCCGGTACCGAAGAGCAAAGACGTGCGCAGTGCCCCGTACTCCAAGGCGCAGCGGCGACGCAAGCGTCCGAAAGACGAGCTCGATTACTTACGTGCCAAGGTGGCTGACATGGAAATTGAACTGCACAGCTTGCAGCTCGAGCCAGGAGAGGGGTCTTGTGCAGTGGCACTTTTCAATCACCAGTCGAGCTCGTCGCACAATACGCTGACGAGCTGGCAGAGAATTGCTGAGCGACAGAAGAAGGAGGTGGACCGCTCAATTGTTGAGAACTTGCGGCTGCGCGCGATGCTGGAAGGGCAGCTGGGCGTTGCAAGAAGCTTAGAAGCTGCTATTGACGAGTTCCAGCAAAAGGCCGCGCAGTCTTTTTCTTCGCTTTGCAAGGACAATGGACCTGGTAGTATGTCGCACTTTTCGGTCATGTCGGAAGAGCACATCTTTGCAAGCTTATCTGAAAGCCTCAAGAAGCAGTATGTGGAGCTTGACTCTGTTTTCGAGCACTGCGGGGTCACGCACATCGATCATGACATGAACAATGGCACGAAGGCGTACACTGATGCAAGTGGTGTATCAGTCCGCCACGTAGATGTTCGTTTGCTGCCGTTCTCGCCTGATGCCGTGCACCAAACGATGTGGGGTATTCTTCGACACAGCACGGCCAAGGAAATGATGACGGGATCTTTCCAGACTCACGTTGTCGACGAGAATCACATGAATGTCACGATGGTTGAGAAAATGGAGCTGGGCAAGTTCCGGACGACGAACGTCGTGCGTCGGTTCTCGTTCTGGCGTGTTTTTGAGAAGGACCGCACCGTGATCATGTGGAGTGCGTACGTCGAGATGGACGGGTCCATCTTCGTCCGTATTCGCGATAATGGCTACTGCGCGTTCTCTTCGTTCAACTTTGGAACTGATAGCTTTGGGGTTAGCGTCCCCGGCTCCGTTACTCGTATGGTGGTGCTGATAACTCCTGAATTGGCGACGCCGGGAAGTCTAGAGATGACAACATTCGCGCCTCCAGTGGAACGAAATAGTCAAATCGGAGAGCTGACCGAGCTAGTAGTGGGATCTTACAGGGTCAGCATGGGGTTGGTGCATCAGATAATTGACACGCTTTTGCTTCGAGATGCAATGGGCGGCAAAGCTATTGGAGATGCGCCCTCCACTTCGGCTGGAAGTCCGGTCGTGACGTGAAGCCGGACTAGTGAGTATGTTGCGAATGAATGCGCGGTATTCTTGAGCCTTACGTCGTGTTGTTCATACCATAAAGTGCACTCATACTGATCTTTTGCTGCCAAGACGTGTACGAGTTTTGCTCGAAACTGAGCTTGGCAAGGTACGTCTTTTTGAACACGACACAATTACAACATTACGATCGCGTAGCGAGATCGTGGTGTAGAACTTTGGCTACTTCATTACGCTAAACCAATCCAAAGGTGACCAATATCCTCTTTTTCGATCAAATTGCTCATTCTGGCAATCGCTTGGACGTTGTAACTCGGCGGTCGTTAGGGTGATGATCTCAGTGGACACCAAGTATAGCAACCTACTAGAGGGTAAAACGGATGAAATTGAACGCATCCGAAGGTGAACTGAAGTTCATCGCAATTTCAGCCATTTGACCCTATTCTGCTGCACTTTGAATGGCATTTCGCCAGTCGCGTCGGCTCTGCCACGCATGTTCAATAAGCCGCTTGTGCGTCCTTATCGACTGTCTATCATCATTCGGCATCACCAAGCTCCTCGTTTTGTAACCGCATTCTTTCTCCTCCTAGTTCTACTCGATTATCATTTGAGGAGACGGCTACTGTGAAGATGCTATGGCCAGTGTCAAGTGTTGGTCAAACTTTGTACTTGTCAAAAACAAACAAACAGTCGGTGCCTATCTATCTACCTACCTTTGTAAGTTGTGCCTGTATAGTCTGACCCTTATCATTATTTGCTGTTGTTACGTGCAAAAACTATAGACTTGCAGGGACGAGCATGGCCTCGATGGGTACTGGATGTGACGCTCACGGACAAGCAGAGGGGGAACTAGACATTGACGTAGCTTGAGTCATGTCCCACGACGCCGCTGATCGTTTTGAACCAGTATTGGGATGGAGTGCCGGACCTCCCGTCGTGACACGACACGAAACCCGTGTACCTCATGCCGAACATTGAAATGTTTAAGCTAGAAGCGGAGCGATTCTTGTATCGCATCCAAGCGTTAATGAGCAGCTACTGAGTGGCATCTTCGACGGCAAGCATATTTTGCGAGGTGTCAAGGGCATGGCATCCTATGTGAAGGGCCCCGAGGTCTTCATCGCTGCCGAGCGCGTACTCGCATTGACGCCAGAAGAGCGCCAAGCGGTGGGAGAGCGCGCAAGAAAGCAGTACATGTTCGATACACATTTCTTCGCAGCCTGGATGAATGAGCTGCGCGATCTGGCTTGGGCAGGGACCGTGTCCTGGTGTTCGGCGTAACTCTGTCGGCAATGCTGGCTTGGATGCTATGTGTATCTTGTGCACATGCATGTTGACAGCAATGGTGGTGCATTTTACTGATAACAGTGATGAGCATACGAGACATCAAACCTGCACAATTTGCCTTCGGCTACGTGACAACTTCGCCGAATGCAAATGCGGCCAATGCTTACAAGACACGAAATGACCTGACTATAGCCCGGCCGTATCCAACGCGCAAGGTGAAGGCTGCAGATGCGCCGCCGTATGGTGACGATACGAATGGTGGACTCTCTCTAGTCTTCGACAAGTCCATTCTTCTACACGTTATTGCGGTACCGATGGCGAGCTGGTAAGCCAAACTAGTTATTGTTGATCCCGCGGTGCTGTGGTGCCATGACGAAAAGCTGGTGATAGCTGGTCGAGGCTATGTCGATACGTTTGGATCCGGCAGCTGTCGTTGGGACTCAAGAAAGATCAAGAAGTGGGAAGGTGGGCGCGTAACCACCTCACCGAGAGCATAATGTGGTCAATGCGCAAGTTTGCACAGCGTCTATGACGCCATTTTTGACACCCTATGGTCGCACAAGCAAGCAGAAGCTGAAGACCCATCTTTCGGTGGTGTCAACGCCTCCACTACTCTTGCTAGGTATACTCATTTCTGGCAAGTCTGCTGCAGGCTGAACGTGTGGGTTGCAAAGGGTTAATTCAGGTCAAGACTTTTCTGCAAGACCTGTTACAGGCTAAGTGTAACGGGGTGAATCGTTACATAACAATTTATTAGAAATTGTTAATAGAATATAACTATAAGAGTTATATTCTCAGAATATTGTCATAAGGACAAATATTCTGTAGCACTTACGAGTAGTTCTTAATTGGTTGATATAGGTCATTATATCAACCAACGAAGACGCGCCACGACAGACGCACGTAATGAGTGGTGAGCAGATAATTGATTTACACATTTGTATTTAGACATAGTTGGATGAAGATAAATAGTGATTTATTGCAGACATTAACTATACTGAATACAGTTCTACTTTTTACTTTAACCAAGTACTCGCTTCTTCTTACCGTCTTCCTCTGCACGTACCAGTGTACGTGAAGTTACGAGGCACCGCCTTATTCTGTCATCAGAATAAGTAGCTTGTACTGTCACCAGTACAAGCTTCAGAAGGCCCCGTTACACTTAGTGCCCCGTTACACTTAGTGTAACGGGGCACCCGAATAAGGCGGTGCCTCGTAACTTCACGTACACTCGTACGTGCAGAGGAAGACGGTAAGAAGAAGCGAGTACTTGGTCAGAGTAAAAAGTAGAACTGTATTTAGTATAGTTAATGTCTGCAATAAATCACTATTTATCTTCATCCAACTATGTCTAAATACAAATGTGTAAATCAATTATCTGCTCACCACTCATTGCGTGCGTCTGTCGTGGCGCGTCTTCGTTGGTTGATATAATGACCTATATCAACCAATTAAGAACTACTTGTAAGTGCAACAGAATATTGTGTCCTTATGACAATATTCTGAGAATATAACTCTTATAGTTGTATTCTATAAACAATTTCTTATAAATTGTTATGTAACGATTCACCCCGTTACATCACCCCCCCTAACCATCAGTCACTTTAGTGACTGATTGACTAAATGGATACTCGTCCCAAATCATTTGGGACAGGGTTTGCACTTGTTGGTCCGCGTCCACTTTCCAACATCTCATCGCATGGTAAACAAGCCCATGCGATGCGCGAACAAGGCCGCCGAGAGCGCGTCTGCACGTCTCTGTGCGGAAGCCGAAGCAGAAACAACAGCAACTGATGTCTCATCGGTTGCTGAAGCGACCCAGCCTGTGTCACTTGGTGATGCAGGCGCTGGTCATGAAGACACTCGTGTCTTCACAGAGTACGAGCTCGGTGTCTCGTACTCTCCTGATACGGATGACGGATCCGTATCGACGGCGATTGAATCTAAGCCGCCTGCCAAGCGTGGCATGGACGATGCTTTGCGTCGCAGCATCTTTGGTTCATCTGATGAATCAGATGAACCATCGCCGAAGCGAAGGCGCTCGAGGTCGCGAGACTCGGGCGCTAATAGTGGTGTCGGTTCTCCTATGGACACCACTTCACAGCGAGGTGCCAGTACTTCTGTCGGCACGTCGCAGGAAGAGCGGGACCGCAATGTCTTGCGTCTCGCTCCTGAGAAGAAGGCATGGATGCCTCCTAAATCCGTCATGGATCACTTGTCGGCGACGACGAGTGATCGTTATCGAACACGATTGTTCAATTCGTCAAGGATCCATCACCTTGACCCCAGCGCGAAAAACTATCGCGCTGAACATGAATTCTTCATCGATGCTTTCTTTAGACATCGATGGTACAGTGGGAATCACAAACGTGATGGTCCCTCACTACTTCAGGCGTGGAACGCCTACATCCATAACCTCGAGGATGTAGGTCGTGACGCTTGGAACGACAAACTTATCAAAGCTCGTGATAAGTTTGAAAAGCGAACCCCGACAGGTGCACGCTACAAGCTGCATCGTCTGTCAAGGGAGAAAGGATTACCCTGCCTCTCTTGGGGAGACTCGTGCCCATGTTGTGTGAACAACTCTGCACGAGCACCTAAGGAGGCTTACCTCCTTACCAGCCCGTGGTGGCGCGTACGTGTCTCTACTGAGATGTACGAAGGGATTGACAACTTGAAATCCCTTTACGACCGTGCCGGGAAGACTTTCTCCGGCGGTCCTTCTGCGGCACAGGATGTGCCGCGTCGTACTGCTCAACCAGACCCAGTACGTCGATCATCAGTTGGGAGCGGGGCTCCCAAGAATCCCAGGACGGGGGATAGCCGCGCCACCGGACGAGATAACTCGTCCGACGTCCGTTCACGTCGCGGTGGTTCAACAGCTGCTCAACTAGATAGCGCTGGCCACCGCGAGAGTCCTCTAATGGAGGTGGAGGAGGAGGAAAGACGCTCTCCACACGATCATGTGGATCGGTGTGTTCCCGAGAGCTTCTTTGACCGCGTAACGCAAGGTTTACGCGACGATCTCGAGCATGAGCGGAATAGGCGTCTCCAAATGGCGGAGACTGCCTTGAAGCATCGAGCTGAGTTTGCCTTTGCTCAGCTCGAGAACGAGAGATCTCTGACATCTCTTCGTGACGAGCTAAGGGTAGCTCGTGGGATTGTTGATCGGTCTCAGGATGAGATAACTGCTCTTCAGACCCTTGTTGATGCCCACCATCGGGAGCACAAGGCTCTCTGCGAGATGCTTGAGCGCAAGGGCGTTCTTCATCGGAAGAAGCAGCGTACTGATGGTACGGCTTAAGCCGACCAACGTAAAACGTGGGATGCGTTCGCATCTTACGTAACAATTCAATCGTGTATGCATTGCCTAGGCGGTGCAATACACGAAAAGGGCCGATGTACTTGGGTAGTAGTTTACTGCTACCCAAGTTAGTCACTACATGCTTTGGTAGATTAACCGTAGACAGTAGGACTAAGTCACCTTTATTAAATAAAAGAGTGTTTGCCTTTCCATTCTTGTCAGCGTTTTGCTTTTGCTTATCCACCGCTTCGGCGATGGAGTCTTGCACAAAACGGACTACCGTTTCACGAGCCAGTATGAACTCATCTGATGACTCGTTAGCTTCAGTGTGCTGTGAGCGCACTGCAGCAACATCAACCTTTTCTTCAGTGAGGGATTCCGCACTCTCACTGGGATCATCTTCTTCGATATCGATGTTATCGATATCGGCATCAAACGCAATGACTTCTTCGTCAGAGCGTGATGAGCGTGAACCAATTCGGTTTTTGCTCGCGCGAGTCCCACCCCCCCCCTTAAACCAGAGTTACACTCTAGTAAGGTGGGTACACGCGGGTGGCGCAAGCCATTCACGTAAAACGGTGTATGTGTCGTGGACGCATGCACCGAGTTGTTAATGGCAAACTCTACCATTGGCAAAAACTCACTCCAACTCTTAAAGGAGTGTATGTATCCTCGAAGTATCTCTTCAAGGACACGATTGGCACGTTCCGTCTGACCATCTGACTCTGGATGATCAGATGTCGACATCTTCAAGCGCGTTCCGAGTGATTTGAACACGGAACGCCAGAAATCAGCAGTGAATCGTGGATCTCTGTCTGATACGAGTTCACGGGACAACCCATGAAGTCGGAAGATGGTGTCAATAAAGACACAAGCACAGCCACTTGCCGTGATTGACTCTGGTACAGCCACAAGGTGTACCATTTTGCTGAATCTGTCAATAAATACGAGAATACCCGTATTCCCGCGTGCGTCTTTGGGTAACCCGAAGACGAAATCCATTGATATGGATTCCCATCACTCAGCCGGAACCGGTAGAGGCTGTAAAGGTGCACGCAGTGAAGGACTTGACTTCACTCGTTGGCAGACTTCGCATGCGTGAACATACTTTCGCACAAACTGATACTGGCGGGGCCAGTAAAAGTCTCGACTTACCGTGAGATATGTTTTCTCTCGGCCACGATGTCCTCCTATAGGAGCATCGTGATACTCGAACATGATCCGCAAACGCAGATCAGTATCATCTGGAATGATAACGCGTGGTGTGTCACCAGAAACGGCTGTATAATACAGTAAACCGTTACGAGTAGTGTATCGATCTGATGCAGATCGATACGCAGACGACAATCGTTTCAACGATTCTCGAGATGGTTGGGAGAGATGTGTCAACAACTTCACTATCTCACCATCTTGGGCGTATGCCCGCCTCACATCATCATACAACGTTGTAGATGGGACTGAGGACGTCATAACCGCAACAGTGACTGTCTCACTGTTGGGTTTCGCGACTGTTTCAAAGTCGGGACGACGTGAGAGTGCATCAGCGACGACATTAAGTCGTCCTGGTTTGTACTCGACCGTAAAGTTGTATTCCGCAAAGAATGACAACCACTGCGCCATTCGTTGTGAAAGGTGCGGGCTGTTCACTGCCGTGCGTAATGACGCATGGTCAGTGTAAACAACGAAGGGTCTATCTCCTAATAGATAGACTCTGAACTTCGCGAGTGCATACTTCATGGCAAGGAGTTCCTTGTCATGCACTTGATAGTTCCGCTCAGCTGGTTGCAGCTGACGCGACTGATAGCAGACGACGCGTTCAACGCCTTCAAGATCGTACTGCATTAATGCACAGCCGATTGCGAAATCGCTGGCATCACAGACCACATGAAATGGCCTGTCCTGATCGGCTATTGCTAGGACTGGGGATTGTATCAAGCTCTGCTTGATACCCTCAAAGGAGCGCTGACATTCAGCGTTCCATAATCACCTCTTGTTCTTTTTCAACAAACGAGAGAGGTGCACAGTCATTTCGGCGTGATTGCGTGAATACTTATGCAAATACGCCGCTAGACCAAGGAATTTCGAAGACCTTTGACATCGACCGGCACAGGCCAGTCGGTGATCGCCTTGATCTTTTCGGGATCAGGACGTACACCGTTCTTACCAACGATGCACCCAAGAAGTGGTATTTCGCTTGCGGCAAATATACACTTCTTGAGGTTTGCATACAATTGATGATTTCGCGTGATTGTAAGAACCTGTCGGACGTGTTACCTGTGAACTTCAACGTCCGACTTTCCATCCATAGCTCGACTATGGATGAATACGTCATCGAAATAACTCGGCGCGAATTCTCGTACTGGTCTCAATAGATGTGATACACATCTGTTGAACGTGGCAGGGGCATTACTAAGCCCTTGTGGCATTACTAGCCATTCCCAGAGCATGCCGCTAGGCGTGCTAACTGCGGTATAGGGTATATCCCGTTCCCGCATAAGGATTTGATAGAAGCCATCCATCAAATCCATGGACGAAAAGATGGTACTCTTTGACATACCATCAATGATTACGTCCTTCCTCGGTATCGGCGTCTGAGCCGGTACCGTTGCAGCATTCAACTTGTTAAATGCATGCACTATCCGCCACCCTCCTGTTTCTTTTCGCACACAGAAGGTCGGAGAGCTATGTGGGGAAGTTGATTTCCTCACATGGCCCGCAGCTAAACGATCGGCAAAGAACTTGTCGATCGCAAGTACTTGTTCACGAGGCTGTGGCCACTGCTTCATGACACAGTACTTCGAGCCTGGTTTAAGCTCGACCTCGTGTCGAATACCTTTATCCTTCGGTAATTCGCACGGAACAGTTTCAGGGAATACATCCTTGAATTCAACCAAATCTTCATAGAGAGGATTTTTCTTGAGCGATTCCCATGATTGGGAGTCATATCGCTCAATTCGTGTCTTTTCATCTAGGACACTTTCGTCCATAGATGAACTACTGAGAACTCTCTCGTTCTCAGTGAACTCTGTTGCTGACCTTATGTCGGTTACACACTCGTCGTCAGCGATGAGTATGCAGATCTGCTTGACTTTGCCACTACGCAGATCACGCAAAAACCTTTTATGTTCGAGCGTTGGCAACTGAGTGATCTCCGAAGTTAACTTCGGAGGCCTAATCAGATCAAGTGTATAAGCGCCTACACTTGATCCGTTATTGACTATGACATTCAATGTCTCTGTCATTTCCTGGGGACTTATTCCCTCAGGCTTCGAAGGACTTATTCCTTCGTCTCCCCGGGGACTTATTCCCGCGGGTTTCGGGGAACTTATTTCCGCCGTGTTTGTAATCTTGGGACTTATTCCCTTTACTTCCTCTAGCTGGGGTTGCGCAACCACAGCGAGATCCTCTACGAAAGACTCTCCAGTCGATCTAGGATTATCGTTTCGCTTAACCTGAGCGATCGGTTGTTTCTCTTCTAGATGTTTCCCGCTAGGGATACATCTTTGTCCCAGTCCACCCGACTTATTCGAGTGGTGGACCTTCGGCGCAGCCTGTGTTTCCTCACAGCCGCCGGAACTTTGCTCCGAAGTGTAACCGTTTGGTACACTAAGGTTTTGTGCAGTCGTACTAACGACCGTACCACAAGTGAGGCCATCGCACTCACTCGTAGTACATCCACACGCTTGTGGACGCTCCAAAACGTTCATCAGATGGCCATCTGATGAACAAGCGGCAGGCATCGTTACTATTCGATGTTGCCAATTTACCCGTGGTTCGTACCTTCTGAGCCACGGTATTCCAAGGATGACATCAAATTTGTCATCCAAATCCAATACGATAAAGTCATCGTCATATTGGGTGTCTTCTAGCGTATAGTGGATCTTCACTATACGCTTCATGACGGTTACGGATGCGCCTGTCGCAAGACGTACCGTCATCCTCGTAGGAGATGTGTCACATTCACTGAACTTAAAGTGACCATCTTCTAGCGATTGGCGTCGCACAAAATTGTTGGACGCCCCACAATCGACTAGAGCTCGAAGGGACAACTTATTCGTCACTTCGAGTTTCAAGGTAATGAGTGGGACCTCATTACCTAAAGCAGCAACGCACAACGTTTGTGTGTTGGGAGCAACCTTCATCAAGAGGCCTACAAATTATCTTGACGTTGCTGGATCAGTAGGGTGCTCCGCACCTACTGATCCTGTCCGTTTTTTTGACGTTCCATCCCGTTGTTGCGTCTTTGCACCAACAGCGGACCCTCGTCCCTGCCCCTTTCTCATGGGTGGACGGTCACTACGCCCAGTGTCGCGAGACACTGGACGAGGGGCACTACACTCGTAAGCGTAGTGTCCTGTCTTTTGACATCTGTTGCATCTCTGCAACTTCTTGTAGCCTGTAGAGCGAGCCTTCTCGCTCTCTACATAACAGAGTTCCATCGGCTCTGGACCTCCGTTGTCATATCGTCTCGGTTGACGATATGATGTCGAGCTGGCGCGAGCCTGTCTCAGACTGAAGTCTTCCTGCTCCGCAATGGAAATGGCTTGTTCTAGTGAATCTAGTTCAAGCCGGAACAGGTGAGTCTTGACGGGACCATCCGCAAGACCCTGCATGAACACCGAAACCAACGTGTGTTCATCCACCGGATTGGAACTTATACATCTCGTTGGAACTTATACATCTCGTGAGATGTCGTATATGTTGAGCGTAAGCGTGCACATCACGCTTACCCTGCTTGAGCTTCAAGAGTTCGGTTCGAGCTCTGAACTCAGCTCTAGGCGGTTCAAACGTTTGTCTGAGCCGCGACTTGAAGACTTCCAACGACCCAAACGCATATGGGTCGTGCAGCTTGAGCCCCAGTGCCCAAGTCTTGGCACGTCCTGCCAGATTTGACTGGGCAAATGCAACTTGCATATCCCCGTCGTCGATGCGACGCGCCCTTATGGCGTCATCCAATTCGACGAACCATCTCAAGAGGGAGTCCTCTTCGACCCCCCTATACTTGGAGATGTCAATCTTCAAAGTCTCGGGTCGACGCGAGTGCATCGACCCGCCAGCAGCAGCCTGCTGCTGTCTCAACAGTTCAAACTGTTGAGCACCCTGTTCTCTCAACAACTCTGCTTGTTGAGAACCTTGTTGGTGAAGCAAGGCTACTTTCTCGCGTTCTGCGTCAAGTTCATTTTGAATGAACTTGGCGATAGTAGCATGTTGGGCATCTCTATTGAGAGCCTCTAGCATGACGCTAACAGCATGGATGCCCATGGTCGAACCATTCGTTCAACCGCATCCCATTCGACATCGCTCAAATGGGAGTAGCCGTCACGCGTAGCGTGAAAGCTTTGGTCATCTTCATCATCCAACATATTCATGTTGGATGTGAACGCGGTCCTTGGACGGACTACAAAGTGCTACCAGGTGTAACGGGGCACCCTGAAGCTTGTACTGGTGACAGTACAAGCTACTTATTCTGATGACAGAATAAGGCGGTGCCTCGTAACTTCACGTACACTCGTACGTGCAGAGGAAGACGGTAAGAAGAAGCGAGTACTTGGTCAGAGTAAAAAGTAGAACTGTATTTAGTATAGTTAATGTCTGCAATAAATCACTATTTATCTTCATCCAACTATGTCTAAATACAAATGTGTAAATCAATTATCTGCTCACCACTCATTGCGTGCGTCTGTCGTGGCGCGTCTTCGTTGGTTGATATAATGACCTATATCAACCAATTAAGAACTACTTGTAAGTGCTACAGAATATTTGTCCTTATGACAATATTCTGAGAATATAACTCTTATAGTTATATTCTATTAACAATTTCTTATTAATTGTTATGTAACGATTCACCCCGTTACAATATCAACCAATTAGGAAATACTCGTAAGTGCTACAGAATATTTTCTCCTTATGACAATATTCTGAGAATATAACTCTTATAGTTATAATCTATTAACAATTTATTATAAATTGTCATGTAACGATTCACCCCGTTACACTAAGTGCACTTGTGCTTTGTGAGCTGACACTTCTAAAGTGCTATGATCCGGTCACGAGTCAGGTGATGGACAAGTGGAAAAGAATCTCTTGCGCATACATGGCGGCAGATGTAACAAGCCTTGTGTCAACAATAAATTGTTTTCACTTCTACAGCTACCGACTTTTACCTGGGTTGGTAGACGCTCTTGCTGTTACAAGTCAAGGGGCTCATAAGGCACGGAAAAATAGGTTTCATTATAGCACAAATGTACTAGATAGATAGCCATCGACTGCAAGCTAAAGTCTCTCAAAAAAGAGACATCCAGATGTCTATAGTACTAATTTTTGTAATATCGTGTATGAATAATTAAACCGATGAGGGTCTATTTCTAAATCGGTTTCAGTTGAGTACGTTAGGAACCGACAGAATTTGGTGACCTCCACAAAAGCAGAAGCTCCGTATTGTCGTACTTCCGTGCGCCACGCCTATCCAAAAAATCTAGCACTAGAAAAATCCCGATTTTTTGCTTTCGATCAACTGATGTCTCGATACGCGGAAAATCTCGTCAATTGTTTAACTCGCCGCAGGCGTCCAATGAAATCATACCACCTGAAGTTCAACAAAAGCGATTTAATCGCACAAAAATCAGAAGATAAAAAGGGAGACGCGTCTGCTGCTCTTTGTAGAAACAAATCAATCGACCCACCGACCTGCACGTTTTGTCACTTCGTCACCACCAGTCATTTCGTAGCCTCCTTCTTGTCATCATGGCGTCCAGCGTACGTACGTTCTTCTTCTCGCGCGGGTTACTCGCTGCGTGTTTCTTTGTCATGCTCTTGTCTGCAGCGATCGACCAGTATCCAGGCGAAACCGAGCCGCGACCCCTTGAGTATGACTACGACCTCCACTCGAGGGAGCAGGAAAGTCGATACAACGAGACAAGATCATTGATCCGCGACACGGAGCTCTTCGACGCGCCCATCCTGGAGCACTTGTTCATCAACCAATCACTGAGTGCCGAAGACTTGGTCGTGGGTCCAGATGATCGGGCTTACGTCGGGTTGGCTGATGGACGTCTCGCGAGCTTTCAAGTCCAAGCCACGGAACTGCGGAATTTCTCCCGGACGGGCCAAGACGTTGCTGGGTGTGGAGCTCTGGACATGGAACCAACGTGCGGACGACCGCTGGGACTTGCGTTTGCGGCAGCGCGCCCATTTGCCAAGTTTATCAATCGGATCCCAGCTGCCAGGTTGTTTCCAGGAGACCAGGTGCTGCTTGTGGCAGACGCGTATAAGGGCGTGCTCCTCTTTGACGCCAATGGTCAACGCACGCTGCTGTTTAGTCGAGTGGGGGAACAACACGTGAACTTCCTCAATGGACTGGCAGTGGTGCAGGAAACGGGGGAGATTTACGTGACGGAATCGTCGCGTCGCTTTCAGCGCAATCAAGTGGTTGTGGACTTTCTCGAACGTCGACCGACGGGGTATTTGCTCCGGTTTGATCCACGGGACGAGAGTGTGCAGGTGGAAGCGAGCGACTTGGGCTTCCCGAATGGTTTGACGCTTGATAAAGACGGCACGGGGTTATTGATTGCACTCATGTTTCAGAACAAGATCGTGCGCTTTGACCGCACGACGAAGCAGATGAAGGACTTTGCATTCCTGCCGGGGGAACCGGACAATGTCTCGATTGAGAAAGTCGGGGCGGGCGAAACCGAGACGTCCGTGTTGATGGTAGGCCTTGTGTCGCGAAACGATGGAGGAGCCTTTGATTACGTCAAGCAGAGCGTCAAAACGCGCAAGATGCTGTCGGTCCTGCCAACGTGGGCGACGGTGCTTTTCATCCAGCGTCTTGGTGTGTTTGTATCCTTGGACTTGGAGACGGGGGAGATTCGACACGTGTATGAGGCTTCGCGAGGACAGACCCCGATTGTATCGGGTGCTAAGCGTTTCGGTGACCATATCTACCTAACGAGCTGGTCTCGTTCTTCGCTCACGCGTATCCCAGCAGCGATGGTGCAGTAACTGGGCACGTGGTTGCACGAATGCGTTCATCACTGCTCACGATTGTTTCGTGAGCTGCAATTCGTAGCCGTGCTAGTATCGCATTGTTACGGTAAGAGCGGTGCAACGAATAGCAAATTGGTGTCAGTTGTCTTGCAACGTTCGTGCTCATGGCGTCTACGACGTCCTACTGGGACGTACGGGCTCTCTTCTTTCATCCAGCAATGCAAAGATCAAGTCGTTTCGAGTTCCTGCACGAGACAGAAGAAGCTATTGAGCATACTCTACTGTCTCGATTACCGTCCTTTAACCACTTGGCATGGATGCTGAACAAATCGTGTATTACGCGAGCGAGTCGATACTATTCAGTCGAATTCGTACGTCGTTTAGCTCCTGCCGTTTACAGTTGAATGCACCCGGCAATGACAATGAGTCATCCTGAATGTCAGTGTTTCGTCTGGTGAACGCAGTAAGACATTAGGCCTACACTTGTGTATTGTGCTGACTCGCCAATGGATCATTTGAGAATAGCATTAGAAGCATCACCAAAGCTCGGTACGTCCTCTACGGACGTTGTTCATTTCAAGTCCTGGTGACGCATCCAGAAATCACGAGATCTTCCGTTTCGAGTCATCAAGGGTATACTCCACATGCGGTCAAGTTCATTCATTTTATGTCACTTGCATGCTTCCGATGTCGGGATACTCATACCTGGGTCATTGTGTGGATAACTTCTGGTTTTGCAGTTGTCGACGATCAAGCAGATTGACGTGAGATCTCGATAGTGGACAACATGAGCTCCACTATGAGCGAATACATGTGAGTGCTGGTACAGCACATCTCAAAGCATGATGGTGCAGCCAGCTGTACGATTTCGCCGTTACGACACCGCTGATTGATTATGCCAATCGATTCGGCACAAACAAAATAAACACGAGGTCGGAATCAATGTCAAGCAGTAAGCATGTGCTCATCATCTTGGTTCATTGGTCATCAGTTGTCACCTCCGACGTTGTGGATCCACTATCTTGCCTTGCACCACACGGCTCTTACAACTGGTAACGTGATCCGTGGATCCTTCATTTTGTCGCTGGACGAACCAACACGATCGCACCTGAGGACGCAGTGACCTGCTGACCGAACCGACTTCATAAGCTGGCCTGAAGTCGATGATGAATTCATTCTCAATATGAAACGCACTATTGCCATGACGAACTCGAAGTGCTGAGCTTATCGGATGAAAGCCGAAGAGATAGCTTCGTACGCATTCCATTTGGGTCGAACGGCCAAGTGGCATTTCAATTGAGGACGAACAAAGCTGCGATGCGTGGTGGTGATCTTCCGTGAAGTGTCGTTTGCGACGGTTTAAGCACCGATCCACCCGATCTCGCTCGATCCACCCTCATTATTCACAATCGTTTCATGGTCGTAAGCTGTTGGAAGTTGAGCTCCCCCTGCCGATACTTTCTGCACCCGTGCCATCTTTTGATTTGTCGTACCAAGACTGCCCCACTTCTTTGCCGTCACCCACGTTGCTAGTTTTCAAGCCTTTGTTGAAGCATCAGACCAAAACGTTCATTGCTCATGAGGGTGAACACTGGAGCCGGTAAATGTTCCTCCACAATTGTTTTTGACTTCCAGCGGTAGCAGCGGTTGCGAGCAAAGACGCGGATGTATGAGTCAGTCACCACTGCAAGTCACGAGCAACACTTTTGTGTTAGACTGCATTGATATGATAACAATTCGGTCCGGGTTGTACCTACTCGGCAAGAGATATCAGCGCTCATATTCACGGTCGCGACGATCTCGATCGCGATAGCGCTCGCGGCTTCGACTCCGGCTGCGATCGCGGTCACGGTCATAGTAGTCACTGTTCGGACGCTGCGAGCGATAGGGCCTGCTGCTGCGATCGGAGCGGCTGGGGCGGAAGTAATCCCCTCGTTCACGGTATCCACTTTGCTCCCCTCGCTGGCGTGTATTGCGATGCTGATCAACACTTTTCGCATTGCCACCATTCACTGCAGCGGCCACTGTCATCTCTTCGTGATGACGCTTTTTCGACTGGTATTCGTGAGTAGACGATACAGAGAACTTCGGCAGACTGCAACAGCAACATACCACGGATAAGTGCATACAACGCTAAGCGACGATAATCTAGCTAAAACAGATAACCTACTCTCGCGGCTTGCACGTTTGCACACGCCAGAAGTAATCATGGTCCATGGCTTCTGCAGCTGTGATCCGCTTAGCAGGGTCTAGCTGTAGCATTTTTTCCAGCAAGTCCACAGCGTGCGGCGGAAAGCTATGCATTCGTAACCAATTGAGCCGCGTCAGTCAGTCGTACAAGCTAATATGAAACAAAGCTCGTACTTTTTAAACCTCTTGCGCAACGGACAGACATATTTATCATCCATCTGGAAACTGTCTGACCCTGGCAGCTTGAAGAAACCAGGCCAGGTTTCCTCCGTTGGCATGCCGCATAATCCAAAAATCAATTGGAGCTGTGCGACACTCACGCAAAAGTGCAGAAGTCAAAGAGAAATCCTCTGCATCCAGTCTAACATCCAAAATCACAAACCTGCTCGATCTCGGTCTTTCCTTGCAAAATGGGTTTTCCCACTAGCAGCTCGCCAAAGATGCAACCAATGGACCAAACGTCCACTGAAAAATCGTACGACGTTGAGCCCATGAGCAGCTCCGGTGGTCGATACCAAAGCGTGACAACCTTGTTCGTATATCTTCCAGCCTTCGCGTTCACTTCGTTCCAAAACCTAGAGAGACCAAAGTCGCCCACTTTGAGCATGCCCTGATTATTCAGCAGCAAGTTTGACGCTTTGATATCACGGTGGATAATCTTGTTGCGGTGCATGAACGCGATGCCGGTGAGCAGCTGCCGCATATAGCACTGAGTCTGCGTGCGGGTAAACTTCACACGCGGGTGGTTCAGCAGTCCGGAGAGATCGTGTTCCATATACTCGAAAGCAAAGTACAAAGGCGGTCTCTTGCCTTCCTTAGGCGAAGCTGCAGCGAATGTGGCACGACGCACGAAAATGACACGCATTGTCAAGATGGTTCCAAAAAAAGGTCAGGTAACAAGATAACTAGCGTACCACTTGACGTTACAACCTCTTTCAGCTCTACAATGTTCGGGTGCTTCAAGTACTTGAGGATCTTCATCTCGCGAATCGATGTGACTGGAAACTATACCACAGCAACAAACGTCGTGCACACAAAATCCAAGTCATTCGTTAAAACCACACACGTGATTTTACCACCACAAAACCACAGCACGTCGCACCCCATTTTTCTCCACGTCCGGCCGCAGCTTTTTCAGCGCCACAATGTCTTTAGTCACTTTATGCTGGCACTTGAACACCTCACTGAAACAACCAAAAATACAGTGTCGTTAGTCTCTCCACACGTTTCACACCGCGCCTCAACAAACAACGACACTCTTGGTCAACGCACCCATACGTCCCCGATCCAACCTTGTCAATAATACTATAATTATCAATATCTCCAATGTAAAAGCGCGGTTTCGTACTCGTCACATCTCGCAAAAAGTCCGTCGCCATGATCTCTTTTTCTCCAGCTGCACTTCTCATGGACGCAATCACCACCGACGACGACGACGACGAGACGTCAGCTACCGGTACCACATCCACCAATTGTCCTGCATCGTCCCGCTCATCGTCTCCGTCTTCTCCATCACTTTTCTCTCTCTTGTCATGAGAAACGGCAACGGCAGCAGCAGCAGTAGCAGTACGAGGCATCTCAACGTCTTGGACAGCACTTTCCAACATACCTGACAAGTCCACAGCAAGTTTAGCACTTGGAGGAGAAAAAGGAGGTGGAGGAGGTGGTGGTGGCGTTCCTAAAGGCGACGTCACGGGCGGAGAAGGCGGAGGCGGAGGCGTCGGGAACGTGGGCGGCTCAACGACTTCGTCCGTGCTCTCGACGCTGCGCGTCTCGTCGTCCTCGATTGGGTGGTACTTGGGTGGGGTACAGGAGGGTGGAGGAGGCGCTGGAAGGTCCTCGGGGCACGGGGGAAGTGGCGATGAGAAGCTCGAGCTCTGACTGCCTTTATTCTTGAAATTTGTATTGGATACTTCGGACTGGAGCACGGAAGGAGCGCGCGCAGGTCGTCGGTCTTTCGCGAGCGGTTTGTCAAGAGGGTCTTGGAGTTGATAAGGAGGAGACGGCGTGGGAGACGGCGCGGGCGCGTCTGCAGGAGGCGACAAAGACGACGAGGAAGGCGCGTCGGCCATGTCGAGTGACTGACTGGGTGCTGGTAATTGCGTTAATTTGGGTCGGTCTTATTTTAGGATGTCTTGGAGCAATAGTAGACGGATGCGATGGTGCGGGTCGAGCAACATAGGCACGAGGGCTGCGATGTTGAAGTACGAATCGAGGACGAGGAAGGTCGCGAGGACAAGAGACGGGGACGGATGTAGGTGTAGGTGCAAGGCGGCGCCTGTCTGCTCGATGGGCGAGCTGACGATTGTGCCGTCTGCCACGTAACATTCGTGCAACTGTCGACGCTGCTGCCTCACTAGCAATCCTTCACGGCTGTCAAGAAGCAGCTTGACCTGTCTTCAATATCGAAGTTTACACTGCATGACCGAGTGGGAGTAGACTGAGGTCTGCACAAGTGCTGTTCATGTTGATGCTGGCCGTGTTGCTTCCAGCTTCCTCGTGTGATCATTTGCTCTGTCTGATAGAAGAGTTGCCTTTTGCAGCAGTGTCCCTCCTTCCTCTCACGTCGGATATCGTGGTGGACAAGATGCACCTGTACACCACGTTTGGTGCTGCGATTTGCATCGTTCAACGAGCTTGTTTCTAGAGACGTGGGACGACCTCGTCCGTCGAGGAAGTGGCAGGCATTCAGGCAAGTCCTTCTTTGTGCAAGTGCCACGGCAACGATCTCTCAGTGTCAGTCTCATTCATTGAGGACGGACGACGAGATCGATTGCCAGCTTTATGTGGGCTGCATGCACGATAGCAAAGAGTAAATGCGAGCTCGGCAGACGCACCTCGTAGGTGTGCAGCAATCACTTGAATGAACATCGAAGGAACCCACAAACCAACTGTTGCGTCATCATCGCATGACGGTACTGTCTACAGCATGCAATTGATACAGTGGCGAACTTTACTGATAAACACATGACGCTCGACAGTATGAACGTGAATAGCTCGAGGGTTTTCGTTCTCGGAGACTTGACCACTCAGTTCACGTCCTCTTTGACTGTCTAAAACTCACTCAAAGCCAGGGTCGCTCCTGCGAGACTTACCATCGATCGTGTAGTGCACTTACTACGCGTTCACGATGCAATAGCAAAGAACAAGATCAAGTGGAAACAGCAGCTACGTTACAGCCTCTAGATAAGTGTGCGCCGCTATCGTGCCGACTACATGTATATGAATCGATACATACGGGACGCACCCGCAAACAACCAGCACCTCTCCTCCTTCTTAGTTATTCACCGAGAACTTGTGGCCACATTTCTTGCACTCGTAAAACACCGTCTGGCCTTCATCAGCCGAGCGAAGCTGCAGCGTATAGTAGTCCATCTCGGGGTTCCCACATTTCGGACACGTCTCCTCCACTGTAGCGCGAGCCGGGCCAGTAACCTCGCTCATGACTTTCTCCGTGTCCAGCCACTTGGGCGTTGGTTTGTCCTCGCTCCGGGTTATTACAGTCAGGGATGGCAGGTCTGTGTCCATAAACGGCGATCAATACAATCCCCTACAATAGGGCAATCACAACTACGATTGGAGGAACGCACAACCTTGGTAGCGACAACGGTACTCGCATGCGGAGCACACGATACTGTTGGTATCCGGATGGTCCAGGATCGTGCCGCAATGGGGACAGAAGGCCGGGCCCGTGGCCGTAGCGCTCGAGGCAAAGAACTCGGTCGACATGCTACTTGCCAACTTGCCTTTTCAGCCACTGATCCTGGATGGTAACCAGATGTGTACGACTTGTGACTGGAGCAGACGAGGAGTCGCTCGTCTCAGAGTATTGAATTGCAATTATTGTAGCGCACTTTTCTTGCCCATGCAATCATTTGTGCAGCTTTAAATCCCCTCTATTTCAAGAAAACCACTCGCTCCACGCAAAATCGCCGCGTTGCTGCGCATTTTGGGCATTTACTGCATCATTATGACGTGTGCGTTTTGCAGCAATCTCCACGCGACAAATGGGACACGAATTGCCAACTTGCAGCCATTCATGCAGACACGCCGTGTGGAACATGTGCTGGAAAAATCGAAATGAGAGAGCAGACTAGTCAGCGAGGCAGAGGCCAGAAAAGTTGGTATCGAAATGTAAGCACGTACCTGACACGGCATCCGCGTGACCTTCATGCCAATTGACAGTTCCACCTGACAGATGATGCACTCGAGTGCATCTTTCCGCACAACGATATCGGCAGAAACGTCTTCGTCGTGCTTGCCACGGAGATACTCTACAAAGCTGCAGCAAGAAGAAAAGGTTCAATACTTGTTAGACACTCTTGAGCGGCGGTACTGATTGCATGCATGCAATACTTGTCACGCACCCTTTGCCATGCTTCGAACTCATCATGAATGCAGGAATGTTGACGTTCTGGCTTTCACCGGTGGAATCAGTCATCGTGTACGGCCACACATCGACTGTTTGGATAATAATCACGCCTGCAGCATGCTCGGCTTGTGCGCGCAGAACCTTGCGAGCAAATGTACAGCCGCCTCGCGACATCACCACGATCTGTACCCGGAGTATAATAAGATCGATCAATTTTGAACTCATCGCTCTAGCAGTGAAATGCGGCAACTACAGAATTCGTACCTGATCCTTCATCGCTTGGGCGTTTCGAAATGGGCTGGCACCGTCAAAAGGATCAGCAATGATCACATTGCGCTTCTCAATCGACTCACACGGGCCAAAGTTGCCTGGGATAGCGATGACCTAAACAAAACACTAATGTAAGGATCCGTCTTGTTGTACGCGGCACCAGTATACGCAGCATACTACCACAGACGTACTTCGCCTTTAATGCCCTTCACAATGACTGCCACTTCAGTGGTCGCCGCCTGATCGGCAACAAAAGACCCCAAGTTTTTCACTAGACATACACCCACCACCACCACGACAGCAAAAGCGTCATCACCAGCCAAGAAATAACCAGAAAAGTGAGCAAAACAACTGCCATTTCACCGGCTTCCTCCGACGCAGGCCGTCTCGCTCCCGTATCCACGCCATTCCAGTCGCCACCGATCTGACTCAGCAATTGCATCACCACAGTCTGCAGCTCCTGCACACTTCCTGCAGCTCCGTCAAACGTGGTCCCCAAGCCATTCTATACATCCACGAGCACTCTGTTATTGACCATAAGACCCACGTCTTCGACGGTCTCTCTCGCTTGAAAGAAGAGAGACCCTGCTGATCAATCATCGAACCTGCTCGAGCGAAGCTGGCTGTTGACGCTCGAGCTCACGGCCACAGATCAAACATCGTTTGCCATCTGGAAATCCATTGCACGGCCCAATTAGCTCTCGAAGCCTATCGCAGCAAAAGATCGGTTTAGTTCCATTAGCGTACCCGTCGTCGTCGCTCGTGCCACTTCGTTGCAGTCTCGGCAAAAGAGCTCTTCACCTGCAGCTGCTGGCTGCCATCACATCATATTAGAGCACCACAAGCGAAGAACCTTTGAATCCAGGAACGTGAATCCTGACAGCAGGAGGATATGGGTACACAAAGCAACGAACGGATGAACGCGTGAAGGCCAAGTCATCGAACGAAGCCATACTTGGGTTCAGGACCGAGTTGCTAGGTCGGCTGATGCCCGTGTCCCACGTACTTTCGATCCGGTGGACCAATCAGATGCCTTCGCGATAGCTGCGCCGACAGCTGCTTTCTACGCCTCGGGCCTGTTGTGCTGCTGGATCATCTGACCGCTTTTAATCGAAGAAGAGGCGACCCACACGACGTGGCACGCCAGAGCCGGGCCGTTGGGCATATCGCATTCCCGACTAGTTACGATATCAACAGGCAAGCGTGTGACAGTATGACAAGCTTGGCCACGGTAAACACTTGAGGTATTGACAGATAGGTGAATCGAGTTAGGGACATGAAAAGATACCGAGAGCTGAATAGCCTTCATCCCTGTGTTAAACGAACGTGGCCAGACGAATCTGGACCAAGGACCTCTGTGGCACTACCTTTTAAGACGTAACTTTTAGAACGTAGTCGGGATTGGCACGCGATATCAAGTGCATCCACACATCCGCTGAAGCAAAGCGTCTTCTATTAAGTGCCGCTTTACCACCAGTCGTGCCAGACGAGACAATGGATCGATCGCAGTGCGTACTACTCACTTGCTTCCTCGGTGTGAACTTCCTCGAGAGTCTCCTCCTCGAGATTCGTCGACATGCTACCATGCATCCATCCTGTCGTCGAGTCGTAATCTAGTTGAGGCGCTGCTACGCGTGACAAGGTCTTGAATCGACGTCAATGTAGCACCCGTGCAGCTTTCCAAGCTGGACGTTAGTTAGCTCCACATGCACATCGGTACATCGGTTCATTCGATCACCACCTCAGGCAGTCAAACCGTCTGTAAGTCTCCTGAGAGCGGTGCTTCAAGTGCTCGCAATGCTCTGCGCCCAGCAGGTACCGAGAGAGAGAGAGAGCCGGAACACCGTCGCGCTTTTTCTGCCCGGGGTCTTCCCGATCCGCTCGTGTATGATGCCCGAGCGATACGGCTCTCGAGTCGAGGCTGAACGACACCGGCGATCACGAACGCACGGGACAGCGACGAGCCCAGCTGCACGCTTTTGTCGATGGCGATCATTAGTTAAGAAAACGAACGCTCGAGCGCACATCAATCGACCGCCTGATCGGTGCTTGCGTCACACGTGCACCGCGTCCCCGCCAAAGAGAGAGAGAGTAGCCACATGACAGGAGTTGACGTCCACGAGCAGCCGCTGACGACGTCCCCGAGTAACGACGACACGATCGCGAGTCTCGTTTCCAAGCCATTTCATCTTGATGACATGTACGACGTGCCTGTGGGGATCGCCGCAGACCGTGGCGCGAAACTCAGTCAGGAGGTATGTCCCTCCTCTTTCTTCTTCTTCTTCTCCTCCTCTTCCTCTCTTGGCACCTGAGCTTACTGTCTGTTTGTCGTTCACAGGACGCGTACTTCATTGGCGGCAAAGTCGTTGAGCGTCTCACACTGAACGGCTACTCGGATGCAGCCAGCGGCTGTTTCGGCATCTTTGACGGCCACGCTGGCGACCGCGCGTCGCGCTTCTGTGCGGAGAACATCTTCCCTCGGATCCTCGACCAGCTCGCTCGGAAATTGAGTGTGAGGAAGGCCATCACGAATGCCGTACGGGCACTGGGTACGTGCGCGTTTGCTACGAGCGTCGCAGGTTTTGTCGATCTGCTCGTCGCTCTCTAACTCTTTTTCGTGGTCGCTTCTTAGATGCTGACTTCTGCGCCATTGCCCATCGGTACTCGACCTCTGCCATTGCTTTTGCTGCCCGGCACAGCCACGGCCGTTCCTTTGCTACTGATGACGGCTCGACGCTTCTTGTTGCGATCGTTCGGGACGGACTCTTGCACGTCGGGAACGTCGGCGACTCCCGTGCTATTGTCGTCACGCGTTACGGAGAAGCTATTCCCATGTCGATTGACCAGAAACCGAGCCGCAAGGACGAGCGCAAGCGCTTGAAAGCCAAGGGCGCGTTCATCACGGGCAAGCCCAGCTTTATGTACAAGGTGTGGCCCCTCAAGAATTTCCTGGACGTGCCGCGCGTGAACGGCCAGCTCGCTGTCTCGCGGTCAATTGGCGACGTGTCACTCAAGGCGTTCATCACGTGCGACCCAGAGGTGCAGACGCGGCGGATTTCAAAGTACGATCGGTTCCTCATCATGGCGACGGATGGACTGTGGGACGTGGTTTCGAGCAAAACAGCGGCTCGAATCGCGTCTCGCTATCGAGACCCTCAAGCTGCGGCGAATGCACTTGTCGCGTTTGCACTTGGACGACACACGACGGACAATGTCACGGTGTTGGTGGTCAAGCTCGAGGCGTACGACTTTTCGGATAGCTGCACAGACATTACCAGTGGCTAAAGGCGCAGGTCAAATGTGTGCTTTTTTCTGCTCTATGTTGGTGTTTATCCCCCCATGCGCCTTCAGCATACGAGGGACATGAGACCGCTCACTATGTGGCCACTAGTTTTTAATTGCGTTCGATGTGTCATGTTCATCCTGATGCTACGTTACTATGGATGAGGGATGGTGTCAATGAAGTAGATGAGGAGCATACGAACATCAAATGAGTGATTGCTGGATATTTTGTCAGTACAGGTTGGGCAGGTTTGTGGAAAGAGCTGTACCGTATCCGGTCTGGTAGGTACAATCAAGCAGGTCTTCATGATATTCGTAGATACGCACATGAGGTGTCACTCTATGGTAATCGCCCATTGTAACCGCTCAAGAGCCAGCAAGTTGAATGCAGGTGCAAACACGCGTGACAGGCTCTACAAAATAGAGATACAACGAGTTTTGCGCCACCAAAGGTGGAATAGCTTGGTCCGGCCGTGATTCTGGTCTGGCATATGTGCTGGGGCAGCATTCAACTCGTTCTTCTAGCCGCCGTAATTTAGGTTACCCTACCTGTTTGGATCAGTCCTATGGACTGAAGTACTTTGTCAAAGGGCAACCTCCAGCACTTACTCCTGTCTCTTATCTGCATAAGGTACTTCCTCCGATAAGTTGTGAGTTTTGTGGACGAGATGTTATCCACGTAGCAAAGAAACCGCTGCTGCATATTTGCGCAATGGAAAATCATCACATTGCATCGAGATTTTTGCGCAACCATGTTACAATTACAAAATGATTGCAAGGTGTGTTTCTAGTGTGAAACTAGCGACTACATCAGTGACCAACGAGCGATGAACATTACAATATAATGCTGCATTGTAAGCAAAGTCGTCTTCGGCAGCACATGCTCCAGGTGAAACCACATTCACTTTCTGGTGCAGAATACTGACAGCTCGCTATCGGTTTTTGCATCATTCGCATTGCTAGTTATTGCCCAGGATGACACCAGAGTACGACGAACAGTTACCGAACTTTTAGTCTTTTTCTTAGCATTGGTGGACCATCATATCCTGTCTACAACCAACCCCTGGCGTCGCGCGAGTCTCGTCTAGACCATCTTCGATGATAACATGCATCACAAAATCTGCTCGACGCATCACAGTTGACTTGACGATACGTGTTCTGCATTGTCTCATAGATCGTAGAGATGTGATGTCGGATTCCTCGTCGTCACAGATGCGGTACACTGTGACGCGTGACAGTCTTTGAGATAACAAGCAGGTCTTTCAAAAGGTAATGTAGGTTGCACCGCACATCTGTAACAATGCGCAGATAAGTAACGACGTACCATGTGATCAGTCGTGTGGGTGCAAAAGAACAAATGAAACACTTGCTTCTCACTGATCAACTTTGATTCAGGAGGGAAAACCTCAGAGTGACATCCCCTCTGTGTTAGTCCTTTGACTATGCGCTGAGCACCAACAGGCGTATACGCAACGATAACTGTACCAACGGTATGTGTCAGTTGCGGCCTTAGACTGAGCAACACGATGATCAACGACACGGCACCTTTTCCTTCGTCGCATTATTTGCTAATTGCAACCGCTTTGCTTACCATTTGCACCCTCTACGTAATGCCGAAGAATGCAGCAGCTCAGGAGTTGCGCATCTAGCGCTTCGTGGTAGAAGGTGGACGCCACACACTCGTCATGGGCTATACTAAAGGAGCCACCTATTTCGAGCTGAATGACTACTATTCCACAATGATGCGTGCTTGTTCTAGCAGTCTCAGCTGCAGGTAGAACAGGTGGGTTTTATCGGGATCATCCACAAACTTGGTTTGAACTCAGGTTGCTTTTGTCACATACATCGACTTTCACATGATGATAGTTACGAGGTATCATGTGAGCCAGGCATGAGTGTACTTCCAACCCGTGCCATGTTAGATTTACTAGCTCTACACGACCCATTTATCGGCTCGAAAGAGACCAGGGCCTCGCTTTGTGGTGATATTTCCATTCATCAAGCGTGCCGAAAAGGGAAGAGCTGAAGAACAACCTCGTATTGTCCATTGGCATGTTAAGTAAGAGATCCGAACAGTCAACCTCGTACTCGTTATCTGAAGTGACGATGCGGCACACTTGTAGGGCTGCTTCATATCTTGTATTAGAACTGTCAATTGAATAGCGCAAACGTCATGTTCAAGAATTCGACCTGGTAGACATTGCTTTAACACTCTAGATGATCGATCTGCATCCATCCAGCGGCTGAATATGGCATTGTCGATCCAACTCAAAGAAATACGCTACATGTTGGCCCAATATGATCAATTGGCTGTCAATCGATTGCAGTACGCAGTGGGTGAATCCTCAAACACCGCCGAGCTTAGTGCAAAGATATAGCGAGATCTATTGCCCAACGACTGAGTGACAATCCACTTGATTGTAGTCAGGATAGTGTCGAGTACAGTGACGAATGTCGACTCTGTAAGTCAAGGTAATGGGTGCCAATATGATCGTCGGTCGAACGCAATCGTAATTACCCCCTACTCAGAAAGTATCTTTCATCGAACATAGTACCAAAGACAGCTATAAAGTATCTCGATCATACCCAGATCGTAGCCTCTAAAAAAGAGCCACCACAGAATAGACCATTACCTAAAACTGCGTCTCATCAATGATGTATTTCTCGTCCTCGACCCACGATTTGGGTTGGAATTGTACCACCGACGCAATCTTGACAAGTAGCACTTCGGTTTTTGCCACGCCGGACCGACTCGATCAAGATGGTACTCCGCATGCTCTGGAACATCGGCTCGGGTCTCGTGCATGGCGCTTTCCGACCAAAATCGTCCTCTGGCTTAGCGGGGTTGCACTACCCCGCGGTGTGGAAAGCTCGCTCTGGATTCCTGGACTGTGATGTCAACCTGCACCTCAACAATTCGTCGTACCTCTTTGGCATGGAACTCGCTCGCTGGCACTTTACCGCGTACGACAACGCTCGAGGTGTTTCTCATTAACAGGGACTATAAACTGATCTCTACTATTTTCTGCTACGTGCTTTGTTGTACAGGTCCAATGGTGTCCTTTGGCAAACTTTGAAACACCGGCGGATGTTCTTAGTAGCGTCCCAAGCCATTCGGTACCGTCACGGCATCCCCCCTTTCCACGCGTACGAAATCAAGTCGCAGATGATCTATTGGGACGGGTCTTGGATCTACTTCTTGCAACAATTCCATGACCCCTCAAGTGGCAAACTCTTTGCGGAGGGATTGTGCCGTGCTGTTGTCAAGCAGCGAGGAGAGGACGTGCCATTTGCACGATTGATTGCCGAAGTGTATGACGGACCCGTTCCTGATCAGCCTGCAGACATGCCAGACATTGTCAAAGGGTTCCTCGAGTGGGACGCTGCCTCTCGATCGAGCATGGAAGTGACTCAAGCCCGTGAGACAAAGATTATCAACAGTAATCCACCACCACCGAAGCCGCAGAGCCTGGGAGCTCGCATCTGGACGGAAGTGCTGCGCTCGATGAACCGTCCCTACTGACTTGACACACGGTCGCCAGTAGCGACGATATCGTCGATCAACCGAGAAGAAAACGACCACATCAGGTCGCACAAAAAACACAAGGAGCACAAACTGATTTCAAGTAGACGTCGCAGCAAAGATGCAATCAACAAGTTGACTTCGTTCCACCAGCTCCCTCGAGTACTTCACATCAAGAGACCCATTCTTGGCAAAATGTGTCTTCCTAAAAATAGGTCCCTCTTCCGCACACAAAACAAATTCGGGTCCCACGACACACCAAAATGAACCCATTCCAACCCCAACGGGATATTAGAACTCGCCGCGAACCTGCACCCACGCACTCACCCTTTTTCTGTCCACACCCACCCACGCACCACGGACCGTCTCTTCTCTTGCTCACTCATGCCCGTTCTTTTTCTGATCGCCATCCCGCGTCCCTCTCTCGATTGGAATAACCGCCCATTCGCTGTCCCACTCGATGCCAGCGCTCCAAGTCTTCGGCCGCCGCAGCCGCGTCGTCAGCAGCGACGACCTCTACTGCCCCGCCCTGTTTCTGTGCTTCTACCAGCTCCTCCTCGTGCTCTTCTGCGTGCTGTACGTGGCCATTTGGCGGACTTGCGGGACCACGGCTCTGGACGGGACGGGGCTATCCCTCTACTATCTGCTGGGCGCCACGCCGCTCCTCTTCTTCCGCGGATGCACGTACCTCATGATCATGCACGTGTCCATGCGAGGGACGATCGTGCACCACGAAGGTCGCGTGCTCATGCCTCGGATGCTGCACGTGCACGCGCTCTGGTCGCTGGTGCTCACGGCGTACGGGCTCGTGGGATTCGCGGGCTGGGATTTATGCGACATGTGTCGACCCGATGCAACAGCTGTGGTGGTACGATAGGTTTTTTGTACTGGTTTACGTTATGGATGCACTTGGTTTGTGGTAATGTCGCTGATGGGTTTTATTTAATTCATTTGTTGATTCGGATTGGGTTTATTTATTTTGTTGGTTTTGTTGATTTTTTTGTTATTGTAATTGGCGTGGCGGACGATGCATGCAGGCGGTGGCTGGGTTTTTGCTGGCTGAAGTGGGTTTTACGGTTTCGCTCGGTGTGTGCATCTTGAGTGACGTGGGGCCAGGAGACGCGAGCGTTCGGAGCAAACCGCCGTCAGTGACTAGTGCATTCGACTCTCATGGTAACGCTCTTGACCCTGAACGTCAATCGTTGTTGGATGGTACGTCGGGGCCTGGACGGCTGGCCCCTTGCTCGGTGGAAAGTCTCATGTTGTGTTGGTGCCTATGTTTTTTCCTGTTGTTTGGCTGCAGAAGTGGACCAAGCCGTGCGCACCTCGGACGTGTACGTGCCGCACAGTCAGAGACTCTGGAAACAACGATGCACGCGATGCTGCATGTGTTTGCGGTGTTTTACGTGCAACTTGTTTGGTGGCGCTGGCACTCGCCATGACAGCATGTCCCTGGTGGCCAAGGTGTTCTCGAGGTTGTTTTACGGGAGCCCTGACCTTGTCATATCGGACATTGTAGCAGGTTTCGTGCTCTTAGCAGCTGTCCAGGCGTACGAAGATCGTCAGGAGGTTGTTGCAGCGTCGCTGAACGAAGAAGACGAAGAGGAGATACTTGGTCAACTGCGGGCCAGGATTCGAACTAGCGCGGACAAGATGAATTTACTTGGCGACCGAGCTGCAGGTGGTGGAAACTCTGCAGTACCGACGTCAGCGAGTAGCACGTCGACGCTATCGACGACGTCCGCGGGTTCGGCGATGAATGGTAACAATCCTGACCGATTTGTTTGCATCGACATTCCTTCGTCTCTCGAGTCCCAGAAACAACCGCGCGATGAGTCTGGGAAGCCGATCAGGCCCTTGTACTACCATCCGACAGATCCTCACCTCAATGACGGGGAGCTGACGGATGCGTTGAAGGAGCTGGCGCACTTCTCGAAGTATGCTATTGGCATCTATGGCTGGATGCTGTTCGTGTGGTCTCACCCATGGAGTGGCACGTTTCGACTCGCGTTCTCATTTCTTCGTCGCAACCTGGGATGGGTGCATGGTGACAACTGGTTCCACCTTAGCCAGACTGCACTACAGCTTGAAACAGGAGTGCCCAGCGACGACATCGTGTACGCAAGTTTCCGGAATTCGGTGTACCAGCCAGCCTTTGCAGTGATGCTAGACCATGCGCGTAAAGAGGTTGTCGTTGCTATCCGTGGCACGTTATCGTTGGAAGACTGTCTCACTGACGCCATTGCATACGGCATGTCGACGAACGATGTATCGGACCGGTGGGGATGCGATGGTATTGGTGAGTACGCCCACCAGGGTTTTCTCACGTGTGCCGAGTCGGTGTATTTGGAACTCAACCGTCTCAGGGTCCTTGAAATGCTCTTTGACGAGAAATCCACCGCGGACATTGCCACCAGCGAGGTCAACGTGTGCGACCGTGGTGCATATCGCGACTACGGCCTCGTGTTGACAGGCCACTCACTTGGAGCAGGCACGGCAGTTCTTCTGGCTGTTTTGCTTCGTTCCAAATACCCGCAGCTTCGTTGCTTCGCGTATAGTCCTCCGGGTTGCACCATGTCTCCCGGGCTTGCAGCCCGTTGCGCTACTTTCACCGTCTCCGTCGTTGTGGGCGACGACATCATTGCTCGGTCGTCGATCATATCAGCCGAGATTTTGCGGGACAACGTTCTGGACTTGATCGGGAGGAGCAAGGTGAGTAAAGCGACGATCCTACGGCAAGTCATCTCTTGGCGGAACCCGGATGAGCTACTTCACGGAAGCTTGGATGATCACTCTGCTTTCGATGACGAAGGAGCAGGTAGCGATGCTGCCCGAGTGCGCTCGCCGTTCATAGCGCATTTGTCCAGTTATCGCACGATGTTGCAGCGCATTCAGGAATCCGAACCGATTCATGAAATGACTATTCCCGGACGTGTGGTGCATCTGAAGCGTGTAGTGGACGCCAAAGAGGTTGCTGGTTGCTGGGTGTGCTGTCGCCCTGGAGGTGGCGGTATATGCTGCACTGCACGCACGCATTATCGGTTCGGCTGGGCTGTGGAAGGTCAGTTTAAGCAGATCCGCATTGGACGAACAATGCTGGATGATCACTTCCCGGACAAAGTACATTACGTGCTCCAAGACTGCGTGGAGCGCTTGTGCAAGAACCAGCTCGAAAACGAGAACGAGTGTCGGTAGGATTGGACTATATGCTTTCGGGCTTGCCCGTGTTCGCACACACTTGCAACAGGGACAGACTCGATGACACAGCTGGCCAATTCGAGTTTGCAGCTTCCTCATTCGAGTTATCTTATCGCGGCGCACGGCCACACACGATGCATTGAAGGACGTTCGCTGCATTCGTCTTGGTGCAAATACTGCATTTCCACGTGCCTGCTTGCGTCAATGAGTGTGCTGATGCCGGTCTGGGTGTCGTCGATGCTGTTGGTACTTGCAGCGCGACCGAGGGGGCGGCAGAAGCATACACGATCCCGTCGCTGCTGCTACGGCCGGAGAGGTAATGTCCACTCGTGCTGGCTTCTTCGTGTCGGGCAAGCGGTTCGAGCGTAGATTGTTGCTGGGTCTGTGCAGGTTTGTCCAGTTCTAAGGATGTTGAATACAGTGGTGGATACGACATCGCCGATGGCAACAGAGGAGACGGAGGTTTTGCAGTCGCAGCGCTGAGTTTGTCCTCTAAAATGCGGATCCTCCGCAGTGCCGCCTTCATGGCAATCTCCATGTCTTCTTGTGCTCCATTCGACAATGCATTGCCTTCGCCCGAATCACTAACAGCATACAATGGTGATGCAGGATTTCCTGCCGGCGATGGTGGGAATGGAGCCCCGCGAAAGTAGTATGAGCTCCACAACGTTACTTGGCGCAACACGGACGGCATATCGGGCAGCAGCGCTGCGATGCTGCTCGCTCGGTAGAACGGATTCACGAATCGATCGTCCTGCAAAATGGACGCATAGAGCGATGAAGTTCGGTCCCGCACACCCCAAGCGCTGCGCTCACGTTCGCAGTTACCCAAGAATGTGCCGTATCTTCCTGAAAAAACAGCGTCGGCCAGTGTCTCGAGCATGCGTTCATTGAACTCAAAGTACGTTGGAAACAAGCGAAAGAGTTGCCACACGCAGTCCAGGAACTGGATAAAAATCGGTGCTTGCTGGTCATCGTCGTCTTCACTTTTGCCAGGAGCGACGCGGTCTTGGAATTTGTGGCCAGCACGAACCCATTCTTTCTCAATCACCTCGAGAAACCCTCGACGTGTACGGTAATGGGCGTCCACAAGCAGCTGCCCAAGACTACAGAGCTGAGCTGTCCGGTCCCACCCATCACTACAATGCACGACCACGGTCGTAGCTTGGACATCGAGAGCGTGTGCGACTTGCAGCGCCCCACTCAGGACGCGGCGTACGTGAGAAAGCCATTTCGTGTCTTCGACGCGCGTTCCCCACGAAAGATCAGTCGACTCGGTATTGTTCGATGACGCCACAAGCTCGCCAAGACTACGAACAGCCTCGATACTTTCGCGCATGGCGTGAATGTTCCCGATATTGAGAAACGACACGTGAGCATGGGCGAGATTCCCGCTTTCCGTGCCGCCTCCAGTCAAGTTGTTCACCCGTGCATTCAACTCTGGCCGACAATCAGCAATCCAGATCTTGCGAGTCCGTGAGCCCGAGTACAGGGACGATGGCCCAGGTGAAGCGAGAGCAATGTACAGCAGGTACTGTTCATCTGCATGGTTCTGCGCATGCAGGATCCCGCGCTTTGGTTGTGCACATCGCCACAATGACGCGCCATTGCGCGCATGCACGTAGCTACAAATGGGCAGTCGTCCCTTGGACCGAAACGACGTCACAGCTTCAACGTGTGCATCACTTGCTGCTGCCGGCACGACAATCTGTCGCGGATACGTGGGACACATGGCAAACGTCGCATTGAGCTCCGTCACGCGCAAGGCACAGCTCGAGTCGCTTCCTAGAGCGACGCCCATGCGGGCAAAGTCCGCATACAGATCATAGAGTGCATGGCCTTGTTTGTCTTGCTCCGTGGGTCGAGTAATGGACGAAAAGGCAAAGAAACTCATGGGCGAGTCGACAAAAACGTGTCGATTCAGCGCTGGCAAGAGCTTGACGACGTCACCTCCAAGCACCCACGACCTCAGGTCTTTGAACTTGACTTCCAGCCGCGTGAACATCCCTGTATCGCCTCCATGTCCCGTCGTCGTGCTCGTGGCGCCCAATGAACTACCAAAAGTACTGCCAAATGTGCTCCCAAACGTGCTGCTCATGGTCGTGCTGCTCCCGGTCGTGTACGACGACGTCATGGCTGTCGGAGCGACTGGAGCGTAGGCCAACTTGGCGACCGCTGCTCGTGGCATGCCGTGCATCGCCATGTCCAGCAGTCGGCAGCAAGCTTCGTCCAGCGACGAGCTCTGCCACGAGCTCTGGGGCTCAAATTGAAGCCGGAACGACGTGATGTAGAGCGTCCCGGGGACGTCCCGGATGGACAGCGAAGTGGGGAAGACGAACGAGACGCCTGCGATGGTCGCGATGACGGTTTCGCCTGGAAACCCGCGCGCGGTGAGGCGGTTGGGGGCTGGAAGAGCGACGGGATCGGCTCGGGATTGAAGCGACGGGGACGAGTGGGAGGGCGAGAGCGACGGCGCGGACGGAGGCGACGGTTTGGGCGCCAGAGCCATGACGCGCGCCATGCGGACGTGGTGCAGGCACTGGCCGCTGGAGGTGGCGGCTGCGGAGGCGCAGCGCACGCCCGTGTGGGTCATGGCCGTGCACGTGTCGCCTCGGGACAGCGACATGGCGCGAGGGACGACGTGCGTGTGTGTGAATGGCGTTGTGGGATTTGGGATTTGGGTGGAGGTTTTGGGATTTGGTACGGTTTGGGGCGGGTGGCGTGGGAGTTTTCGTTTTGTAGGTTGAGCTATAGTGGACGCGTGTTGTCGCTTTCTTGATTGGGTAGTGGGATGCCTGTTGCTGGTGCTGCTGCTGCTGCTGCTGCTTGTGTGGTGGACTTGGGTGGGTGCTTTTGTGGCGATGTGTGTTTTTTGTTGTGGTTCTTTTTGTGGGTGGATGGGACTTGGGAGGTCGTGTTTTGGAACTTGCGTTTGACTTGAGGCGGTCTCGGCGATGTCCCTAAAAGCTCGGGCTTGAACGCTGTGAGGTCGCCTGCAAACAAGATGCTGTGCGCCCAGCCAGCTTGAGGGGCAAATCGTGTTCGGAAGAGATCGCCCACCATGCGGTATACACTTGGTGTGATACTTTTTCGGTCACTGAGCGTCGCGTCGAGTTCGCGACATGCAATCTGCCACACGTGCGTGTCGACCGGAATGGCTTCCAACTTTTCGAGCGAGAAAAGCGCCACGCAGTCGGCGACTTTCCTTCCGACACCGGCAAACACCATCAGGTCGTCTTGATACGCGTGATACGATGTCGTTATGTCGCCTTGCAGTGCACCACTCGGCTCCTTGTGTCTCGTTCTCGACAGCTGTGGCTTGAGCTCTTGCTCCTCGTTCAAGTGCACGACCTTTTCATCGCGAATGCTGTGGAGATACGAAGCACCGCCCAGTTCCTGCAACTGTTTTGCGGTCTTGACGACAAAAGCCGCTCGATAGCCAAAGCCAAGAGCTCGCAGCGTCGTTTCTTCACACTTGACAGCCAGCGTGTCAACCGGAGGAAACGCGTACAGACAGTACCCGTCTCCTTCGTAGATCAAGTCTCCATACGTGGCTCTCAGCTTATCCACCATTGTCTGAATTCGGGCAATGTTGTTGTTCGACGAGCAGATGAACGCAAACAAGCACTCGACCGGATCTTGCCGCACGATCCGCAGTCCCCGTAGTCTCGAGATACTCGCCGACATCCGATCCGCTCTCGCTGTCCATCGGTCGTACAACAGCTCGGCATCCATCTACCAAAAAATAAGCAACAGCATTCATCGTATCAGCACAGATCAGATCGTCTTCCTCCCTACTCCACTAACAACAGGACGGACGTACATCCAGTCGAAAGTAGTGCGATAGCTCACCAGCACCGTCTGCAATGGCCACTTTTTTACCCACGACCCACACATGAACAATCGTCAACAAACGTGCCTCGTCGCTTTTCGATAGCAAGTACTGGAGCCCGCCAGCCACGTACCGTCTGCCGGATGGAGACATCGAAAGTGCACAACGTGGTCCCGTTCCTGCAGAGCAAAGACCCGACGATTGAGTACCCCTAACCACGTAGCCGCCTGTCTCGGATGTCTCTGCCACGCAAACACTTGTCCGGATTCCAGCGTGAGGGCGCACGACAGCACGCGCGTGCTGCACAGAGGCGTCCAGTCCGGACCCTTCTGGCACTTCTCCACTGGAACTGGAGCTTTCAGGGGCCGAGTCCCTGCAGGCGACGAGCACAAGGCAGCGCACGAGCTGGTGGTACGTGAGCTCTCGGTCTTGATGTGGCACGGGACGGCGGCCTGGACACGGGAGGAGCGACGCATAAGTGCGACGGCGATCGAAGACGTGCGAGCTGGTGCGATGCGATTCCAGTGATGATGGGTGGGTTCAGACGCTTCTAGGTTGAGCTGGAAAGGCGATCCGTGCGATGGCATTTATAGGTTGGTGGAATCGCGCAAACCGAGCGTGGGGTTGTGGATTTAGACCAATCGAAACGAGTTTGCGAGAACGTTGTGACACGACCCGTGTGATGAAATGCCCGGTCGTTATTCATTCATGCCTTTCACTCACAGCTTCGACCCCGCTATCCGTTAGTAGGTCTTTTTGAACGCAAGAACCTGGTAGAGACCTGCTATTTCCCACTCTGCGTCCGAGATCGAGCCGCGAATGTTCGTCACGTGCATCTTTTCCAGCAGTGTGCGATTGTGGTCTTGGTCTTTGTGGAGATGAATGAAGCGGTGGAAATTCTGCTTCAACAAAAGCTCAAAGCCGTGCTCACGTAGTAGCTTGGCCAGTAAATCGTCTGGTACCAAGTACTCCGGTAGATCTACGGCTTGGCCGCTGTTCCCACCATCAGCGTCATCTTCCACGCGATCACGCAGCGTGAAATTGTAGCGCAGGCCAAACGCGCCTTCTGGTGCTGCATTGGGCCCTGACAATTGAGCACGCGTGTTCGCGTCAAACCGAATGCTGCACACCTCACGGTTCTTCTCGTCCACGATGCTCACGTCAGACTTGTTACATGTTTGGTCGTCCATCTCGTCCTCTGGTGGCCGCAACGCTTGGTAGTACTTCATCAGCAATTTGTTCGGATCGACTGTCGTTGCAATAAGCATACCACCATCTGCAAGTAGCTCATGGACTGTCGAAAAGAAACGGTTCGCACGCTCCGCGTCACCGAACATGTAGTGGAACGAGAATTGGACCGACACGATACTAAAGCTGCTGACTGCTGAGCTCGGCAGCGGCACCGCGTCGTGCCAACCTTCTTGTTCGTTCCAGCAGTGCATCTCGTCGCGCAGCAAGTCTACCACACCTAGATCACCTTGCACAAAGTGCGCCTCGGTACTTTTCTTATGCCGATCGTTACCTCCTCTTCCGCCACGCGAGAACGAAGTGTACCGCTCGACAGCATCTTCCAATGACTTTTGAGCAATGTCCACACCCACGTACATGGCAAGGTTGCGCTTCGTCCACTTCATGAGATCGCCACCTTTGCCACACGCCAAGTCCAGCACGCGATCCCCGTCACGTCGCGAGTACTCATTGATCAAGACGGATTTCACCCAGTTGTTTAGCGCACGCATGTGGAACAGCAAACTGTCCGCTCGGTCGCTCTGTGCACGTCGCTGCAACTGGTTGTAAAACGCTGCAGCAGCGTCCTGGTCTTTCTCGCGTGCACTTCCCTGAAGAACATCCTCGTCTTGCTCCTTCGATATGGCACTGTACGACCGCTTACCTCGTTGCAACGGTCTCTCAGGACCTGTAACCAAGTTGGAAATCTGCATCGCCCTTGACGTAGGGGCTATCCCAACTGGCGACTGAAGCGTCTCGTCTTCTGTACAGCATCATTCGCGTTAGTAGATATTTCAACTGTATCAAGTGAATCTGATCGAAAACAACAGCAATCAAGTACGAGCTCTACCTCGCAGCGGAGCCTCCTCGTCTCCAAGTGCAGGCGGTCCTGGACTCAATAGATCCATAAGAGAATTGGACTTCTTCCTCTCAAGAACCGGCGGGTCGCCTGACTCTAGATGTACGTAGCCATGAAGTGACTCGTTCTTGTCATAGGACGGCGCTGGCACAGGAACTGGCTCGGGCGAAGTGACATCCTCCTCATTGGCTGAAAGTAACGGTACTGGAAAATCACGAGAGTCCGTACGTAGCACGGGTTTATCGTAGGAAATCGTGCCGTTCTTGTCTCGCACATGAAAGTAGAACATCCGACCATCGCGATCGAATTGGTGGGACCACCCACGGGGCAGCTCGTCGTCCACCCAATAGACCTTCTGCGTCTGTGCGTTGTAGTAGTACGGCATGTTCTTGGAGCGAGACATGGCGACCTCCCACTCGGGAGGTAGAGCTTCAGCCAGGACCTCCATGGTCCCCATGACGTTGGCGGCTTGTGACGCCAAATGTGACGAAAGGAAAAACAATTGTGACGACAACGGGCATCCATGGATGGATTGGGTTCTGTGATTTTTACCGTTGACGGGTGGAAAGTGTGGTCCACACGCCACTGCGTCGGATCATGGCGATGAGAATTGAGGACGTACACAAAGTGGCTACACGCTGCTCTCGACAATCGCTTGATCGTGCTGGATAATATCCAAATCGCTCGATATTTGACGTGCAGATGATTGCTTTGGCCCGTCCAATTTTACGTACATATAAATAAAAAGTGTCGAAGCTAAAATCAAAACTCCCGAGCGCAATTCCTCGCAAATGCATCGATTGTAAAAGCGCAGGTCCCATCCTATTGGCTAAAATCAACAACACCAATACCGCCATGACCGCCGCGTCCGCGACGTCGCTGTACGCGTCCATTGCGCCGCAGTTCACGCGCGAGCTGCCGCGTCCAGGACTGCGCGTGGGCTACGCAGATGTAGGCGGCGTGTGGCAGCTCCTTGCTCCTTCTTTTCTGCAGCGGCTTCCCCTGCGTGCCATCGAGTGGCGCAATCTCGTGGGCGTGACACAGCGCATCGATCAGCTTTTTCTGCATTTTGTCGAAATGTCCGTCAAAAATGTCAAAAAAGAGCTCTTTTTGACGTGTCTGTATCTGGTAACATGTGAAGATTTGGACAAGTATAAAAGCGTTGTCCGACCTGCTGTAGCCGCGTGGATCGAGGCCATGACAGCCGCTCACATCGAGTGGCTTGTGCTCTACGTGCCACTCGGTACGCGGCCAAAAACAGCTGGAACAGATGCGCCTAATCCTGTGTATAAGAAGATTTATGACCGATTACGAGCGGATTTCGCGCAGAAAAAGAATGGAGTTTTGGCTGCTGCAAGTGCATCAAGTAGCTCGTTGTTGCAAGAGAGAGTGTGCAAGCTTGATGCGTTGGAAGGGACGAGTGTCGTGGGAAAGAGACAGCAGCAGCATGAAGCTCAGTGGACAGAGGTGCTGCTGCGACTGAGACATTGCATCATGGATGCGTTCCAGATCAAGTGTTTTCAGTACGAAGATAGTCTAAGGGCTCTAGACGCGAAGCGAGGAATAGCAGGGTGGGACTTTGGCGCTTTCTTTCTTGCCAAAGAAAGACTGGCCTTGATGTATCAACAAATGTGTCTGCAAGACGACGCGATTCGACATGTAAGTCGAAGAGTGGATGGTGGATGTAGACGTGGCTCGCGAAACGGGGTTAACTTTGTGTCGATGTTCAGTTGGACGAGCTGGACGCAATTTTTGTTAACTTGAGCGCAACAGAAAAGCAAGCGTTTCGACTCACCAACCGGAAATCATTTGAGCGGCACGACCCCATTTTCACGCAGTCTCCGGTGCGGTCGATGTGGTTGTCGATCTAAATTGGAGCTTTCTCTCTTCTGACGATTCTGAGTGCTTGTTGTATAGCTAACACTCGACCTTCACGAAGTCCAGGAGCTCATTGCGTCGAATCGCGCGTCAGCACGCCTTATCTCACTCTATTGTTTTTGTCGGCAGATCCGCACACTTTATGTAATGGGTAATTTTCCGCAGTTGTTAGAGCGTGCCAGCTCGTTTATCGAGTTCTTCTTGACTGAATTGAAAGAGTTGGTAGTGGAAGGCACTCTGAATTGGCACCAACCCTTTTTGTGGGCGGCGGGCGCTTGCATGGAAGTTTCACATGCATGTGAGTTGTCGTGGAGTGGCCGTGATAGCGAAAAGATGGCTTCCGACATATCTGTACAAGCGGCTCGAGCGATCCCTGTTGAGGCGATGTCTCGCGCTCTTGGAGGTGTGTTATACCTTGCCCGGCGATTGCTCAAGAGCGTTGCGAAACACATCAGAAATGAGAATGATCTTGGCGTGCCTTTGTCGAACAGAGCTAATACAGATGCTGCGGACGAGTCAATAACTTGGTATCAGCGACTAGAACGAGTATTCTTGTCTCCAGAATGGCAGCGGTCTGGAACTTGTGATATCTACGAGAAATGCTTGTCAGAAGTTACACATCTCGCCTCAGTGCACTTTTCACGGTCCGGACGCCATCGTTTTGCTGTGTTCCTTGCAGTGAAGTGTGCACAGTATCATTTTGCGCGTGGAGAATTTGAGAGTTCTTCGAAGCTACTGTGTGCACATGCACGACAAAGTAGGGAAGATGGATGGTGGACTATATTCGATGCTTGCGTGCGAAGTGCCTACCGAGCGGAGCTGGGCTTAGGACGATCCACACAAGCGGCAGTGGCTTCCGTTATTTTGTCGACTCTAGTGCAGGAAGGACAAGACAACGAGGGGATGGCACAGCTTATGGTTGCTCTTTTGGCTTGTGGCGGAGATGGTAAAGGCGTTGTCTTGGATGGAAATTGCAGCAATCTTGGTAGCGGTCCAAACGTTACTATGAACGAACTGTTCAGGCCTATGCTGGCAATAGAGACATGTCAGACGAGTGGAAGCGCACTAGGAGAAGGTGATGTTTGTGTAACATTGGCTATCGCAAATGATTATTCTGTGGGCGTACGATTCGATCGAGTTCGCGTCCGTTTTACAAGGACGACAGGTTTGTGCAAGAATTCGGCCACAAACGGGTTGTCGCACTTCGATAGTCCGAGATGGAATGAAGGTACCAATGTTGACGCTTGTGTTGAGAACGGTAATGGAAAGGCGTTGGATGCCAAACTAGTTCACGAGACCGATTGCCGCAGCTTCAACGGAACTTTTCAGGCCGAGTCGGCGATAGCTTCTGGTGGCGTAGTCGAGAACGTCCGCGAGCAGAACATTGAATTACTACTGGAGAAAAGTGACGTTCACGTTAATGAGAAAACGAGTGTTAACTTGGTGTTTCGACATGCGGGCGTTCCGATGGGGCAGTACACTTGCACAGGAACTGAATGTGTCCTCGCTGGAAGCACGTTTTGCTTGCTCCCGTCCCGCGCGTTATCTCTCGCTCGTTTTGAAATTTGTGCCAAAGAGAGTATAGTTAAAGTTGCCATTCATGGAGCCCCACTACTTGTGCCGCGACCATTGCCAGAAGTGGAAACAGTTGTAGTCTCAATTCAAGCGAGCCACGACCCGGTGGTGGACGGAGTTCTTGAAGTACGTGCTTTCAGACAAATTGGCGGTCGCAACGTCAATAGTTGTATCATGCAAGGTTGTGACGAAGTGGAAGAAGGCAAGAGCAGTAGTGTGGAAGAGCGTGGCATTCAATTGATCGGCATACAACTGGTTAATGAGACGAAACTAGCTGACACAAAGTCACATGATGGCACCCAGAGTAACTACGTCGCACGTCACGAAGAGTCCAACAGTTTCCTGAGTATTGCACTACCGAAATTGCTTCGTGGCGATTCACTCCGGTACACTGTATCACTGGCGCTACCACACACTCTTTCCGCTGATAGCAGCTCCGACGTAGCGGGTGAGGACGACAATGCCAACCGTGTTATTATACAGGCAAGGGTACGATATCAACGGCATCGCATGGTGTCAAGTACTCTGACGACGGCTACCGAAGTACGCTGTGCAGAGTCGACCTTCCGTGCGCTACAGCCTTTGAAGGAGATAGTGCGCCTCAAGCGTGTCGGCATGAGAATATTCGTCTCCGTTGCACTCGTATGCAACCGTTTCGTCTCCATTGTCCTCCAAGAGTACCAGCTGCGATGTCCTATACAAATTGGCAACCACTCTCCGCTTGTGACTGTGGAGCATGACCCGAACGCAAAGTTACGAGGTACGACTCTGCACCCTAATGACCGTCTGCATCTTGCATTCACTCTAGCGTGCTGCACCGATTTCGAGAAGAAAGCTTTTGACAGCTACTGCTCACTTCAACTGGACGTCAAGTTCGGTGGCGACGAAACTTGGCTGAAGACCGTGACTGTACGTTTGCCGCTGACAGACGTTGAGGAAACCTGCTACCAGATCGATGTACTTCCAGAAGACCGAGACGACGTGCAGATGTATACCGGGGACATTATCGAGATCTCTGCTAGCGAGCCTGTCACATTTCAGGTTCGGGTTCACGAGGAATTGACAAAGTCCAATGAAGCCACCACGGCAAACAGCAGATCCGCGCTATACTTGCGTCTAGACGAAAGCAGCGAGCGCGACTGGATTTTACTGGGGAAGCAGCTTGAGCGCTTTACTTTCGACCCGTGCTCAGGGAGCCACGATGATGATCGTCGGCGCGAGTTCAGGACACAGAAAAGGTTGTTAGCCACTCGGTCAGGTCTATTGCGCTTTCCCGCTTTTTGTCTCGAGGTCAGCGGCAACGCGATCCCGGCTGCACGTGTATACTGCCAACAGAGCTGTCGTCAAGTATTTGCGAGCGAATAAATGAAGGGATGATGCTTCAGCTATGAGCCACCACATGGATTGGCATACCCATCGCATGCAAGCAATCGATGGCGTGCCGGCAAACAGAAAACTTTCTGCATCAGCTCTATGCCGTATAACTGTCCACCAGAATACCAAGCGCACGCATCTCTCTGCGCTTGGCTTCGCAGTTCACGTACGAGTCGCCATTTCGAATGTGCCACAGGGCGCCACCTAAGTTTACTCCCCAAGCTGCGCGCGGGTACGGCGCTTCAGGCGGGACAAAGAACTTCGTGCTCATCGAAGCACAAGAGCCACCGTGCAGACTAGCATACGCTTGAAAGGCTGGCAGTATCACATCATGCCAACGCTGGTCGGTGGAACGCCACACAAAGCCAACTTCATCCAGCTCTGCACGCAACTTGGGCGAAAGTGCAACTTTACCAGAGCGCACCCGTGTAATCCAGCGGCCAAGTTTAAAGCCACGCGTGTGCACTGGCCAGTTTGGGTCGCGGTCGGGCACGACAAAGTCCGTCGTTACGAGTGCGTTGTTGCCATGGAGTCTTCGATGCGTGGTCAGTGCCGGAATGACCACACTGCGGACGGTTGCCTCAATGCGTTGGCGCGCGTTCCAAACGAAACCTAGCGCGTCAAGCTCTTTTCGAGATGCCTGTGTTTGTGCCTCGAACGCTCCGCGTCGAATGTTCTTCACCGTGACTCCCAGCTTCAGCCCCCATGAGTCCTGAGGCCAAGGTTCGTTCGAGGGCACGACGAACTCCTGCCATACGTCGCAATGGCTATGGATCTCTGAGAAGACTTTGAGCGCAGGGAAGATGCTTTCTTTCCACACCTTGTCAAGGACTCGAAATGAGAATCCCAGATCCTCCAGCTCCTTCTTGCTGTCTCGAACTTGCGTTGTATAGTTACCCGCTCGCACCATGGTCACATGGCGTCCCAGCTTGTATCCCGCTAGTGTTTTCGGCCACCTCGGGTCTTTGTCATGAGATGGGATCGTAAACGTCAGCGGCACGTCAGCATGGCCATGTAACTCCCGGTATCGTCTCAAACCGGGCAAAAAGAACTTGTACCACTTGGTGTCGCGTACTCTCCACACAAATCCAAGCTCGTTCAGTGCATCCACTTGGCTCTTTGGCAAGCACGGCAACGCCGCACTTAAACCAGTTTGCAGTCTCGAGTCGTTCAGCTGCTGCTCCCGCTGTTTTTCCTGCTGCACCTGTTTCCTCATCTTCGCAACAACAAGTCCAAGTTTGTACCCATGTGTTGCCCGCGGCCACTGAGCCGCCGCGTCTGGCTCGTTGTGTCGGTCTGGCACGACAAATTTCTGTGGCACAAACAGGTGCCCGAATAACTCTGCGTACGTCTTCAACGCTGGAAGACACACTTGTTGAAACTGATACGCCTGCCACGAGTACAAGGGAAAGCCCAAGGCCTGCAGCTCTTGTACCTGCTTGACGTTGGCCTTGTTCTCGTTCTCGGACGCGGACGACGACAAAAACGTCGTCGGGTTTTTGTTCAGCGTCTGTACGAATCGATGGACCTTCACACCGAGCGGCATCGATTGCACTTCCGGTGGCCACTGGTCACTCCGAGGCACGACAAAACCAAACGGCACTGCAAAGTGCTCTTCAAGCGCGTGGAACGTGCGCAACGCCAGCACCAGTTGATTCCGAGCTTTTCTGCTGCGATTGGCCGACGGCTGATGGCGAGCAGAGACGGAGCTGTTAGTGGACGAGAAGACGCGGTCGAATCGAGCAGCGGGTGGGACGAGTGGCAGCGACAACGACGACGGACCCAGAAACTGCAGCAGACGACGACGTGGCATGGCCAGAGCCTTTTTGCGAATGATGGGCATGGTGGGTGGGTGGTTGTGGGGTCCGTTTTATGTCGTGGCAGTGGATGGATGTTGTTGAGGAGGACTACAGATAGAGAGCAGAAGCTCTTGAAGTGGGGTGTCGGAGGACTGGAGCAAATCGAGATAGTCACGATTGGACTCAAATGTGGGACAGAGGCACTGTAACGAGGTATCTAGGATTTATGTACGACCAGACACCGAGGGTACGTTTGCTGCTCCTGTCAGCGACTACATGGAGTTTACTGTTGAAGCATGGGACAGTATCTAGTGTGAAGCCGATGCAACAATGCGTCTAGTTCGTGTGCGCAACTGGCAAACACAGCAGCAGTGCTGTACATGGGGCAACTTTTGACATGCGGGCGGGCGATCATGGATACGACTGCTGCATGAGGTACCTTGCAGTCAGAAGAGACCGGGCACGGACGGTTCCTGCGACACCTCGCCACCTGCAAGACGCAAAAGCCACTTGCGGACAACTTCTTCGAGATCTCGACGTCCTGTGCTGGTACTACTGGTACATGGAGGCAGCAACGAACACTTTTTGCCTCTGTACCCAAGCCCCGCGACAAATGCTGTGCAGCCACAGCGGTCAGGAGAGGAGATACACACCGACGAAAAGGTCGTAATAAAGACGTACGTGCTGGTGCCTCTCCAAACTGCGCTTCCCAAAGAACGCGTTTATCAACCGGCTGCGTCTTCAGGTCCAGCCAGCAAAATGTAAGAGGGTCGCGGTGGAACTCGGTCGCGAGTGTCTCGATGATGCTGAACTGGTCTGCACACACGCATTTCAAGTCACTGGTCCACCACACCCCTACCAACCTATTCAACCAACGACGTAGACGATCGAACCTCACGAACCTCGCACACTACAATCATGTCGAGTGTCGTCTGGAAAAAACACCAGCGTCCGTCGTCCTCTCGCCGTCAGATACAGCGGACTCAGCTCATAAATTGATGGTGCAAACACCTTGGCCAGTTGTTTCAACGGACTTTCTCTCCTGATCTCCTCCTACCAGTGCATCGACTCACAGCAGCACATCTCGTCAACACCAGCCATCAGCAGCAGCACCGCTCCCGTCCACGTTTTCATCACCTCTGTCGATGCCGAGCGTGTTGCTTCTTCCTGACTAGATCCAGTTCCGTTCGTATTGGCTCCCAAGTGCAGTAATCCCGCCACCACGGCAAGCCCAATCATCAAGAAAAAGGGCGTCGTCAAGTGTGAGAGATCCCATCGCTGCTGGTACTGGTACCGATACTGATGGCCATAACTCCGCTTCTGGTACTGATACTGCTGCTGCTGACGGTAGAAACTCTGCTGTCTTCTCTCTCGTTCTTGTTCCGCAGCGCCTGGCGTCTTCGTCAGCCGGTCGTACGCGTCTTTAATGCGCATAAACTGCTGCTCGGCGTGCGGGTTTCCTGGATTCTTGTCCGGATGCCACTTGAGCGCCAGAGAATGGTACGCTTTCCGGATCTCCAGGTCAGACGCCGTCTTCTTCACGCCCAGCACAGCATACGGGTCTTCTCCATTCCCCAACGGCGCCAGCAGTTGCAGCACCAACACCAGCAGTAGCAGCTGCCTCGACTTCATTGAGGTGAAGACGGTCAATTGATCCCGATACACCGTTCCCGTGTGGACCACACACGCACACACAGATCCTCGTTTTTCCACCTCGAAATAGCGTGGTCCACACCATCAAAAAGGCAGAATGAAGGTCCCACCGCTCCACTTCCAGTAATGGACGACGAGCGCTTGTCCAGCGTGGACCAGTTCCTGCGGGAGAATGGCTTCAGTCTCTCCGACTCGGCGCTAGCGATCGCGTCACTGAGTGACGATGAGCTCCTGGACGATGAAGACTTCCTGCTCAGTGTACCGGCGCCGTCTGGACGCAGTGATAGCAGCAGCAGTAGACGCAGTAGCAGCGCCACGGACCCGCCGCGTTTCGTGCTCTTGGAAGACGAGAGTTTGCTGCAGGAGCGACAAAACGACGAGCGGTTGAGTGGAGACAGGACGAGTGAACGACCGGAGGATGCAGTGGGGGCGGGAGCTGGATGGCCCGACCGGGAGGGACAAGTGGAAGAGGGCTCGCTGATTGATTTGAGTGGTCTAGAGCGCTCGCGCCTCTCGCTTTCGAGTGCATCGATGGATCTTGTGGACAGCAGAGATCAGGAACAAGCACGGGGTTCGAGACTGCCGTCGTCGGTGGTCTCGTCGCTGTCGTCGCAGCGGAACGAGGACGTGGCTGGAGCAGGTATGGTCTCGGCAGCGTCGTCGACGTCGTTGCTGTTCTCACGACCGCTGTCTTTGCACTCTCAATCGACAGTGGATCGGGTGCTGGATGATGAGTTGAACAACGCGCTGGGAGTGCCTGGTGCTGAGGTTGTGACTGGTGCAGAGAGACTGAGCTTGTCGTCAAGAAGGTCGAGAGAAGAGGATGGAGGGGAGAGTGCAGCAGTGGGTGGTAGGGACGGGTCTTTGGAGTACTCGCGGATGCTGGAAAGGGGGCGGTCTTTGTGTACGGAGAATGGGGACGACGGTGGGCACGCAGTCAAGAGGAGCGATGTTGGTGGACGTATGGGGGGATTGGCATCATATTCTGGGGATGCAAGGAGCAGATACCGAAGGAATTGGAGATCGTCAGGTTTTGGAGATGTTGAAGAGAAGAGCGAAATAGATGAGGAGTTGAATGTTAGGTACAGGGATGCTAAAAGTGAGGAATGTCGCGAGCATCGAGACGCAGTTGGAACGGATGAAGGTGCTTGGAACGGACTAAATGATTTGCTGCGAAAGAATGGACTGCCGGCTCTTCGGTTTCGTCGTGCTGAGTCGGAGGTAGTCCCAGAGCAGGGTTCACTGTTCAGCGTCATTCACGACTTCGGCGTGCAGCTGGCACGCAAGAACGAGGTAGGATTGCTGAGTAATCGTGCGGACCGCGCAGTCTGATTTGTATCTGTTGCGTGCTTCTGTCGTGCAGACGATCGAGGATTTATTGTTGTCATCCCAACGTAATTCTAGACTTCGAAGCAGGTGGGAAAGGGAGCTTCAGACTATGGTCAAGAAGAATGAAGTGGCGCAAAAGGCTTTGGAAAAAGCGCAAGCGGAGATTCAGCGCCTAAAGGTGAGACGGGGTGGTCATGCGACGATACTCATGCCGTTTTCTGTTTGTCCGGTGCTCCATTTTGTAACTCTCTCTGTTATACACTTCCGTTTGCATGGGATCGTTGCAGACTTCGCAGAAGAAGGAAAGTGAAAGCACCGAGCTCCTGTCTCGGAAGCTGAAAAGTTCGTGTCTTCGTTTACAACAGCAGCTCAAGGTCAGCGAACACCGCGTCAAAGCGAAGGAGGTTGTTGTCCAGAAGATGCAGACCAAACTTCAACAACAAGCAGATAGAGAGACTTTGAAGAAGGCGCGGGACCGACACGTTTTCCGTGATCTGCAGGACCGTGACCCACGACGTGCGAACCCGCGTGACATCCAGACGCTTGAGACAATAGGTGTGTATGAAGCGCAGCGTGAGCAAATGCAGGAAGAAATTGACCACCTGAAGTTACAGGTTACCGCGCTCAATAGCGAGCTCCGTGATAAAGATAATTGTATCGTGCGACAGTCAAGTGCGTTCCTGAAACGAGGCGAACCTGCAGTGTGGGAGCTGGGCTTCGATGAGAGCTGTACAGGCCAGCTTTCTGGCGTCACGTCTCGACTTCAAGACCTGCAACATCGATCGTCATCTGTCGCTTCGGACGACGTTATGCTGGAGGTGCTTGAGGCTGCACGGTGTGAGCAAGAATTAGCTGCAGCAAAGTTGCGTCGTCGCGAGGCCGTGATGATGAAGAAGGTTGCTATGATTGAACGAGAATTGGTTGCGGCTCGCGAGACTATTAGCGAACTGAAAGATGAGAAGGCCAATCGGGTGTTTGAGTCAGAGTCACGTATTCGTGACAACCGCACTAGCCAGCGTCGCATCGACCACTTGGAGCGGCAGGTTGTAGACGATGAAGTCGCGCTGGACGGCGCTAGTGAACTTGATGGACTTCGAGAGGATTCGGGGGCAAAAGAGCGTACGGGGCATGACCGCTTGAATCACCGATCGCAACTTAATCGACTTGACAAGCTTTCGCGTGAGACAGTAGTGGAGGTTGTGAAGCACGTTTGTCGTGTGCTTCACTTGTCTGACATAACTCTCATTGTGCCGAGCATCGAGAAGCTCTGCAATGTCGTTGCGGCAGTCCCGCGTATGGAAAAGTTTATCCGCGACGTTTGTGGGTTCGTTTTGTTGCATGATGAGACAACAGGCCAATACAGCGCCACATCCGAGTTGGAACAAGTTCTCCCGACATTACACTTGTGGGCGGAGGAGCGACAAAACCTGTGTGCTTTGGAAAAGTTCAAGACGTCGATAATGACTGAGCTAAGCCGGCGGATCACCGAATCAGGTGTTCGTAACGATGAGAAGGATAGCAGCCGCGTCGAGGACGCTCCCAATTACCCGACGATCTTGTCACGCGCTGTCCGTGCTGTTTCAGAGCTGGTGGAGCTTGAAAAAGGTGTTATACATCACCGGGATATGTATACACTTGCTGCTGAAGAAGTGGAGGTAAGTCAGACGCTGATTGAGTCGATTGATCCGTCTTACTTACCATGGATTACGTATGTTCTTACGTATGCTTCTAGCGTCGTCCAAATGATTTGGTCAATCCGATTGTGAGGCATTTCGCCTACCTTTTTCAAGTCAGAAATATCGATGGCATACTTCCCAAAATGAATGTACGTCCTCGTTCGCAAAAATTGGATGATCGTGACCAGTAATGTTTTGCAATGGATTTGGCAGGAAACGTATTTGATGGTGAATGAAATGAAGAATTTTGTGCACGCTATACGCGGCATTCTTCGCCTGAGTACGTCGGCCGTTCAGTGCTCCATATCTACCTGTGTTGTAAAATGGTGTGCTCGAGGTCAAATTACATTTTCTGATGATCAATATGCTTTGTAGAGAAAGATTCGTCATTGGTGTACTGCTTAGATATCATCAAGGAACTACTGCAGGAGAGCGTGGCAGATGCAATGCGTGTGCGTGCAGAGGAACCAAATGATGGCAACACAGAGGAGAACCACGTCTTTGATGGCTGCAGCCTGAACTTCGTCGTCGAGAAGTGTCGGTCGAGCGCGCGCGGTGGAAATTCTGAGACGAACTTAGCAGGCGTCCAAGAAGTACGAGAGATGAGTGTGTTGATCCGAGAGCTTAGACGTGAGCTAGGGGCAACCACAATGGATGACATCCTGCCAAGAACGAAGTGTTTGATGGAACTATTGAGTCTGTCCATTTATAATGCTGGGGAGTAGTCGACGAAGCAGACGAAACGATCTCTTTGCTAGCTGGTGAATCGATCATCTGCGAGCTGTTGCTTGATTGTGCTGCTCCTGTCACCGCTTTTGGTCCGTTTCGAATGAGGGCAAAGCGTAACCAAGAAGGCAAAAATGCATTTGGCGATTTCAGAGGGTACTCTAGCGATTGACTACCGAGGCTACCGTCCGACGAGCAAGGCTCTGATCACGCGGCTATGAGGCTGCGAGGCTTCTCTATCACTATGAAGACCCTTCCAGCATCTGACGCTGGCACCGGTGAAGACGATGCTGATCCATCTCGTTGTAGCTGCTACACATTGGTAGCTCATGTTTCGGAGACTCACAAGACACGACTGAAGTCATGGTGCTGTCAGTGACGGATGGGTGGAACACGCCACAGAGAACCACTTGAACGATTCTGATTATGCCGCTGACGCTCGATGGAATAATAACAAACCAGTCGACTACGATGTCTCCGTACACGGCCCACAGCATATTGTTGATCATCCCAGAGAGAATCAAGGCAAACGGTTGTGATTCTGACGATTGGGTCTGCATCACGAACCTGATTGCAGCTAGGAGCGACGCATTGAGCGCAAAGCTGCAACCGGTCTCGATGGTGCCCACGACCAACTACGCTGTGTCGTGGGAATGTGGCAGCAGTGAGGTCTCGGCTAGGATAGCGTACATGGTAACTGCGGTGTTCATGAGCAATACGTAGGCGCACGTTTTCATGGCAGCTCTGCGTTTTGTGCACAGCGGAGGTACACAACGAGGAAGGCGACGCTGAGTGTGTCGCCGATGACATACGTAACGAAGATGGGAACCATGTTGTCGGTCATGTATCCATACAGCATCTTGTGGAGGAAACAAGAGGACACAAAGAAAGTCATTGGCGATATTGCGATCACTAGCAGGTACTGTGTGTCAATGGTAACGACGTGCGTACTACAGGTGACTGCTGGCCCAGAGCATTGCGTCGGCAGAACCTCTGCATTGCCGTCGTCGCGGCGCTGATGGAACCGTAACGTGATCAATACGGGACTGGCGGACATGTACAGCGTCGATAGGGTCGTAACGATGCGCATGACGTCCTCGAACGAATACGACATTGGTGCTACGGAAGGAGAGAGAGGAGAAGTGCTGAGAGTTGGTGTCGGGCTGGCTTCGTGACACAGCTATTGCGACTTGAGCCCAATGTGGTTGTCTTTCAAGCGATCCTAGGAGGTGTGCCAAAGGAGCTAGCTCGCTTCTCACTGAATTCTTCAGATGTCTTGACAGGGCTGACACGACGCAGCATCGGACTGGGGATCCGATCAGACCGGCATGGTCTGGATTGATAACGCTGGCATGGACGATGTGGGGGAGTAAAGATGAGGACGAAGCCACGATACGAGCACACTCATGCCATTCGCACTTGGTTCGAGTCGTGATTGATCACTAGTACGCACGGACCGTCTTACATGTTTACCCACGGCTGATGGTACGCCTGCTCAGGTTTGCAATTTTGGTGGATTTATCGGTTGAGGGTTCTCGCGAATACGTGCATCAACTGAACCAAGGTACCTACTGGCAGATGTTGTTTGTCTGTCGCAGAAGACCCATGCATGATGATGCATACACTCGAGCCTAAAGATGGGCTAGAATGAACAGATATCAAACGGCGTAAACAAGGCTCGATCAGATGAGTGCGATCGTGAAGCGATGTCGACGATGGAGATCTTGGCATCTGCATGTGACGAGTCAACAGGGCCAGTTTCCGTGCAGATGGTCCATGAAAGCATATGCTTATGGAGAAAAGATCAATTAATTGCTGATTCGAAAACAGTTTTACAGTCTCAAATATAGTAGCAATGATATATTGATATCGCATCTTTGATGATAACAAGGTATAAAAAGCACGCACCGAGATAATGCAAAAGATGAATCCCACAAGATATAAAAATGTACTGATGACGCACTCGACACGTACGAGTACGCACCCTTTACGAGTACCGGCTACTTCAACACCAAGGGTACTACTATATGTTCGACGTTCGTAGCCAACTGTACTAAACATCGGTGTTGGCCTGCAAACGTGAAGCTGCATCTTTTTAGCAGGAGGGAGGAACGAGATTTTAGCCTACGACTTCGATGCTTTCCGTCACACGATATTCCTTGGTAAGCTACGTAGACTGTGCATACCGTTAGAAGCTTTAGGATTTATTTCCAGCCGGCCAAAAGCTTCTTACCTACGTATTTAATGGAGATACCCGACTCCACTGATGTTGTGTTGGGACCATCATCAGTACAAATTCTTCTCAAATCTGAAGACTCAATTTCGGGTGTTATTGCTAAAGCAGAATGAAAATAGCCCCAAAAACAAGTACGAAATACTAATTCACTAAAGAGGAATAAAAGCGTGCAATGTCTTGAGCCTAATTGCACTTGTTTTGCATGCAGACCTTCATTATTTTTAATTCTGTTCTAATTTATAAAACGCAAATTTCTTTTCTGTTATCGGAGCAGCGAATGCCGCCGATAGTCCTCCCAGAAACTATTGCACATTGCATAGCGCACAATTATGTGGTCCAAGCCTCCTCAAACTTCGTCCACATTGATTGCTTTAATAAGATAGGGGAGCAAGCTCTGGAGCTCGCCTTTTGATATGAGTAAGTCAGTTCGGAGAACTGAATCAAGTTGCATCACACTATACAACGGCAGACACTGAAGAATGAGTATAATGCTATGAATGTTTGTATGAACCTAGTTCAGTTGACTGGGGTAACGCGATCGGATCTGCTTATCATCGTCCAGCATTTGATTATGTGATCATATTCACCTTTGATCGATTTTAAGTCAATCCCGTGCGTGCGTCGCAAAAGGGACCTACTCAAAGAGTGACACCAATCGAGCCAATCGACCAATGAGAGGGAACAGGCTACATCGTACTTAGTACGTTTTAGGTACACCTAACCGTGTTATTTACAGACACACACAGATAAGTACGATTTAAAAGCTCGGTATTCAACCTTGCAAGCAGTCACTTATAGCTTCACCCATTAAGGTCGCAATAATCCCTTCGATGCCGTCTGAATGAGAAACGTACGCAGCGCAAAGCTTATGCTTCTTGTATCGACGTTCTGAATCTTCTGTGAGTACTAGCATCGGCAACCTGCACTTGCCAAAACATTGACCATGTCCATATCGGTGGCAAAACTTCCTCCTTTCTTTGACTCAACTTAGATCGTTACACGAGTCAGTCTTCGGTCAATGGTCGCGGTCATATTCTCGAATATAGTGGTAGCAGAGAAATCGCTTTGCAGTTATTTGGTTTGGATACTCGACAGGAGTCAAAGTAGATTTTGTTGGAGGGCTAATGTTAAAAAAGGAGGACTGCATGCAAAGATTATTTATATCGTACACTGCACGCAGGCTGCTGATAGCTTCGTGTGCAACTTGGGACCGCGCGAACCGGATGGTCGCACTTTTGGTCGGACTCAATTGCTGCTTGCATGATACCACTTTCATCATCGTAACACTTGTCGTTGAAGAAGCTGCTAGTATGCTGCTGCTCTTCACCGCTCTCCATTGCTGCTGTTGAACGCAAACTCACAAAATGGTACTTCTTGGTCAACAAGAGGTAGCGGTGTAGGTTATCAATGGGATAGCGGGTCAATGTTGTGTGAACAGCGAGAGACGAAAGAGTTACAGTCTTACAGAGTATGATTGACTAAATGACAGTTTCGCGACTTGATCGTGACATGTAAACCATCGTGCTGACAGTAAACTATGCTAGATTCACGACACAGTCTGTCTTCCTACGTTTCCACAGTTTGACAATGGTTGCGTCACACAATGTCTGTAGTCTGTGGCAATGAAACTTGCTTGTTGACATGACTCGTGGTGATGCATCAAGAGATCGTGGGTACAAGAAGTGATCAAAATGCAACAACAGACCAGGAACTGCCCAATCGCTCGCATATCGTTACGAAGACCTTGGTATGAACAACAGAAACAAGATTGGTTTGTCCTAGGCGGGATCAAGGTATACGTAAATTTGTACGTGTGAAAAACAGCTTTGGTCAGCTTTAGTTACTCTCAGTATTATCAAGATGTGGGTCAAATTATAAAAGCGTAATTAAATTGTACGCTTTTATAATAATGTTGAATATCTCTTCTGATTTTATGTGATCGAGATACACGGTTAAAAAGAACCTATTCTACCAGGCTACTATTTTAAATCCATATATTACTATAATTTTAAATGTACCTGCAGACAAAACCATTTATACCAACACATCTATTTACAAAAGGAGCAATTAATTTCTCGTCACTCAATCGACATGTGTTTTGACAGACCAGCGATACCGCCATTCATCATGTCGTTGCATCAATAGCCGGTCTTTTAGCACACAGACAAGCCGCTCAAGCCGGAGGACAGGTGCACAGATCCAGACGGTCCTTTCGCGTTCTTGATCACGCCTCAAGGAATCCGAGTGTGCAAACACGTCGACCGTCACATGTGACGCATCGCTCTTCAATCCGACTCCTTGCTCAAAGACTCGATGGAAAACCAAGCTTCACAGGGAGAGCTTATGCACTTGTAATCAAGATTTTACTCTCGATGGATGAAGAACCGCGCGCAGTAAACAGAGCGGAAACTAAAGAGCAGTTGGAGAAGCGTGGGAAGCCCTTGATACAGGACGAGTCAAGGCAACGTCAGTGCGCCCCTCGCTGCGGGGTATCCTACCATCATGACTTCTCCCTGTTTCCTTGGCCTCGGTGCCGGGTACTTCTCGCCCATGGACACTAGGACTAGTTTACTCTCTCGCTGCATGGTCTTGTCTTCGTCCATTCGGGCTCTAGTCTGTCAAATGAGAAGTGAGAAGGGGGAACAGGTGCAGCCACGTGTGGAGGGCGACCTGAGGAACGGCTCTCGCGTACTATGCAGTGGTCAGTGTGAAATCCGGACCATGTGCGTGTGGCGTCAGAGTGCTCGTAGACATGGCTGCAACCCTGTTTATAGCTCTCCAGCTGCAGTCCCCATCTCTGTCACTGCTACATTGATCCGGATCTTCCTGTGTGTATCCCAGAGAGAGAGAGCGAGGATCAGGCAGTCTATTGACCAAGCTTGTAAGGTGTACAAGACGTCTAGAACATCCTAAGCCAGGTTAGCAACGCCGGCGTCGAGTGCTCTGGTGGTTGTGGTCACAGGACCCACTAAATTCGCCTCCACTGCGCAACATCTGCCGCCACGGCGTCTCCGAACGCGCTCGATAGCCGCCTAGAAATGAGCTGAGACAGCGGTGGCGGACGTCTCCGTGCCACACAGACCACTTCGTAGCAGTGCTGTGGACAGTCATGAGATCCAACCTGACCGGTCCAATATCTCAAGATCTCCTGCCAACACCCTTGTCCAAGTTTCGCGTCGACCATCCTGTAGGGATCCCGTGTCTATCCCAGCTCTGATCGGGAAAGAATGCTGAGACAGCAGCTGCGTCGCGCCGGCCATGTCAAGCCACTTGGAGGTCAGTGGAGAGTGAGCTGACTTGGGGTAAAGAAGTGCGAGCGAGTGGCCATGCATCAAGCCCGAAAGGCTGAAGAACGACGAGCAGACACGGGCGATTGCAGCATACGGAAGCAAAGGAGGACCCGAGACCAGAAGCGAGGTCCCAGCCACACCACTAGCGAGACAACGGGACGTCCCATCACTTGCTTTAGTCAGCTCACGGGCTCTCTTACCATCCGATGGTCACTTGAGAACCAACCGCTTCCCGCTCAAGCCGCAGTTGCTGCGCAACCAAGTCAAGTCTAAGACCAAGTCCTCTCTCCTTCTGTCAGCACCAATGCCAGCTTCGGTCGAGGATATCATGCGCGTCGTCACGACCGTATCGACGCTGTACATGCTCGCCAGTCCCCTGCTGACTGTCATCCGGTTCCACCTACGCCACGACGTCGGGAGTGCAGCCGTGTTGCCGTTCGTGACGCTCTGGGTCAGCAGCCACATGTGGTACGCACATCGTTATCATGTACCTGCTAGCGATCACAATATCGTCACCAACCTTCTACTCTGTCCTCTTGTTGCTCTACAGGATGCTGTATGGATACGTGATTGGCAACCTGTTTCCCATCTTCGTTACGTATGTCATTGGCGACGCACTTAGCGTCCTCTTCCTTGCCGTGTACATCCGCTGGACAACCAACCGCAGAGCTGCTCTGAAAGTATGCACCATCGCTTTGCTCTGGAACGCCACAGTGACCATGTACGTTACCCTGTGCGAGACCGCCGTGCTGCCTCAGTCACAAGAAACGCTGGAGCTGGTTATGGGCATCATCGGGACCAGTTGCAGCTTTGTGCTCTACGCGTCGCCCCTTGCTGCGATCAAGCTGGTGTTGGAGACCCGGTCGTCCGAGTCGCTACCATTCGCCCTGATTCTCGCTGGCACGATCAACAATGCGCTCTGGGTCGTGTACGGAGCCATCGTATCCGACTTGTTCGTCATTCTCCCATCTGCCGTGAGCACAGCGATCGGGTTCATCCAAATCGTTCTCTGTGGCGTGTTCCACCCTTCTCGTGCTGCAGCTGACAAGACCGTGACTTCAGCCATGCCTTGCGAGTCTTCAAACGACGAGCTCTCACAGTGTAGCAGCTATGACGTAATGGAATCAGCCACGCCGTTGCCACTTCATTACAAGTGCCAACAGGAGCTGGAAGGGACCTTATAGTATACCCTGAAGTCATGGGTAGCAAGGCAAGCGTGGAAGTCTGTCTAGTATTGCAATCGACAAGCTTTGCGGCATTGGAGAGCTATGCGGCATCGCTATCGACAGAGGTAGTTATAGTCGTTGAGTTCCCTCAGGCTCTAATATTAGCACAAAACTAACAGTAGTACACTGCAGGAGTGAGTCGGACGCTTTGTACAGTGAGGTCAGAGACCGTACGTAGTCGCTGATCTGTTTCTGATCTGCTCGCCGGGACTGAAGTATCCAGACGATCCTGGTGACCACCATCTGGATCTTTAGAAGCAGATGGTAAATTCATCAAGTGGCATGTAGGACACTTTGTGACTAGCGACCACGACAGCCTAATCGGAGACCTTAATTGTGAAGTTCCTTATACTTGCTCGACTAGCAAGCTGCAAGAACTACGTGCGTATTATTACTCCGGCGCTTACCACACACAGCCTTGAACACTAGTAGCTAAAGAAAAACTGTTACTTTCAACCTCTACATTCGAGCTATTCCCGATAAACCGGGACCGAGACAAGAGCGAGCAACAGTTTAGTTCATCAAAGTGATGTGCATCGTGGCGGGCCGTCCATTTCGTATCGTAGCCAACGCGTCAAACCCTTCTGCTTCTTCCCTACTTGGCCACGTCAAATTGCAGGTGCGCGAGCTTCTCGCTGTAGGACCACAGCTTGGCCGCTGCGTCCTCCGACTTGCTCAGCGACGACGAGTCCACGCGTGCTGGCGAACCATACAGCTCCAGATACTTTGGACCGTAATACCCACCACCCATAGCAGACTCACTCGTCGCTGCATACAACGTCGACAGCGCTCCTTTCTCCGGGCTTTGAGGCGTCACCATAGCCACCGTCCGAAACATGAGCCACCACAACCAACTATCGCTATTCGTTTGCGCCGCTTTCTTCATGATGTTCGTGTCACAATATCCTGGATGAGCGGCATTGGCCACCACATTGGCAATCTTTGCAGCTTTCAAGCGACGGTCGAGCTCCAGCGTGAACAAGAGGTTGCACAGCTTCGACACCGCGTACGCGGCAACTTGACCATACTCCTCCAGCTTCGTGATCATGATCTTTTCCTCGTCGAAAAAAAGCGATGCATGGCGATGGAGAAAACTGCTCACCGACACAATCCGAGCAGCTTCACTCTTCTTCAGCAGCTCAAACAGTTGTGCTGTCATGGCAAAGTGGCCCAAGTAGTTCGTTGCAAACTGCAGCTCGTAGCCATCCGCCGTCTTCGTGTAAGCTCCACCGACAATTCCGGCATTGTTCACCAGTACATCCAAGCGGTTGTGAGTCTTCTTGAACTCCTCGCAAAACTTGTGCACGCTGCTCAAGTCCGCCATGTCCACCAGCATCAACTCGACCGTTCCGCTCTCACTAGCAGACTCAAGAAGAGCTCGCAAGTCTGTTTCGGCTTTGAGACCGCGCTCGCGATTACGACAGGCCAACACCACATGAGCGCCTTTGCGTGCCAGCTCCAAGGCCGTGCAGTACCCAATGCCGGAATTGGCGCCCGTGACAATAGCGACTTTATCCTTCTGCGAAGGAATGTGCGTAGCATTCCAGTTGCTCGGTACTTGAGGCTGTGGCACGAGACCCTTGCTCAACGGACTACCCATAACTGCTGCTAGACTGCCTTGAATGGAGCAAAAGACCAACTGAAGAGCAAAGTCTCTGCTCGAGTGCTGCTGGTCAAACGTGGACGGGGACATTGGGAAGTGGCGAGGAACGAGCTGGAGAGTGCCAACCGTTGACAGCTCAACTGAAAGGGAAGCATCAAGACGATTGACGGATTGGAATGAGTTCTTTCACGGCGAGAACAGTCAGAAGCAGTTGGTCTTTGCTGACGTCTTGTCTTACTTGCTAACATCGAAAGACACGCGCGTGAGCTGTTCACTCAAGGTCCACAACTTTGTCGCACCCGACTTCGACTCGCTCAGCCTGGACGGGAGTTCACGCACTGGGTATCCGAACATCCTCAAATGCTTGGGTCCAAAGAACTCGCCGGCTTCGACTTCCGTGCCAGTTGCTGCAAGCAGCGTCGGCAGCGCACCCATTGCACAGCTCTGGCGCGGACACAAGTCGGTCACCTTGAACACGAGCCACCAGAACCAGCTACGGCTGCTCTCTGCAGAGACAGTAGCCAGACTCGTAGCAGTCACTCCAGGATGACAGGCAACGGCAGTGACTCCCTTGACGCCTGCCGTTTTAATGCGACGAGCCAACTCTTTCGTGAACAAGATGTTGCTCAGCTTTGTCACGCTGTAGTTTGCCATCTCCCGGTACTTGTCTTCGCTCGTCACCATAATCGCGTCCTCGTTCCACGTTGAAGCCGAGCGGTGCATCACACTACTGACGTTGACAACGCGTGACGGCGCGCTCTGTTTCAACAAGGGGAACAAGTGCGCCGTCAAGGCAAAGTGACCCAAATGGTTGGTAGCAAACTGACGCTCGTAGCCATCCGCTGACAGTCGAAACGCTCCCCCCATGATGCCAGCGTTGTTGATCAACAGATCCAAGCGGTTGTGTCTGCTCTTGAACTCGTTCGAGAACTCCTGGACGCTGGTCAAGTCGCTCACATCCAGCTTCATGAACTCGACACTTCCAGCCTCGGAAGTCCCAGCCAAAGCCGCTCGTAACTTCGTCTCGGCTTCTTGACCACGTGCTGCATTACGACACGCTAGAACCACAGTCGCTCCTTTGCTTGCAAGTGCGAGAGCGGTCTCGTACCCGATACCCGAATTGGCCCCCGTGACGATTGCTAGTCTTCCCTTTTGAGACGATATCTGCGAGACATCCCAATTTCCAGTGGTGGTTGTCATTTGGCGAGAAGTTACGTCGGACATGAGGCAATGCGAAGATCCAATGGACTGACGCTGTAGCCGATTACGAAATGATTGGTACGTCTCACCTCTAATCGAGAGAGAGAGAGGGAACAAAACAGCCATGCAGCTCGCGCCTTCCTTTTTATCATATGGTTACAGCCAGACGAAGCGGATCAGAAGGATCGTGGAAACAGCTGCCGTGCTCTCGAAGCGGCTGTTGCGAATAAGACTGGACCGGTAGATTGATCAACATATGGTCGGCTGGAATCGCGGAGACCTTTGTTGGACACGGTATGATCTACTTGCCGACGAGGAAGTTGAAGATGTCGCCGTCCTGACAAATGTAGTCTTTGCCTTCTGCACGCAGGAACCCCTGCTCTTTAGCTGCGCGCATGCTGCCAGCGCGGACAAAGTCGTGGTAATTGACAGTCTCGGCCCGAATGAGCAGCTTTTCAAAATCCGAGTGGATCACCCCAGCGGCAACTGCGGCTGTCGAGCCCGCGAGCACATTCCACGCACGCGCTTCTTTCTCGCCAACCGAGTAGTACGTCTGTAGCTGGAGGAGCTCCTGACTCGCTCGAATGACTTGTGTCAATCCCGTCTCCATCAAGCCGCTCTCGTTGAGGTACTCGAGTTGACTCTCGTCATCCTCGAACGACGCTGCTGCTTCCTCTAGTGATCCAGATACTGTCAAGCACAGGCTTCCTTCTACTTCAACTCGGTCCCGCACAGCTCTCGTCATTTCGTTGCCTGCAGCAGCGTCGTCTTCGGACACATTGCACAGGTAGAGGGTCTTCTTGGCCGTTAGCAGCTCTAGACGCTCGAACTGCACTTGTTCGTCCGGCTTTTCGAACGTCAGGCTGCTCGCGAGGTGGCCATCTTCCAAGTGAGGCTGCAGACGCTGTAGAACCTCTAGCAGTGACGAAATCGTCGGGTCTGTCGATCTGTGTCACGCAACAAGACGCACGACAACCATGAGCCATCCAAACGTGCACTTTCCATCAGCACCTCATAGAGTATCACCAACTTTTTCTTCTTGACAGCGTTCATCAAGCGCTTCTCAACTGTCTGTAAGTCTGCAAGGATCAGTTCTGTGCGAATGGTGTCCAGGTCCCGGATCGGATCGACTGACTCATCGACGTGGAGGATATTCGTGTCCTCGAAGCAGCGCACGACGTGAGCGATCACGGCCACTTGCCGAATGTTGTCCAGAAACTTGTTGCCTATTGACCATCAATAGCTCTCGTCAATCTCGTGTCTGAGCATCTAAACACTGGAGGTGCATCGTATGCACCACTCACCAAGTCCTTCGCCTTTCGAAGCTCCACGCACAAGTCCAGCAATGTCCACGAACTCGAGCTATTGATCGAATCACACACACACATTTGGCAACCCCATGCACATCATTCACTTGGTTTTCTGCACAGAGCAACGCCCCTCCTTTTCCTCTACCTGCGTCTCAATCACTCGCTTGGACTTTTCGACCTCTGCCAAGTGACGGACGCGGTCATCCGGCACAGCCACGCGCGCCACATTGGGATCAATGGTACAGAAGGGATAATTCGCAGCTTGAGCCACTTCGGTCTTGGTCAAGGCATTGAATAGCGTGGATTTGCCGACATTGGGCATCCCCACGATACCCACCGAGCGCTGGAAACTGCGACAACCATAAGGTGTGCGAGAAACGACACGACGACATGACAGCATGATTGATTGGTGGTGCGGAGCGTTGACAGATGTGATACTGTACTTTACGTGCAGCGTGTGACAAGACAGAGATGGAACACCGGTAAGTGATGGTGGGACGACTGTTGATTGCTAATAGCTAGGTCTCAGCTAAGCAGGAAATTGCGATAGCATAACGTGATGGCGCTTTCTAGCTGGGCATTAGCGTTTATGTCGTCGACCTTAAGAAAGTGTCGCTGCTGGAGCTATATGCATGCGAAAGTTAGACATTTGAAGTGAGTAGTGACAGTATTCAGGGACGAGATTAGATCGAATGTCATCCCCGTGTGATCAGCATGTGTTGTCCCTGGAAAGGATGTCTTGCGAGTGCTATGATGTTGAGAAGCATAATAACATCAGTTTCATTCGGGCCATGAGCCTGATACTGACTGAAGAGCGGAAGCACATGGATTGTAAATGCAGTATGATCGAGGAAGATCGATGCCGGACAAAGCTTCTGCGCTGTCATGACCTCATATGCATCTACAGGCTTCGGTAAGCGCTGGAGGTTGGATGTACACACTGTGTTTACCTCCTTCCCAACGTTTTCTCCGGTGCAAATAATTGCGGTCTGCAGCACACGCGTAGCACACATGACGTCTGCTCTCTCACTTCGTCACGCGGACGATCCTCTGGCGGTAGAAATTGTCATGTAGCATTGCAGGACGTCCACTTTTCCTGTAAACCAGCAGCTGCTCTTTGTGTAGTCGATCTACTTTGTCCAAGTACACGTTGGCTGCATGGCAGACCTTGCGCAGTTCGTCACTCTCCAGCTGCTCTGCTACGAGCTCTTCGCGTCTCAAGATCCTCTTTGCCCGCTTAAACTTGCCCAGCTGCAGTGCGTTGTACATGAGATTCACTCTGCATTTACTCTCAAGTATCGGGTCTTGTAGCCCCATTGAAATGCCAATCTGCAGCTTCGCCAACAGCGTCGAGTGGCTCAAGTGACGACACAAAAAGTGGCCACCTCCTAGTGTCGAGACGTAGGCATTTGCCGTCACCAGGGCAACAACAGCATTCACAAACTTGACTGCACGTCTAGCTGATGCCATATACAGTGGCAGTAGCTGCTGTGGGCGGTACGTGAGTAGCACAAACACCCAATGACGAGGTCTGTCCCTTGTCTCGGCCACAAAGTAGCAAGCGTTGGCGTCTTCCCATCGACACTTTGGCTCAAAATTTTGCTTCGGCAGTGCTTGGAACCTCTTCTTGGTATTAAACATTGAAAACAATAGCGACAAGAGCTGTTGCGTCTCGTCTGGATACGTCGTCGAACCTTTTGACGATAGGAGGAATGTTAGGAACTCGAAAACGTCTGCATGAGCGATAGCGACGCTGCCGCAGAACTCAAAATCGGTACCGGCAGATGCACAAGCGTCTGTGTGAGCAGATACGCTACGTTTCAGATCCCGAAGCGCTCTACGCTCGCGTAGCGGTGCCTCGAAAGCCACAACGCGCTGGCGGATACTCACAGCGACGCTCGTCATGTTGGACGGTTTTCTAGCATGCCGTTGATTCGTAGAAAATCGAATAGGTCTAGGGTCGGAGAGGAGTTGTGCTTATTGGTAGAAAGAGCGATGTATTTGAACCAATGACAACACCGTCGATCTTGAAACGGCACCTGCCTCAAATAGCATTGACAATCATAAATGTCTGCGAGACGCTCGATCAGAAAGTGGGTAACGGATATGAGCATACAGTGAGGTTCAGCTGGCTGTGGGCGGTTGTGCTCGTTGAGCTGCTGGCAACTTTGCGGGTGGGCCGAACGTTGGCTCCACGCAAAAAAGAACTGGTCGAGTGTATGGAAAGCATAGTGCGCCACTTCTGAGAATCATTAGCGTTTTTCAGCTGTCATTTTTACGAGTCTACCTCGGATGGAGCGCACGTGCATCACATGGCTTTAGGTGTGCGCTTGCAGTTGTCGCGAGAGATCCGAGATAGCACTATGAGGAGACGGACGGAGAAACCATTGCGGGGCATGAATGGAAGCTTCGCGCGCTGGTCCAGCATTCGTTCGAGCATAAAACAGCAAGTCTAAACGGTCCCTGGATTGTTGTGTAGTCAAATGGAAGTGGCCATGTGTACAACTGCTGGGGCTGTACATGGTAGCACCAGTCACGTGTATGATTACTGTTGTGGGCACTACTGGTGCGGGCATCATGCGCCTGTACACGGAGTAACCGGTGCTACCTCGTGTTTGGGATTACCAACGGCCCGTTTTTCAGCGCTGGCGAATGACGTGGTAATCACCGATCTCGAATTTGACATCGGGAATGTTGATGGTACAGCAATAACCTCATCTATCATTTCGCTTCTTTTGCGACCAAGTCCTGACGCCATATCCACTTAGCTATCGTCTAGTGTCGTGTACAGACCAGAACATGCACTGCACGTTTTGCCACTACATTGACACTTTAAGCAGATAGGGGACGAGCGAATGACTGGTCAACATGTCTACAAACTAGGTGGACACTAGAGTACGCTAATCCAGTGGTAGTGGGGGAACCTAAACGAGTTCAGCTTTCTGGTCAGAAAGTGATGCGGAAGCAGCAATGCGTCTATCGAAGAAATGCTGGACGACAATGATTCCAGTTGCAGAGGATAGAGAGTGTGTTGTGATTCACAATGGTAAGTAGTGGAGCCCTTTGTCGTTGTCGTCTGACGAGTGGAAGCTGAATGTTTAGGCTGTGGGTGACAATTCTGGCTCGGTCACGCCCGCACACAGGGATGTGGCCAGTGGCCACGAACCTTTCAACTATTCAGGTGATATTGACGCGCGCTTTGCCCTATGGAAGCATTATCGAGCATGCAGCCTAGCTGACCGGGGCCGACAACTCCAGCGTTGCATGATAAAGCAGCCCTTTTGCCACAGTCCAACAGTGGCCATCTGTCTCTTGACGCGCAGTAATGCTGCACCTACAATGTACTCCTCATCGTATCGTCGTACATCACACACGTCACGCTTCAACGCGCTACCAATGAATAGACACGATGGGTGTCGCTCATCCTGATGACCATCAACTTTCAGCTCAGCTTGGCCACGACAGCGCTCAGCTCGCTTCTTGTAGACACGCCAGCTGCTGTGAACGGGTCGCATGCAAACAACGTAGTGAAGACCTGACAGACTTCATTATGACGGAACCTATTTGCCTAGTGTTGGCCCCGCCATATCCGACAACAAACGGTACAAAGCGATCTTCGCTCTCACAACCCACAACTATAACGTGTCTAGGTGCAGAAAGACCAGGTGGCTACTGAAACACATTGCGATCCTGCACGTCTATCAATCGCCAGCAGTTACCCCCTCCCCTTCCATGCAGCAGCTGCAGCTTAAAGATCTTGACATTCGTATGGCCAACATTGAAGTGGATTTCGAATTGGGGGATCTTGGCCTGTCTTCGCACTGGATCGTCCCGCGCTCCTGCGATTGGTCTATAATACACATGCGCTAGACTGCCACGATTTAATGGAAATCAGGCTCGCTCACTATTGGGCGTGTCAGCTGTTAGAAAGGACTGACTGTACACAAAACCGCGTTCGCCGTCTCTGGAATGGGTACACCCTCTCGTCTCATTTACGACTGACAATGTCACTTTTGAATTTTCCCGCACCTGCCCATTTAGCGATCAAGATGAAGCGTCTCTTCCCCTTCCTATCGTTAAGCTTCGTCGCACTTGTACTGGCAAGCGCCCGCAATGACGATGCACTGGTGACGCATCTGCCTGGTCTGCACGCCCCAGCGCTCCCGTTCAAGCACTACAGCGGCCATTTGGAGTTACAACAAGGCGAGCAGGAGCGACTGTTTTACTGGTACGCCGAGAGTCAGAACGAGCCAGCAGACGATCCGATTGTGCTGTGGCTCAATGGCGGTCCCGGCTGCTCGTCCTTGGGTGGTTTCTTCACTGAGAACGGACCATTTGTCGTCCAGTATGATCTGTCTGTTAAACTGAACCGGTACTCGTGGAACCGAAAGGTGAACATGGTGTGGCTCGAGTCTCCTGCTGGCGTGGGCTTCAGTGGGGACGTTGAGGACCGAAGTTACTACAACGACACTGTGGTTGCAGCCAGAACGCGTGAGTTCCTCAGTCTCTTCTTCAGCAAGTTCAACGAGCTCGAGAACCGTGAGTTCTACATTGCGGGCGAGAGCTACGCAGGTATGTACATCCCGTACCTTGTGGATCTGTTGGTGGAGGAACCACTGGAAGGCGTGAACCTCAAGGGCTTTGCAATCGGTAACCCGTTCACGGACAACCTTATTGACGGCAACGCCTACGTCGATTACTGCTACTCGCATGCACTCGTGTCGCTCGAAGCTTATGAGGAGATCAAAGTACACTGTGGAGCGTATATCGGCTGTCTCTTTGACGAAACGCCCTGTCCAACCAAGTGTGAAGAGCTCCTGAAGAAGGCTGAAGCGGGAGCTGACGCAGATGCGTTGAATCCGTACTATATCTACGGTGACAAGTGTTTGCTGGATAACACGCAGGCAAAGGCTCTGCGTAAGCGGGCCAAGCCGTTTATGCAAGCGTCGCCCACACACCGCGGCGACATTGGAGCTTGTGCAGATTCACTTACTCGCGTGTACCTGAACCAACCGAAAGTGCAAGAAGCCATCCATGCAACGCAGCCAGGTGGCCAGCATGTTGCGTGGACGGACTGCAGTGATCCGGTTGGCGAGCTTTACCAGTCCAGCCCTTCGTCGCTGCCCAAGTACCGCAACATTCTGGACCGCGATCTCAAGGCGCTCGTCTACAGTGGCGACGCAGATTCGGTCGTCAACTTTATCGGCACAGAGCGCTGGATTGGCGGTCAAGGACTCAAGTTGCGCATTAAGACAAAGTGGCACGCTTGGTTTGGACCGGACAAGCAGTTGGCTGGCTATGAGCAGCACTACGAGGGTCTCACGTTCAAGACCGTCAAGGGTGCTGGTCACATGGTGCCAGCCGTCCGGCCGCTGCACGGTCTCCATCTCTTTGAGTGTTTTGTGTTTGGCCAGAGCGCCTGCACTGAGTTTGTGTATCCCGTTGACGACGAAGAGGTCGGCACTGGACTGACCGTGATGCAGCAGCACGTTGACATGACAGGTCCTCTCACTGGCGTCACTGGCGTCAACGACGAGTCTGGATCATCGTCGCTAAAATGGCTAGCACTGCCTGGTGCATGTGGGTTGGTCGTGGTACTAGTTGCTGTTGCCATTCGAACTGCCAAGACACGCGGCAGCTTCCAGCGTCTGTACTCGAACGGCTACCAGACCGTCGCGTAAGTCTCGACGGCTGTACTTGTGAGCGGTCATTGCGCCTCCTTAACAAGTAATAAAAAGACGGTTGAACATGCATTGACCCTGATACACAGAAGAAGGTGATGGATGCATCGTCCTGGCAATCGCAACTACCTCTGAAGACATCCTCACGACCATCGATCAACGGATACTCCCGTTCACCCAATCACGTGGCCAACGTGGTATCCATCACGTGCGACAAGGACGGGTGGCACACACTTGTTCGAGTCCCAATGGCACACCTCGTCTGATTCATGTCCTACTCCAATAGAAATGGTGCGGTAAACGTATGATCGGACTGATTTTTCCTGGTCAGCACGCCCACCCGTTTCGTTCACCCTTCCTTACGCCAGAAATGCCAAGCGCACGAAAGTATCCACTCAGGCCTTAAAGATCCGGTTCCGGCTCTCGTTCGTCACTCTTCAGCAGACCACCACCAAACGTCATTGTAACAATTCCGATCCAAGTGGACGACCCGAGTCCATGACGACGTCTTTTGTGCTCACGAGCACAGCTTTTCTTGCTGCATTTGCGGCATTTTTGTCGCCTTCAGCTGCCGCTTTCGAAGCGCATCGTGTTGGAGATCTCCCTGGTCTTAACCAGACAGACGTTTCCTTCAAGCACTATGCTGGTCAACTGCGTCTGCCGACAAATACTTCCGAGAAACTGTTTTACTGGTACACAGAGTCACGTCGTTCACCCGAGAGCGATCCCATTGTGCTTTGGCTGAACGGAGGTCCGGGCTGCGCGTCGTCTGAAGGGTTTTTCACGGAAAACGGACCGTTCGTTGCTACCCGCGACGGAACCGTTGGGCTCAATCCTTATGGCTGGAATGCTCGAGCCAACGTTGTCTGGGTTGATTCGCCATCCGGAGTTGGCTTTAGTTACCCGTTGCAAGCTTCAACAGGGTACTACAATGACGACGTTGTTGCCGATCGACTGCGGTTATTCCTCCGCGAGTTCCTGATCAAGTACCCGGAACTTCGGCACCGTGACTTCTACGTGACGGGGGAAAGTTACGCTGGGATGTACATCCCGTTCTTGGTGGAACGACTGGTTGATGATCCTTTGGATGGCTGGAACTTGAAAGGGTTTGCCGTGGGGAACCCGCTGACGGACATGGACATTGATGGGAACGCTTACATGGAGTATTACTGCTCCCACGCACTGATATCGCCTGCGGATTATCGCTCGCTGCTCGGGCAGTGCGACAATAACATAGCCCAGTGCATGTTCACGGATGTGAACTGCACCACTCGTTGTGAAGACGCTGTGTTGAAAGTCCACGAAGCTGCTGGCTCGGACGAATTCAACCACTACAACATCTACGGCGACGTGTGTCAGATGAAAAACCGTCAACGGACTGCATTGCACTCGCATCTATTTGATAAGGTAAAGCCACAGATCCAGACCCACCGTGGCGTTCTTGGTCCGTGCGCTGAGGATTTCACTGAGATGCTGATGAACAAACTGGAGCTGCAGCAAGCACTCCATATTGAAGGTGAGCTGCCTGTGCAGTGGGAAGGCTGTCACCCGTTTATCGTACGCTATTTCGTCCGCACGTTCTCGTCGCTGGAGAAGTACCGGAAACTGCTCGGCAATGGATTGAATGTCCTTATCTACAGCGGCGACGCTGATTCAGTTGTGAACTTCATGGGCACGCTGCGCTGGATCACGGAAGAGGGACTCAGTTTGAAGCCTGCGTCGCCGTGGCGTCCGTGGTTGGGCCCGGACGACCAGATCGCGGGTTACCACCAGCAGTTCGAGCTTGGTCTCACTTTTAAGACCATCAAGGGTGCAGGCCACATGGTCCCCGCTGTGCGTCCGCTTCACGCCCTTCACCTTTTTGACTGCTTCCTCTTCGGTGACGACAATTGCACAACCATTGCTTACCCGACCGACTCGTTTGAGCTTGAGGCGGCAGGAGGTGTGTTTGAACCCGAGGGGTCGACACCACCTAATGCTCAAGATGCGAGCACAGATCTGGAAGAACAAACTGATCCAACTGTCTTGCAGGCAAGTACATCGACTGGACACGTCCCGGGTACTGCTGTACTATTGTTGGTTGCATGCGCTGTCGTCATGGTGGTGGCCATGGTCTACGCGCAACGTCGCAGCCGCCAGAATGGTCAGCGTGGTCACGGTTACCAGACCATTTCGACACTTGATTGCTGTTCGGCCTGCAACGACGGTCTGTATCGACTATCACCATCGCGGTATTGCGAGAAACGCGTCGAGTGCTTTCCATCTCACTTGTACATGTTTGCTGGCTATGCCAGGATGTTGCTGAATAAAGCAGGTGAGTTTTCATCACACATATTTCTCTCGACTCATTGCTGAACACGAGGCCCTCTTGTCTAGCAGCACATCTCACAACAAAGAACACCGTCAGCTCGTTTGACTGCAACTGCATAGCAACTGGGATGTCCTGCACACCCGATCACAACAAGTAGAATAGCTGTGTCAAAGGTGGTAACCGAATTCTTCGTAAGCAGTGGCAATGCTGTAAGACGGTTGCATGCGCAAGTAGGACGAGGCACACGTCGAGGTAGTTGACTGGTTAACCAGGCGTCAAGCATCATGCAGGCACCGTCTTAGACCAGGGCTTGCTTGAACCCGATTGCACCTATAAGCAAATCGGCGTATACCCAAATTGTTTCTTGTGCCATCAGGATGGCACCTATGGGCAGTTCATCTCCAGCAGGTATATTTGGGTTCAACTTGTAGTGGAGTACACATCGTTCGTGCAAACGAACCAGCGTACACAACACAACAACCACTGATAATCGGTGACTGGCCTCCGTATCCGAAGTAGGGTCCAATGCTCTCAAGCGGAAAACGGGTCATTTTGGTGATGACAACGCCGCATAGGGCTTGCATAGCAATGATGGCTTGCTGCTGTACGTCAAGGTGGGCCCTACAAGCACGATAAAGGTAGGCAGTGAGTGACTGATCGCATGCTCATCGGCGAGCGCTGATCCCTATCACTTGTTGACGGTGGCTGATCTCGCACGGGACAAGTCTCGGTAGCGACAGAAGGCAAATCTCCGGGGAGACAACCCGAAACTGCCAAGCGACCATCAACCGCAAAGACTGCCATCAACTACTAGCACGTTGAGCACCTTTCAGCTGCTTGCTTGCAGGATAACAAAACACGCCAAAACGTCAAGCAAACCGGATTCATCAGAGGTGACAACAACGAATTGAGTCCGAAATGCACCTTTCACCTTCTGTGTAGATTCCGCGAGTCAAAAAACTATCGTGTCTATCTCTACCCGAGTGCAACGTCCATGACCATCATGACAACAAAACCGACGATCGTGCCCAACGTCGCCAGCTTCTGGTTGCCACTCTGCGTCGTCTCGGGTACGAGATCGTCCACAACGACAAAAATCATCGCTCCCGCAGCAAATGACAATGCATACGGCAAGATCGGCTGCACGTACAATACTGCACCTGCACCAATCAGCTACACAAAATGAAAAAACAAACGTCAGCACGTCTTACAAGACGCTGTCTACTCATCATCATCACCATCCATGCATAATACTCACGCCTCCGATAGGTTCCACGAGTCCACTCGCTTGTCCCCACATGAACGCTCGAAACGCCGACGCGCCCTCTCTCCTCAACGGCATTGACACTGCAAGTCCTTCCGGAAAGTTCTGCAGCCCAATACCAATCGCTAGATTCCGAGCATTGGCAAAAGTGGCACGTGCACTGTGGCCAATACTGCCAAAGCCCACACCCACTGCCATTCCTTCCGGCAAATTGTGCAGCGTAATAGCAACCACAAGCATGATGACCCTCCGAAAGCTGCTGCTGCTGCTGTTGCGACTGCAATTGGTCGTGTCGGCCTCGACATTGCAGTCAAAGTCACCTCCATCATCATCATTGTAGCTATAGTCATCATCCTTCTTCCTCTTCTCGAGAGCTTTTCTGGGTATTGTAGCAGCAGTCCGAGCAGTAGCAAGCTCGTCCACGCTCACGTACTTTTCCAGCACGGGCAGCACTTTTTCTGTGCCAAAGAGCGTGAGTGCTCCGAGTGTGAAGCCCACTGCAGCAGGCACGAAGGCGTATCGACCGTCTGGGCCGTAGCGTTCGTCGTCCTGAGTGGCAATGTCAATAGCTGGGGCTAATAATGACCAATAAGAAGCCGCGAGCATTACGCCCGTGGCAAAGCCCAGCATGCCGTCCAAGATCTTCTGACTCGTGCGTTTGTCCTGGACGTCCAAGACAAAGACCATGGCCGAACCCTATACAAAGAGAGAGAATGAGACATGAGAAAGATTCAGATACGGAATCAGATAGTGAGCGACGTACGAGTGCAGTGAACGCCCATGTGACGAACGTCCCGAGAAGCGCCTGGACAACTGCGTGCTGGTTTTCGATCATTTTAATATGTTGCAGAGTGTTGGTCGGTTGCAGAGTGTTGGCCAGTTGCAGAGTGTTGGTCAGTTGCAGAGTGTGTGTACGTTGCAGAGTGTTGGTCAGTTGCAGAGTGCTGGCCAGATAAGGGCAGTGTCTGTGTACTGGGCGTGATTGGCTGAAATGAAAAACTAGTCGGACACGGGTCGTGTGAAGGACGATCGCTATAGGTTTACCTAGAACCGATCGAAGATAGGACGAAACTGAAGGCACGAAACGTTTGACATGCCTCGCATTGTTGCGTACAAAGGCACCGTCGTACACTCCGTCGCGCTCGGCCACGTCCAAGTGTTCCGACCTGGTCTCATTGGTGTTGACAATGCAACGGGGAAAATCGTGTTCGTTCAAGATGGAAGCGACTTGCACGGAAGCAGCTTGGAGCCATTTGATGCCTGTGTGGATTTCGGCGACCAGTTGTTACTTCCGGGGTTCGTTGACGGTCACGCCCATGCACCGCAGTACGCGTTTCTCGGGGTCGGGATGCACTTGCCGTTACTTCAGTGGCTCGAAACATTTACGTTTCCCCATGAAATCAAGTTTGAAAATCGCGAGTACGCACGGGAAGTGTACGACCAAGCTGTACGACGGCATTTGAACAATGGTACGACCACGTGCTCGTACTTCGCGACCGTACACCTGGAGGCCTGCAAAGAGCTTGTTGACGTCTTGGAACAAGTTGGCCAACGTGCTTTTGTGGGGAAAGTCAATATGGACCGCAACGCCCCGTGCGCGTTGCTCGAAGACACTGACACGTCAATCTCCGACACGAAGGCGTTTGTCGCGTACGTACAAAACAAGCACAACGAGTTACTGACGCCCGTGATTACACCACGATTTGTTCCGAGCTGTTCGACCAGACTGATGCAGGGCCTCGCGGACATTTCACGAGCACATTCACCCAAGTTGCCTGTGCAATCGCATCTCGGTGAGAACCGCCAGGAGATCAAGTGGGTCGAGCAATTGCATCCAGAATGCAAGTCGTACACGGATGTGTACGATGAATATGGACTGCTGCACGAACGGTCGTACATGGCGCACTGCATATGGTGCAGCAAGAGCGAGCGCGAGCTCCTTCGTGACAACCGCACGGCAGTGATCCACTGTCCGAATTCCAACTTCTCGCTCTCGAGCGGTGTGCTGAATGTCCGTCGACTGCTGCAAGAGGGAATTAAAGTGGGACTGGGCACAGACGTGTCAGGCGGCTATTCGTCGTCCATGTTGGACGCCATTCGTCAGGCTGTTATTGCATCCAAGATGGTCTCGATTGGCAATGGCAGTGCTAGTGAAGAGCAGAGTTTGGAGGCTTTACAGGAGGAAACAGCAGCAGCGCTGTCGTATGCTGAAGCTTTTCATCTCGCAACCGTTGGTAGCGCTGAAGCACTCGGACTTGGCGATACGGTTGGCAACTTTATGATCGGCAAGGACTTTGATGCGCTCGTGGTGGATCCTTACTGTGCAAATAGCCCCATGGACAAGCCGTTCGACCCCGTCGAGGCCGCAGACGTTTTCCACACGTTTCAGAAGTTCCTTTTCCTCGGTGATGACCGCAACATCGTTTCCGTCTTTGTGAAGGGGCGGCAAGTCAAGGGTGTGTTACCTGAGCTTCGTGCGACGAAGGTCGACGACGTCACCAGCTCCTTATAAAGAGTTGCATTCGTACCTTCCGGTGATTACGTTCTGTCTTCTTCTATCAACGAAAGAGCGAATGGTCCGTCGACAGTCAATCGTGTTACTACATTGACTGGTGGTTCCACCTGTAGACGTACTGACGGAACGCAAGCGAGAGATGGCACGTGTGTGCAATGCAGTGAGCAGTGGACTCCTCTGAAGTGTGGGAGTCCAACCGTGAAGCAGCATATGAGGAGAAGACTTACTACACCACCAAAACAAACATGTTGTGAGAGAATCGAGGTCCACATCATGTCCAAGCAATTTGTCCACCGATTGGGCTATTGGAACTTTGTCATAAGATGGATGAGTGTGTGATCCGAATGCTCACTTTGAACAAGAACGTGATGAGAAGCGAAGATAAAACATGGAAGCAATGCGGACCCAGAGTTTTGTGAGCCAAGAGGGCAAATGCAGCAAGGTGGAGGCACAGCTGAGTGACACGACAACAAGGATGGTAGAGTCGGTGACCAAGAGGCATCTGCTTTGAATGGACAACTTGTCGGCAAAAGCTGCAGCACCAAACTTGTAGTAGAAGCACGACAGATGATGATGGCACCAATGCTCTCCTGGATGTGATCTGGTAGAGCATTGATGCTGCTCTTACGCTAGAGACAATACGACTTGATCGAAGCTCAGTTGTGCTGACCAGGCGAACACGATGACTGTCGAAGCTATACTTGACCTGTCTCCGCTGCACCGGATTTCTGTACTCGAATGTACGTTATGATGGTAGCATCGGGAACAGTTTGTCAGGATTCACTAACGCTGTTGATGCGCTTTGCTACTGAAGCAGTCGTCTCTTAAGACCAAACAAGAGACAAGTACTTTGTTGGGCGAGCTGGTATTCATCGGCAGCTCGTCTGAACGCACGGCATATTCTGGGTAAGAAAGGGAGTTTTGCGTCAGTTCGCAAATGGCGCCAAGCAATTGGTATCTTATGATGCTGTGGACCCAGATCGTGTTTCCATTGTGTGCTAAAGCTACGTACCTCGATCACGTGCATTATGCAAATGAGTTTCGCGCGCGTAGACTTTTGCGCGCCATCCACACCTCGCAGCAGTTAGTTACTGTGCACCTCCATGCTTGTTGATGATCTGTTCCGTGCACCCTCCAAAGGTTCATCCATTATCGCATTGATCAAGTCCGTCCACCGCTGTTTAAGTCTATCAGTAGCATTTTCAAATATCACTCCGGCTAAAATGCTCAAATCTCTCGTCCAAGTTCCGCTTGCTCTCAACAATCTAAACACTACTCACTTCAGGGACATTCAAGCCCCGATTGAACTTGCATTGCACTTAGCTTCATTGTACCCATGCTTGATCTGGAGTGCCAAATGCGAGCTAGAGTGTTAGAGTCCAGAACCGTCGCATGATTTGCTTGAAAAGCACACATCCAACGTGATCCAGCTAAATTATTTGATAGTAAGGAAGCTGCGCAATGTGTTACGGAATTGACCGAGCTTCTGAGTAAACTTGTCGCGATTCGCAGCCTCCAGGTTAGGCCGCACGTCCGCAAACAGCGCGGCAAAAGCCTCCTCGATTTGTGCACGATTCTCGGGTGGTTGCGTAGAGCTCAATTGTTGTTGGTAATTGGTCAGCGCCTCCTCGCTGCAGAGTGTTAGACTCAAGATTGGTCGAGATAGGGCCCATTGTGCATTCACCTCGCCATATACCACAACGTCCAGTAACGCCGCCAACAGCGTCGACCACATGTTCGGCGACACCTGTACATGTGCGTGCAAAGCGTGCTTCACAGGTGTATCCCGCTTCTTTCTCATTTCCTGGAAGTACAATGACGCTAAGTGATCCACTGCCGTTGCACACTGAGCAGCCATTGCTAGGTCGTACGAATTAATGCCTTCGTGCAACGATTGCACGAGCTGGTGAAAGATACCGTCATCCAACGCCACAACGGACGCTAACTGATTGCGAAAAAGTATCTCCAGGAAGAAAAAGTAGGCATTGCTCACCACCGGATAGTGCATCAAGTCCTCTTGAGGAATCGAGAGAACGAGCTGTAATGCAATCTCCAGCGCGTTCTCCAGTGACTTGTCGTTGTACAGCTGGAACACGCCAAAGTTCACGTAGTTTCCACCTAGCGCGCGATACAGAATACCCAGGCACAACGCCACACCCTTATACTTATCACCGTACGGATTCTTTCCTGCTGGCACCGGATGTATCCGACGCCCGTACGCCACTACAACGCTACTCAACTCACGGAACAGCAATATACCGTTAGCTGAGCTCTGGTCGAACGTGACACGTTGTGCTTTATTGTAAGCCAGTTCCTGCAAGAACTTGAGCAAAGCAGTTGTTACAGCCGGGTGGTCATACAGCTCGTCTGCAGCTCGGACGAACACTGGGAAATACGCCGGATACAGCAAGTCGAAAATGCAGCTGTATGTGCGTCGGTTGTGCGTTTGCTGCACGATTCCCCGCAAATCACGACACACACCTATCACAGCCTCCCGAACCTCTGGCACACGGTAGCTGGGTGTCTGTAACAGCTGATTCAGAACATTCTCGATAGGCTCCATAAATCGCTCAAACCGCTCAGAGGACTCATCGAAAGCTGTGGTAAAAATAAGTCGCGCAATAGTTGAGTGGAACGTCGTTCGGTGCCGCGTGTTTGCTGGAACCGCCATGAATGGAAACTCATCTGCCGTGTGGTTCCCAACAAGGTACTGCACAGTTTCCAAACCAAGGAGCAGTTTGCCACACGAATACCCAGAAGCAACTTCGAAGAACAGCGCCAGAGTCTTGCTAATAATCACCTCAGTGTCGCCCCAAAACTTTAGATTGTTGCCTATTTTCGTTACCATCATGTTTACAACAACCGTGTGGTCGCCCAGTCCTAGTCGCTCGAACATGCGCAAATACGCTTTGTGCTTAGACGACATCGTGCTCTCGCTTGGCACCATAATCGGCGACGAAGTCAATCCAGCCGGTGTCGGCTGCAAAGCCGACGATGGCGTGGGAGCTGACGGCATGCCATGCTGCTCACCGATGTAGCTTTTGCGAAAACTGCTGAAGTAGTACAGTAACGACAATTCAAAGTGCACGCTCGGTTTCGTTTGTCCACCTGAGGCAATGATTCGATGCTCCGTCAACTGCATCGCGCGAAATACGCGCTGTGAGAGATCCGCGTCGACAAGCTCGTCACCCTCCGTTGACGTGGATGAGTATGTCTGTCCACCGATGATAGCACCAATAGTATACACGAGCCATGCTACCTGATTCTCCATGCTTTCCAGTCGTTGCTGCTGCTGTGGCGGGATCGCAGCTCCGCCAGTTTGATTCAGGATGCTACAAGCATCTGCGTACTGATTCAAAATTGGGTCTAGAATGGACACAATGTACTCTCCCGTCTGCCGGTAGTTGAAATGACACAGTGTCGGCAGCTTTTCCAGTTGCTCGTACAGACCACCCTCATCGTCCAGCGGGTTGTCCAATGTCTCGTCGAGAACACACTGTTCAGATGAATCGAGGCGTGACTGCAAGTACGCTTGAATGACCTGAGGTACGCGCGAGTCTAAAAAGTTGATGGTTCCCGAGTTTGGCGAGCCCGGTACCGAGTCTGGGCGCACGTAAGGTAGCGCAGCCACAAGCCGTGCCCACAACGATAACAAATAATGAGTCGAGTTGGCAGACCACTGCCATTGACGAAACGACTTGATTGTGAAGTCTGGTGTGAGGTCCATCCACTCTTGGAATGACTCTGTCTTCATGAGCTCCGAGAGCTGGTAATTCGACTTGAGCCGGCCGATGAGACGGCAAAACTCGTGGTAATTCTGCTGGTCCGACAATCCTTCCTGTGTGCGCAAGATCGCGCAAATGCCTTTCAGCAAGTGCGCCACATACACGCTCCGTTCTTTATCCGGTGAAAAGAGATTGCGCCGCACTGATGCGAACAGCATGAGCGCTTCCAGACACTTGGACGTATTTGGCGGGTTCGTCATGCTATAAAAGTCAAAGAGCATTTGCATCGTGTCCGGTTCCTGAATCACCGCGCGCCAGGACGTGGGGACCTGCAGTGACCCCGTCTCGTCCGACGACTCGTCCGGGTTCGTACCAATAAAGTCAAACGAGAGACACTTGATCAGCAAAGCCAGTGCCTGACTCCCCATCCGGTCTTCTTGCTGCGGTGTCGCTCCGCCAAAGTTGTGCATCTGGAGCTGTTTAATCGACGTGAGGGCCACTTGAAAGATCCGAAAGAGCGACTCTTCTCGAAACGACACGGCGATTTTCCGGTGGAACGTAATATTGCGACCAGCCACTGGCAAATTCATTTCCGTCACGAGTTCGCTCAAGATCTGGAGTCCAATAACACAGTGATCCACTGTCGCTTGCAGGAATTTCGTCACTTCCGCGACAATGCCACGATGTTGCTCGTCGTCAAACCAGCCGTACTTTGTAAGGCGACAGACCATTTGAATCAGCGACGTCGTCACAAATTTCTCGAGCGTCGGACCTTTTTGAGCTAAATAGCTAAGCACGTAATTGCCTACCGTGACACAAAAAAAACAAGAGGGAGGCACAAACAAGAGCGTACCCAAAAAGCACACAAACAAGAGGAATGTTGAATGTTGCACGAGTGTAAGTACACACCACACACCGTCAGGGCAAACATCAACCATCCAGCCTCCTAAAAACGACGAAAAGTAACCCAAAAGTAGCACGTACGGATATCCACGCGCTGTACGGTGGTAAAGTTGTTCCAGTGCGACGTAATGAGCTTCGTGAGGCTCGTGCTTGCAACCAGCAGCGCATAGGGCGACGCCGAGTGGTCCAGCACGTACTGACACTGGGGAATGTACTCGGCCGAGCTCTGCAGCACGAGCACGGCCTGCTGGGCGTGGGCGCGCTCGGACGCATTCGCGCTCTCGTACAGCACGCGGCACAGCGTCTCGAGCTCGCACAGCTGGTGGGCGTCCATGACCGAGGGAGGAGCTCTGTTCGGGGTGAGGGAGGAGGATTGTGACGCGAGTGGTGCTCGAAGGGGGCTTTTGTTCGGACACGGGTGGTGGGGGCCTAGTTTAGGCGACTGAGCCGCCCCAGGTGTTGTGGACGACGAACACTAGAGTGACAATATCGAGAATACGAGTAATGATGTAGAACGGGGCGATATCGCTCGGACACAGTACGTGAATTTGACCAGGGTCTTTTTTCAATGGAATTACCGAGAAAAGGTCATGATTGTGTAGATTGACAGATGCTTGTCTCTCTCTGTTTGAACACAAGCGAACTATTACTAGTAAGCGACCCTTGCCGCCTCACTTGATGATAGACATGGACATAGTGGCGATGGTGGTTGCCCGTACTTTCGTTCACTAATTCCGTCACTCCGTCGGCATGCGTTCTGATAGCTTGCTTCCTGAAGAATCACCGCACGAGGATAGTATTGTGTCGTAGACTTCGCAGTATCTTGCAGGTGGATGTCACCACGTCACGGTAAGTACTTGCTGTGTGTAGGCGTGCTCTAAGATTTTGTTGTATTCAGCTACGCTCTTGTCATTTCACTGGTGACATTAAAGCGCCATGACGTTCACGCGCCCTATGGCTGAGACGACACAACGAGATCGTGGGGACCGATGAATGTGGATTAATGGTAGTGAATAACGCAGAATCGATATCAATGGGCTTCGTGGTAGTGTATCGTAGCGAAGTAATTAACTAGCTAAGGTCAAGAGACGATCTGAAATCCTCCTTTGAAAGACCACCTCTTCTCCTCTCTTGTATCCTCCAGTAAATAATCGTGCATGAATGATGCTTTTGAGTCGCGCTCTGCGATCACACTCATCAACCATATACAAAAATCATTGACTCTTGCGCATGGAAACCGTCATGCATCGTGATACATCATTAATGATGAAGTTGAGAAAGCTGACAAAGTAACATCACATTAAGGAAATTGTCAGATTCACTCCCTATTTCCTTTGTTGAGTAAGCACTAAAAACAGCCAATCGTGAATTGTCAAATCTACATGCGAAACTTTTCCATATTAGCACGTAATAAAGATACAACCATCTCGCTAATATTCAAAGTTACGGTACGAAAGCGTATCCACATATAGATCATGCATGGCACGATATCCGCTAAAGGGCTCATCTGATTCTCTTATTGTAGCACGAGTTCTGCAACCAACATAATATGAGATAGGGGAGCAAGCTCTGGAGCTCGTCCTTTGATAAAAGAAATCTAGTTCGAAGAGCTGAATTAAGTTGCAAAACACTGTACAACCGCAGTCACTGGAGAATGTGTACGATGCTGTAAAAGTGGTACAAACCCAGTACAAAATTCTTGGGCAACGCGATCGGCCTTTGGTTATAAGCGTCCAGCATTTGCTAATGAGATCATATTCACCTTTGATCAATTTTAAGCCAATCACGTTCGTGCTCCAAAATAGTGATTCAGCCAAAGAATGACTTCGGATGTACCATAACTATGAGGGGGACAGGTTAGATAGCACAAATAACATGTAAGGTACAACTAATGTGTGAGGTACGCTTAACTGCATTATTTACCGACACACAGACACCACAGGTAAGTACAATTTGAAAGTTTGGCATTCGACCTTGCGCACACTCACTAACAGCGTCCCCCTTTGGGCTCGCAATTACAACAAAACCGCAGTCTGCCGAAAAACAAGTCAAACCACGTCCAGAAACGACGCAGATACAACTTGTTGCGATCGGGCAACCGCAACGTCGATTCTTCAGTTCTGTACAGGGTAAAATTTGGTTGAATGATCAGAAGAGTAATTACGACGATAGTGCGCGCGGAAATCGTTTGCCCGCAAACAATGATTAACGGTATCTTTGTCTACTCAGAAATGCTAATAAGCAGATGATTTGCAAAGTTTAGTTTTGCACTGCGCTCAATATACACCCTAACCCATGTCCTCTCCTCTTCGTCGTGTAAACACCAGTTTCTGCTGCTAAATTCTATAACTATACCTGATATGGCAGTGTGCATTCATCCCGGAAGTGTTTGATTAGCGTGGTTGCACACAAGATCGGTTCTCACAGTCCTGAGGTCCATCACTCTGGTCGTAATGACTGAAGGTGCCGTCATACAATAGACGGGTCGATAAGGTACCTACTGACAAACTGTGTTTCGACAGATCATGCACTACCATCACCTCTCTTCTTGTCTTCGTCTTCGTTTACTCCTCCAATTTGTTTCTGTCTTGTTATTCCTGTTAGAACTCAAATGCTTGTCCGTTCAATGTTATTCAAAGCTGCACAAGACCTTCCTGAGATTTTTGATACCTGCAAGCGTAGGTGATCGACTAAATGCAGCTGTAGTCTAACATCCTGTCTGTTGAGAATGTGGCGTATCAATATATGATCGCGAGACGTTCAAAGGTTCCTCGTACTAGATACTCGCAAAATAGGCTAATCTTCACACCAGTGACTCCAGCGGTTTTACCGCCATCTAAACCTGAATAGTCACGCCTTGGACCAAGCCCTCAGTTAACGGGCAATGCTACTTAAAAGTGGAATTGATAGTGCTTGCGGGGTATTCGAAAGAAAAAAAGATACTATTCACACTTACTATTGACCAATCAAAAAATGATGTAAATGTTTACTTAACGGTAAATAGCGAGTGAATCTAACTAAAAAGAGTGTGAATCTATCGAATCTATGTTTATACAAATGTAAGATGAGCACGCATTGATGAAGTTCACGATCGTTTTTTTAAGCTTTAGAACGACACGAGACCTAATAATAGGGGCATTTCAATTTTATGCTAAATTATAGGAACTGCAGGGCAAAATTTAAACTGAAACGCTGAGCTGCAAAGAGCGGGGACACCGCCACTATCGCTATACAACTCCTGCAATTGTGTCAGGCTGTTTGATTCGAGAGTGTTGCCTAAGTTCGATTGCGCAAGAGTGCGCGGCACGACGGCGGGAATGGCGGTCACTGACTCTGTGATTGCATTATGCATACATCATGCGACAGAATATGCGTTAATTTGAAGATCGAATGGACAGAATGGTGGCGAGCAAATGGTAGAAAAGACATAACAGAACATCAATGGCCGAATACTTTTACTACAGTACTAGAGAGTGATAGCTCTACATCGACGATGTTATGAGCCTATTGAGGGGGGAAACGACGACAACGCGGCACAGGCACCGCCGGCAATTGGTCACGAAAGGGCCTCGCTGGGTCCTGCCGCGATCTTCATCCCTACAGCTTACGCAAGGAGCGCGGACCCTGAAGCGCTGGCCAAGGTTCTCGAAATGCTGTCCGGAATGGATGCAAGGATGCAAAAGATGAAATTCTCGCAAGCGAGAATTGACGAGGACGAGAGAATGCGCGGCGCCGACGAAAGCGGGCTGTTCGCTTCCCTACGTAGTGCTGACTTTGCCGGCAGGCTTCATCGCGGAGCTTTGGAACGTTTGGAACCTCGAGAACGGCATGTATCAGCACAAGCTCGACATGTGGGTAGTCGGCTTGGCTATCTGAGGATGGGGGCGCTACACCCTGCGCAGCAACGCACCAAGCCACTTCCGCAGGCGCCGCCTCAGTTGCCACCATACCAGCCGCAGCTGACGCCTCAGGCACCACCAGGGCCACCGCAGCAAGCCCCCGCGCTCACGCAGTACCGAGTACCTGATGCAAGGCAACGCAAGCTTGCTATCCGCAAGTTAGATGGCACCGAGGTGTACGCCGGGCTGGGGTCAGCCTTTTGGGACTGGGCAGACCTTTTGGCGCCAAGTGGACATGGCTCAAGAGTCGTACGGTTTCCTGTGGAGTGAGAATGTCAAGTCCTATGTGCTCGGCCTGAATCTGACTGGTACCGCCGAGCGTTACTGTAACAAGCAAGTTAACTCATAATGGAAGTTGCTGCCGATGCTGCAATACGTAATCCAACGTATTATGGGGGATCTTAAGACAACGATTACAGCAGCATGAGCCATGAAGCTCTTCACGACAAAGATATAGAACAAGCGTTCGTGGCCAGAGCACCACCTCTACCTAGTAGCTGTCAGTGACGCCGCAGGTGGCGCGGAGCGGCAAATGCTGGAAAACATTGTCAGGTATGCTTCACCAGAGCTATCGATGGTACTCATGACCAAGTATGACACGCACCGTATGTACTACCTTGTGCACGCGGAGGATCTGGCCCACTCCCTCAAGCTATCGAGATGGAAGCTCGTCCGGGACATTTTTTTCGGAAAGAGGTCGTGGCGTCTGTAGATGAGTCCACCACGCGCAAGGAGACGCGCACATGCTACGGATGCGGTAAGGTCGGTCACGTCAAGGCTATTTGTTGCAGCAAAAGGACTGGTGATGTGAATGGGGGCCGTCGCGGTAGACGCGACGGTAGCATGGTGCTTTCCGCTGGAGATGGAAAAGGAAGCAAGTGCTTTCGTGCCGTCAAGAATGACCTCGAGATGGTCATAGGCGATGACGGTGACACCGAGGCTGACGACTGGGTACTCGACAGTGGTGGTTCCAGTCAACACCTTGTCAGCGACGTTATACTCCTGATGGTTGCAAGAGATTGTATAGAACAGTGTCACCTTGTTGACGGCGTAAAGGTACGGCTATCGAGGGTCGGGGTCGTCGTGCTGACTGTACTAGCGAAAGGAAGGCAAAAACTATGACGTCAACGAAGGAATTTCTTGCGCCCAATATGGCGCGCAACATCGTTTTATATGTCAAGCTCGAGCGCAAGTGGTAGGCCTTGTTTACGATGGCACGACGCGCGGTCTGGCGAGACGCAGGGACGGCAAAGTCGCATTTGACGTGATGATGTAGTACAACGTGCTGTACCTGAGGACGGTGCAGTCGTCACGCACGAGTAGACTCAAACGATGTTCTAATTGCGGTTCTGATGCGGGAATATTGCCTAATGAGATGGATGCTGATTTAGAGATGGGCTCCCTTCTACATTTTCACCAGCGACTCGGGCAACTCGCTTACGATAGCATCAAGAAAATGGCTAATGACCCAGCGTCCTGCATCAAACTACGTATACAAAGCGACCAAATTTTATCTCGTACGCTCAGGGTAAGCAGACAAAGAATTTCCAGTTGCGGAAAGGCACTGGCTCGAATTCGCCCATCGATAGAATCGGCGGGGTGATTTGCTCGGATTTGAAGGGCCCGATGACGCCGAAGGACAGGCTCGGGAACCGATAACTTGTGGGCTTTATAGATCACAAATACAATTACTGTTGTGGCTTTCTGGATCCCACGAAGGACAAGGCTGCGAAAAAGTTTGAACATTTTTTGGATATCAACGAGCGCCGGTTCAACTGCCGTATTCACGTGCTCCACACAGACGGGAGTGACGAGTGCGCGAATGTTTACCTGTTCTGCAAGTCGGCAGGAGTTGCGCGGCAAATCATCGGTGCAAGAAATTAGGCATCGAACGGCAAAGCGGAGAGCATGCACAGGACAATGCTAAACATGGGACGCAGTATAATTTTTGCCGGTCGTCTATCGGTGTTATTTTGGGGGGGGCGTAGTTAAGTAGGCTGCTTATATACTCAACCATAGTCCATCTCATGCTAACGCAAAGAGAGCGTCGCTGATAGAGATTTCGACCGAGCAAGCTCCCGACCTGCGTGACATCGTTGCTTACGGATCGATCTGTACGGTTTACCGAGACCTCAGCAAGAACTCGCTAGCGCAACTGGGACAAGTTGGCTTCATCATCGGTTGCAGTGATGAAAATAAGGGGTTTAGGGTGTTTTATAATGGGAGAACGAGGCCACGGTGACAAAGCACGTGCGAAACATTGAAGCCCTCATCGTGGAGCAGAATAGTCAGCTCCAACGCGCACTCGAGTTTGAAGATCAGGCGGTCGTGATAGACGCATTAAGGGCGTTCACTACTGGGGCTAGATCAATGCCTGTAGCAAATATTCCTGCAAAGGGTGAGGAACCTGCGCAAAAGTGCGAGCCAGAAAAAAGAAGTCTAAAACTCGAACGTGTGCGGCGCATATGACGCGCAGAGTGACCAAGCGCACGCAGGTCAGGCGGTCAGGAAGAGATAGCTCAAGAATAAGGCGTGCCACTAAAAAGTGTGGTAGCGCATGTGTAGCACGAGAGCAACCCCAAAAACTATGGGCAGGCAATGCGCAGCACAGAAAGAAAGTGTTAAGAGAGAGCAATGCAGGAAAAATGACAAGCTCTAGAAGATAATGACGTGTGGCGCATGATCAAGCGATTTAAAGGAAGCAACGATCTGCACACAAAATGGGCATACAAAACGAAAACAACCGACGGCCATCTCTAGCGATTAAAGGAAAGCCTTGTGGTGTGCAGCAACGAGCATGTTTTTGGGGTGGATCACCAACTCAACTTTGCGGCCGTCATGGAAATGTCGACCGTTTGGTTGATTATAGAGTTTTTAGCGGTCTGGGGCGTGCCGGAGAAGCACGGGTTTCCCAAAGACCACGGTATGGCTGAGAAGGAAGCCCACCTGGAGATTCTGCTGCATGTTCCACAGGCAATGAAAGTGGACAAGGAAAGTCTCAAGACAACTGGAGCAGCAAACAAGAAGGAAGTCGCTCTTGATCTACACAAAGACTGTCTGGCCTCAATCAGGCTGGTAGAATTTGGAGACAGCTTCTGCGTATTAGATAGCTGGACGCAAGCTTCGGCCAGTTCGTCTCAGAAATGCGTCTCAACTGGAAGGTCGATGACGGACAGCTGGTCGTCGTGGGTGTGTACGTGGACGACCTGCTGGCCGCCGGAACCGACACAGCTGCTATCGAAAGTTTCTTTAACCATCTTAAAAGCCTATCCATCAAGGAACTCGGCGTCGTCAGCACATTTCTTGCAGTGCGCGTCGCTATGGACAACGCGGCAGATACGTGCTTGGCCAGGAGGAAGCGATAGGCGAGTTGTTGCGCTAGCACAATCTTTAGAAAGTCAACAGGAAGCGAGCTTCGATCAGGTCGAACTGCTGCGAAGTGCAATTAGAAGACTGTGCGCCGTTGGGTGAGAGCGCAGGTGGTGGGGATCCATGTGTCCGGACATTCCAATCCCTTGACGACAGTCTGCTTTGGGTGGCGCGCTGCACACGGTCGGACATCGCGTTTTCAGTGCATAAAGTAACGCGTTAGACCAACCAGCCACGACTGCACGACTTCAAGCTCGCGAAAAGGATCGCGCGCGAATTATAATTGCGCATGGAGCCGGTAAAGGTCTCAGATGGCGAGCTGCAGCGTGAGTCCTACTCGGACGCCGACTTTGCCGCTGAAAATTCTGACCGAAAGTCCCTGACCGGTGAAATCGTTCGTCTGAACGGGATGCCGGTGAGACAGACGGCAAAGAAGCAGGATGGAGTCACACTTTCCACCATGGGGCGGAGTTTGTCGCTGCGTCGGATCAAGCGCGAGAGCTGCTTGGTATCAGGAGGGTTCTTTTCGAAATAGTAGAGCCATCATGCTCCTGATGGCACTGCACGTCGACAAACAAGCGGCTAAAAAGCAGTTCGCGGGATAGGAGTCGTCATTGAAGGCGAAATACATTTACGCGCGCCTGAAGTTTGTCTGCGACTACTCCCGGCGTGGGGTAGTCGCGGTCCAGTATGTGCGCTCGGAGCTGCAACTGGCGGACCTGTAGATGAAGGCACTTGACGCTCCAAAGCTTGCCTAATTGCAAGTTTCTACGACTCGGCTTAGTAAGAGGAATTTCATAGCCGAGGAGAAGTGTTGAGGAGTGTTGAAACGAGAGTGTTGTGCTAAGTGCGATTGCGCAAGCGCGCGCGGCACGACGGCTGAAAAGCCAATGACTTTGTGATTGCATTGTGCATACGAAGTGTGACAGAAAATGCGAGATTTGCAGATCGAATGGACAGGTTTGGTGGCAATTAAATAGTAGAAAATACATAACAAAACATCAATCGCAGAATCCTTTTACTACAGTGCTAGAGAGTGCAATCTCTATATTGCAAACAGGATTAGTATCAGCTTAAGACGCCAAGCATCATTGGAAGGTGTCGTGGCTTTGTGGAGACGTTGGTAAGCACTGGGTGACCGCGGTAATTATTTTTATTTCGTGATTAAGCTATGGGTCAAATAAGAGCGAGATGCGATTGGTAATGTTGGAAGCTTAACTGGATTGGGTAGCACTAGCACCAGTACAATAGACCAACATAATAATGATAGTATTGCCGCAATTTTACTGCGCATTACAGTCCATCTAGGACATGGTGAGTGTATGATGAACCAACCTTCATGTAGGAGATCGGGTGCTGATGTTTTGCGCAGCGTTGTACAACAAGCAGGAGTCTCAGTATACTGGGCGTAAAGTATAATCTTTCTGTGAGGACTAGCTATGTTACATAGTGAAGATTGCATTGTGATGACGAAGCTACACGAGAAAGTCCGTTGTTACGCGTGACTTGGAATGGAGACGTTTGTGTAAGGAAAAGAATTAGAAGGTGAAACAGCTAGATGTATTCACAGAATGACTAATGTCTCACAACTAGTAAGATGGTAGCATTGTATATCTAAGGACGCGACGTAATGTAGAAACATAACGAAAAAAGCGTAAATGAGAACTGGTTACCCGTGCCGACTTTTGACTATACATCTGAATACATTGAAACGTTTCGGTATCGTCACCACGTTAACAATGCGATGCAAGTATCCAACCGAGGGGGTTTCTTTATAGTGAATGATAGTTAAGGGACTAATTAGAGGCGTGGTGCCACACTCGTATCCCAAAAGGCATAATAAAGATGACAGATGTCCACTCCACAAGTGCGACGTGGACGTTCTTGTCCGTGTTATGTCATAAATCTCCTGGCTGTCTAATTTTTGTCATGTGTTTGACCGAAAGCGAGAATGTCAGTCCAAAATTAATGGTTTCGCGCTTGATCGGCGTGTACTCCGTCGTTTACTTCGTTGAAACAATTTTAAGTGCACTGGTAGAGGTGAATATATCCCACAATAAGCCTGGTTGTGGCAACTGTTTTCCTCAGCACAGATTATCTTCTCGATAAATCCTTGAACTGGTTCCTGTACTGATGACTTTGGCTGCGTAATTTCGAAAAGAACACTTTTTGTCTTGATGAGGTAGTCGTACGAAAGAAATTCTCATACCCCACCCAGTAAATAATATAGTCGACATTAATGACAATGTACCGCCAGTTCCGTTGTTGGACTGGGGTACGCTGATGGAAAGAATGAGTAGATTTTGACATGAAGTTTGTCAAGATTGCATGTACGATGACCTTGTAAACATGTTTTTTCCTAAACTCGCTTGCATCATTTTCTCGAAGACAGCGAAAACTTTTACGACCATACTTGCGACAAATGTTGCACCGTGTCTGGCGATTTTTCATCTTTTTTAGGCAGATGTAATCCGACCCGGATAATTTTCGTATTGTGATAGGTCCTTAACCCTTACACCTATTAAATTATTCACGACGACAACGTTTTTGTCGAGAAACCAATTCGCATAAATACGAGTGAAATTTACTCTTGCATCGATTCCATCACTCCTCAACTTGTATAGTGAATCATGTTGACATGGGAGACTGTAGTTGCTCATGAAGATGTTAAGGCAGTCATGAATTTCGTACTCCTGGGACGGTGACGATAGCCTTTTCGCAGCTAACTATCTGTATACGCGTAATCGATTTCGCACGAGGTTGAGAGCGCAGACACAAAGTACTTTGTAAACATCCACACACAACTGTGGTCCTGGTCATTAGGGTAGAAGAAAAATTACAGCAACCCGGAAAGGTAGATAAGATACATCTTTATATAATACCTTCGTACAAGTGCAAACAGTATGTACACTGCGACATCCCTAGTGTCTTCTTTGAAGCGGCGTGGGCCATATTAATTTGTGATGATGATACGTGTCCCTGTTCCACGCCCGCATCCACATGACAAATTTTTATCGTTATAGGGCACACAGGAGCTGTTGTTTTTCAATGGTCTCCACGCATAATTTCGGAATCCCTCGTCATCACCTGTATCTTGTAATTGATCATAGTTTTATAAAAACATTAAGAAAAATCTGTATTAATCATTTCAAAATGCAGAAAGTGTCTACTCGCTGCTATATTCGCGTATACGGAATGAACATATCTTTGGTGGTAGGCATTGATTTTGCTCTGGATTTGCCTTTATTAAAGATAATGATAAGCTCAAATACCGTTTTTCTGTGTCGAAGGACACGCACTGCAGCCTTTCTGTGTGTTTGTGTCGGTGATTAAGAAGCTGCGGTAATTCACAAATTTGGCATGTTAGTATTCGAACTGAATTCAAATACTAATATGCCGATTGAATATATGGTTGGAACATGCTCAGTCATCAGATGATGAAGGTACAAAGTACTTTCACGGTAAGTAATGTGACTCAGAGAATACCAATTAGTCGGTATTCTCAATTAATATAAAATCTAAGACCACACTTGTTTACCGTATTACCTATGGGAGGTCTTCCACCAATTCAGCCGATGGCTAGTGAGACCCCGTGACATCACTACTACTGCTTCAGTACTAGTGCAACTACACTGAAATCAGTGTAGGTAGTGCCACGCGTCACTTCACGTACACCTAACGTTCAGAGGAAGGCTAGCTAAGGAAAGACGCGTTCAATATGAGTAGAAAGTAAAACTGTATTGAATATAATTAAGTCCTGATTACATGTCCCTGTGTTTAGTCCTAACTTAATTACATTTATCTACAAAAGTATTCGCTAAAGTCTTGCTCACCGCTCATTGCGCGCGTCCACCGTTGATTGGACCGCTAGATATGGCTGATATGGTGGCCCATATCAGCAAATTGGTGAGTGTTTCTGAAAATGACCCCTTATGGTAATATTCACGAACATTATCAACCTTTACGGTAATATTCTGAATAACAAGTATCAGGTTAATCAAATGTAACAGGCTCACCCTGTTACGAGTTGGATCATTATCCAAGCGAAGTGCTCCAATACGTCCGCTTGCCCCAAATTTATCACATGAACCAGGTTCACCCTGTTACGAGTTGGATCGTTAATCCAAGCGAAGTACACCGAAACCTCCGCTTGCCCCAAAATTTTTGACGTGCTGAACTTAGTCGCAAGAGTAGCACCTTTAAAACGCACTTGATAAACAGACGTACTTGGTCATGTCTCGATCATTTGATCACGCGCTCCACTGACAGCATCACTCGCTGTCATCATGTGATCATTTCATGACACCGGATCTTTCGTCTTCTTCGTGAAGAGCTTGAATTCTTGTGACTTTGATATGCCGGGCCAAACTTAGTGCTCGTCCTTTCCGCTGCATACCACACTTTTAGGTCCAGAGTACCAGGTATGCACTCGACTGTAAAAGTGCTAACCAGCTTTGTCGTTCAGATATCTTCCCAGGACGTCCATCTTAACGTCTTTGATTAACTTGAACTCACTGAGTTCTTCCACGATACATACTTGACGAAGAAATCGCTATCCCAAGAACCGAGTCTGGCTCCAAGTCCAGAATACACCTCCTTTCCTTTTTGCAAGCTTCGATTTCTGATCTGCGTCACCCTTGGTGCCGCGAAGTATGTAGGAGCTTCAGCCGGTATGTATGCAGCTTCTTGAGGATGCTGTGGATGAAAGCCTATTTCCGAATACTTCTCCTACACTTCCTTGCCTGGATACTGCTGCATTCTGTTGAGATGAACTTAGCGTGAGAATATCTCTGAGGGAGGCTATTGTCATGCTGCGGCCATGTCCCATGCGCGCCTTCGAATACGTGCGGAAGGTGCAGCTGTAGGCGGACGCAACCGAAGCTTTTTCACTACCTACTTGTCGAGCTTTTAACCGGTTGTGGCAAGATCCAATGTTTCCGATCATTCACATCATCAATTACAGTATTCTTTCCACAGCCTCGCCTGCTCTGGAGTTTGTACTAGCCCCTTGTTTGACGGCGTGCTGTAACGGGGCACCCTTTGTTTGAATTGCCACGAAACTTCACGTATACAAGTACGTGCAGAGGAAGCTAGTCCCTCAAACAGCTAGTCTGAGTAAATTGTAACAAGAGAACTGTATTTAGTATAGTTAAGCTATTAACTTAACCTTAATCTTTATCTAACTGCATTAATCTACATTGTCGTATGACGACAACCTGCTAACTACTCATTACGCGCGTCTCGCAGCGATCGGTGGTAACCTTGGTTAATATATGTCTTTATTAACCAATCTTTGAGCAGCGAATGAATATTACCCTACAACGGACAATATTCAGTTAATGTTATCCATCTCGGATAATGTTGGCAGGGAATTGTCACGCTAGACAATCTCCCTATTGACACCGTTTGGTGTCAATATGATATAACGGGCTACCCCGTTACACGTGATGTGTGCTTGGCGCTTGGAGTTGATTTGAAGCAATGCCATTTACTGGATTTGGGCTCAAAACTTGTTAAATACGAGAGGAAAAGAGATGCTATTATGAGTATCTTGGCAAAGACCGAAGTGAGTATATTGTCCTGTTCAATCTGCTGGAATGTTTTCTTCACCTAGACTTGACTTGTTCGACCTATTTTGTGCCGTTTCTATCACTGAAGTATGTCCTCGTCGTGATCAACTCCATCCATGGTGTCGGCAAGTCGGTCGACTACACATTTCATTTTAACACGGCGCCACATCTGCCTTGTACTGGATGCTCTTGAGACCCTCTGAAGTTTAGCAGCCGAATTTGCCGTGCTGATGGTTTAGCAATGTCTATGCACACATTGGCGTGGCTGGTATTGAGTTTCGAAACGTAGTGCTCTGGAGATGAACCCATTCTCATTCGCTGCGACAGGCGAACCTACCACGAGCATCCAATCCATCTTGTGGGCACGTGTACGTTTTGCTGTTACCGCCACTCTTCTCCACCTTGCTCTGCCGATTCTGGTTGAAACAAAAGATTTTTAAAGTAGAGTTGCGACAACCCTGGTCCAGAATACCTGTTTCCGATCAAGATCAGTGGCACCGTGAACCTCACCCAAGTCTACTGCTGCTCTTCCGCCGGACATCTTGATGCCATAATAGTATAATTTTGTCTCCAATGTCAGATCTACCCTTGACATCTGGAGCCTCGTGTAAAACCAGTTGAAGGACCGTAAAGTCGTGTTAATTCCGCCAATGTATGCATCACTTGTACAGATGTTGCGTCCGATGCTGGTTTTGCACTTCTTGCCTCCCATCCGTACTGATTTTGCGATTTACTCACCATGTGCGGCTCAACCTATCGCTTCGATCACTCAGGATCTTTAAATTAATGCTCAGCCATCACACCTTATCAACTGAAGTAGCAGCGGCCAATCAGCGCTGGAAGGCACGAGTCTGCGATGTGCAGCACACCAAATCGTTGGCCATCCGTTTTTCCAGTGTTTTCGCTCACTGTCCCGTGAGAAACGCCCCAAAAACCGGCAGCGATTCCGAGCCCTGGGACACGTGATCATTTAAGAGATCCACGACTCGCATTTAACATCATTAATCCAGTACTACTCACCACTTCGTCCGAAGTCACTCGTTCCGTGTCGCAATGGCAGCCGCTGGAATGCGCTTTTGCCGCGAGTGGTGCGTCCTACACCCCTTTTGTCACTGACTTTTATCGTGCTACTGCAAGAGAGAGAGAGAGAGACTTCTAGTTCTGCTTCTAGTCCCTGTACCCGCCTTCATTCAGTCACCAACTGGCTCTGTGGCCCACCCCGTGTGTGATACTCACCTTTTGTCACGTTTGTTTTGTCTGTTTTTTGTCACTTGTACCCATAGCAACAACATGTTGTACCCAAGTCAAGACCGTGACGTGCGTCGTCTCGTCTTTCGCTGTCGCAATTGCGGACAGACGGAGGACGTCGAGGAGAACTGTATTTATGTCAATGAGCTGGTCCGGGACACACGGTGCGGCTCGTCACTGTGCACGTCTTTGGACTCTGTGGGTTCTACAATGACCCATTGGGTAGTACTCACTCATTTATTTGTGTGTGTTTTTTTTGTGTGTGGGTCTTTTACTTGTGTGTTTTTTTTGGGTGGGTGGGTTCTCTACTTGCTGCTGCAGTGTCCAGCTGGACGTGCTTCCTGGTGACGTGATTGACGACCCGACGCTACAGCGCGACTTTGATGTCACGTGCCCTGCGTGCAACCACAATGGCGCCGTGTTCATTCGTTCGCAGGATGGCGTGAAGCAGTCGACGCTGGCGCTAATCTGGGTGTGTCTAAATCGAGACTGTCAGGTGGACGAGGACGGCAACCGCCTGCCGTCGTACCGCTGGATGGGAAGCTGAAAGTTGATTGAAAAGTATACAGTTGATCCCGCTTGGAATGAGCCAACAACTGCCAGTCAGTGGTCGTCTAGGGTGAGCGGGAAGTAAAATATAAGGATGCACTCTTTGCAATGCATGCGAAGCTGCTACTATTCCTGTATTCTGCAGATGCGTGTTTCTATCCAGGATTGCTACAAGCACTGCACAAAGCTACAAGGACTGCAGGTCAAGGTTGCCTTGTTGTTGTAAAAGGGCGAATGCCTTACCGCCGTAGGATCAAACAGCCTACTATTGCTGCCATATACAAGCGATGGACTAGCTGTCGTCATTGGGTGGTACAAGTACTTGCTGTTGTGTTGTCAAGACAATTTCTTGCCCGCCTTACATCGTGGCTTTGCGTCTCCCAATATCACGTGGAAACCCACACAAGAAACGCTTGTTGGTGGTCTCAGCAATCTCAATCCAGTCGTTCAGACCTTTTCGGACAGCGATTCGAGCTGAAGACGCAGCTCTACTGCAAAGCTGGATCCATCTTCACAAAAACCACAATCTCGTGCAGCTCATCTTCGTAGTTATATCCAAAGATACACAACTCCTGTACCCAAGATACACAACTCCTGTAGCTCAACGAATGCTTACTCTCTATAATCGAAGACGTGGGTGTACCTCACCACACTGAAATCATGGCAAGAAGGTCTACTACTACAAACGCCGCGAGCAGATAAACAGAGATACAGCGAATTGCTGTCATTCGGCGCGATCGTGTATTAGCGCAGAACTCTAACGCTTACTAAAGAGCCTACACTGCCGGACGATCTCTGGTATTACAATGCGATTCACCTCGCTATAGTTGGTCAAATCACCGATTATAGCGATGAAGGTTGTTACACTTTGTGTCCTCGTTGGCCACCAGCTGATCCCAACATCTGAATTGCAACAACACACCATGCGAGTCATTGGTGAGACCTTGACCGCAAGTGAATCGGCAGAGTCCTGGAAATTCGATGGATTGACAGAAGTTTACCAAGTTTTTCCATACCTGCAAAAGACTTGGGTGACTACAACGAAGTCAGATGATCGTGATTCATACTATCGACAGTCTTACTACCAACAACGGAGCAACCACGTTTGTGCTGAGGAGGCGACACATAGGCAACTTCGACTTTCGAGATCAGAGGGCTCGAAATGCATCATATCCTCACAGCTGCCAGTTCGCTTCTTGGAGTGCATACAGATGCGCGTGTGACTTGCAATTACAAGTTTTTTTTACATTCAGGATCCCGCGAGATGACGCGGTACCGTCTTGCCGCACACAATTTTGACATGGCCACGAACATTTCGGATGTCACACCACCGATTATAAGAACACAAGGCTGACGTTGACGCACAATCTCGATACGGACAATCGCTGCACCTTGTCTCTTTCTTGTCGATAGGTAGGTACGTTTGGCAGCATCATTGTCTCGATACTTGGTGGTACAGATAGCACGTCGAATTTCAACATCTAGTACTTTAGTCAGCAAAATACACAAAGTGGTCGCAATGCGTAGCACCTTCAACACTGGTGTCTCTTTTACAAACAAATTTGCGCCTGGTGTCAGGTTCAGCTGATCATATCCTGTCTCATTACAGCCGAACCTACTCTGTTTATCAGAGTTCAGATGTCGGCAGTCCGTTACAAATTACCGCTCTGTATTTAGCGTGCGTACACGCAACATTTCCATTATTGCTCTGAGCGCATGCAAACGCTAACGCTAATCGGACGGCCTAAATTAGAGAATTGATAGAGAGATACAGATAGATCGATCGATCAAAAAATCGATAGATGACGAGAGAGGGTCCGAGTCGGAGGATAGAAGTCAGCGAGATAGAGGGATCTATAAATCGATAGAGATAGATAAGTCGAAAGCGACCGCGTCGATAAATAATCGAATAGAGTTGCACGTCACTCGATAGATAAATCGCACCAGCGCTTTGAATGGACCAACCCTCTCCACCTGTTCACCATTCCGTTACAGCTACTGGTAAAAAGAAGCGACGTACTCTGCGTGACGCCGAAGAAGATCTGGAAAGCTGTCGCAATGCACTACAGGACGCCAAGCGCAAACTCGTGCTCACAGTAAGTGGCAGTCGATATGCCAACGTTTCCATGTCCTCATCTTGACAGAAAGTGGATGGATACAAAAATGTACCAGGCCCGAGAGAATGCCAAAATGAGGGTCTTGTTGATGCAGTACATTGACAAAGATGATTCGCTCCTGTGCTCGAGCCAGCTCAGTGTCGGCGAGGTAAGTGGCAGGTAGTCTCTGGCTCATGCTTTGTTGCTGTGTAGTGTTGAGCCGGTTAGTAATGCTGTCCCGTTTGTGCCAAGTCAACCAGTGTCGATCCAATTGACTCAAGCTCTTCTCCTGCTGTTGTGACCGACACGTCGGTCCAGTCGCAGTCCCCATGGGAGGACACGACCGGAGAAGAAGGAGAGAGTGAGGACAGTGGCTGGATCAGTGACTTGCAAGGTTGTACGGACGGGTTCACAGAGCCCATTAGTCAGCTGAGCCAGATCAGTCAGGTCAGCCACTGGAGCGAGTTAAGCTCGACGTCGAACCTGGACGCCATTATCAGTTTTCTGGAGACACAAGACACGTCGGAGACGACTCGGTATTGTTGCTGATTGTTTCAGGAGGATGAAGGGAGGAGGTGGTTAACGCTACTTGCTTGTGCTGTGTTGTATTTTGTTTATTTGTTGCAGGAGAGAAGCACTGCAGGCTGAATGTGCCGTGTTGAAGGAGCAGAAGAGTGTGGTTCGGGTGGGCGTAGGTGTCTTGCTCCTGTCCTTACAACATCCGAACTGCGTGCTCATCGGCAAACGCAAGGGCTCGCACGGACAAGGCAAGTTTGCTCTGCCTGGCGGACACTTGGAAATGTACGAAAGCTGGGACGAGTGTGCTATTCGAGAAGTAAAGGAAGAAACGGGTACGTGCACTGACGTGTTACCTCAAACACGTGCTAGATGAAGGCTAACGGCGTTGCTATCCAGACCTAGATTTGAAGGAAGTCACGTTTGCGACTGTCACGAATGACCCGATGGAGGACGAAGGCAAGCACTATATAACGATTTTAATGCAAGCCGTGGTGGACGACGAACAAACGGTCAGGAACATGGAGCCGCACAAGTGCGAGAGCTGGAGCTGGGTGCCATGGTCTGACCTGCGCTCGATCGAGAACATGTTTACACCGCTGCTGCACGTGACCCGCAGCAATTTCACACCCGCCTTCATCAAACCCTGATCAAGTTTGGTCGTCGTCTTCGCCGCTGAGCAATGCTAGATGGACGCAAAGCAGCTGGACGCTGTGAATCTTGTCACCACCAGAAGCGATATCCAGCGCGAAGAGTCCACGCACTGCAACACAAGTGCGACTGGTTGGTTGACACGAAGCACAGGATGCAGGTCTATTCGTCTCGGCAATAGTAGTTTATTGCAGAAACTGGTCACGATAATACAAAGATGAGCTCCATGAATGATCGATATCGCCCGCGTCTGACCATCACTTCCTTCCTGGAATACATCCACAAGTCGTCACTCACATGGTGGCTATTGCTCTTCATGTTGGCGGTAAATCGTTTCTAACATACGTTTCTTCCGTTGCTTGTACCTATAACACTTGCTTTGGCCACATGGTCGTGACGTGATACAGCATCCATACTATTGCTGCAAAAACAGCGGCACGGAAGAGCATCGTAAGTCCACCAGCGTGGCCTCCGTTCGTATTCGGATGCACCACTAACCACTTCAAGCTGTTATCCAGCACTGAGCCACCTACACCGGCCTGTTGCTGCGTCTTGCCAGGCTCGGCTTCTTCGTACCGAGCAGGGCTCTGCTCCACTTCGTCCGAGAAATGGACTGCCATATCACCACGGTCCCGACGCACAAACCGAAACTTCATTGTCACGTACTGAGGCTCGCCACCTGTGCGGCCTACATCATATCTCTCCAACTGCACCGTCGCACTAAACTCGGCAGCGTCCGTGAGAATATCCGACTCCACAAGCGCCGCTCTTGCCACTTTCACCGATCGAAAAAACGAATGGTCCCACAGCGCAATCTCCACGACACAATCGTGCGTCTGCTGCACCGGAACCCTCAAGGGAATTTGTTTCCACTTAGGATTCGGCTCTCGTCGCATGACAGGGCTCTTCCACTCCGTCTTCGAGTCCAAGCACTGCAACGTCACAAACGGATTCACCGTCTTGCGCTTGCGCACGGGCGTCAAATCTGTGCACGAAATCTCCACCAACTCAATTTCCGCGATCGGTTGTCGACCGCGAGCACTGGGACCCACAGCCCCTCCAGCCAATGGTTGCACCGCCACTTCATTGGCACCACTTTGACTGCTGCTACTGCTACAACAAGATAGCCGTAAACTCGCAGCAGTAATTGCACTACTGCTATCTCCCGAGCTCCTGGACTTGGCCCGTCGACACCGCACCTTACTGGATATGCCGTCCGAAAGTCCACGCTGACTGTCCGACTTGACCGTCGAGCTATTGTCCGACTCGCGACTCGTCAAGCTCAGGCCATCATCTTCATTCTCCCCTCTCTCGTCCATTGACGACCTCCTCGTGCCCTGCGACAGCCTCCGAGGCGACACTTTGCCACCTTCCTGCATCGTTTTGCTCTTCTTTTTCGCGTCCGACAGGAGCGGGACGTGCGCGATCCACGCGACGCTCGTCCCATCAGGTTTCCAGTCCAGCACCTCCATGTACAGCGGGTCCTTGAACACGATCCCGTGCTCGTAAACGAACGTCGACTGGCACGTCCCCGAGCGCGTGGGGAAGCCCTTGACGCGCAGGTTTGAGCTCAGTTTCGTCATCTGCGCGCCCACGAGACACGCGAGCACAGCAGATTGGCCGTCGTGTCGCGCCCCGTCCATGGACAAGAGCGTCACGTCTTTGGCGAGGAACTGGAGGATCATGGCCGCGTCGTTCTTGCGGAACGCGTGGGCGAAGCGCAAGTGGTTCACGAGCAGCTGTTCGATCCGCGGCGGGACGTCAATCGGGGGCGGGGTGACGTCTTCATGGTCGGGGTCGTCGCTGCTGTCGTGGTACGCCGTGAGCGAGACGGCGCGCGTGGGCCAGTCGGCCGCCCCGCTGCGCTTGCTGAAGAGCGGCATGGAGAGGAAGGACGAGCGAAGGGCGGGCGTGGGTCGGACGGTGTCAAGCGGGAGCTCGACGACCATGGAGGAGAGAGAGCGAGAGAGAGCGCGCGCGCTGATGGCGTTGGCTGAAGTCGGGCTTAAGTAGTGCAACCGCGAGTGTTATGTGGAACGAGGGACTGACTGACTGACTGACCGGTCGCTGTTGACGGGAACCGGTACCTGATTGGACAAAAAGAGAAAGAGAGAGAGAGAGGGGGGGGGGAGGACAGTGTTTTTCTGGACTGAAAAGCGCAAATGAAGCGGACAAAGGCGCGTGGAAAACGAGTCTCTTCTTTGGCGCTCCGCTGGTGGAGGTTAGGGCGGCGAGGAACCAATGAGCGGGAAGCACGGCCTGATTATTGCATGGAGTGGACAAGGCCGGGACGACGGTCAAGCGGCAAACGAGGTCGTCAAGTCCACAACAACAGCAATGCACGCACTGAAGGATACTATGGGCAAGGAGTGACTCCGCTGGAGTTGTTGTTGTTGTTGGTATTGTTGCTTGCGGTGCTTTCTGTTTCTACATTCTATCGTTTGCTGCAATTGCACGTAGCGTCATTGGCAGTCAAGTGGCGGCAGGGTCTCGCTGGTTCGTCGTTTTCCCTACTTCCTGCTGCGGTGGCAGCTGCAGCTTCCTGTTCACCGTTTGCGATTGCAGTACCTGTGGGTACTGATACATTTGACAACGACGTATGTTGTATACAAAGCTGTCGCTGTGTTTGTTTGCGAGAGCGCTGCGATACGGTGATCGACTTCGTACGATGTTTGGCGTCTGTAACTGCATGCGCGCGGGTTAGTCGCCTTTGATTCGGTACTATTTGTCGACTCGATCATCTTCTGCCGCCGATGTCGCAATCACGATCTATGAACGCGTGTGCCGCAAACAGCGTTCGCTTTCCTACCATAATCACCTTTCGTTCACGACGGTGGTTCACGTCATCAGGGATGCAAAGGACAGTCGGTAGGCCGGTAGTTCAATAGTAGAGACCACGGCAAATGATGATAAAACCGATCCTAGAATCATCGCGAGCGGATTGCGCCCATTGGAGGCCACTGATTCGCTGCTCGAATCGAACGTGGAATGGATGATCTGACGACCCATTCTACAGTGCATGCGCCCTTCGATTGTCACTGGTTGCGCCCGCGTTGACTGGTAGGAAGATCTTTGTTCAGCTTGCTACTGACTTCAGGTCAGTCAAGTGCGTCGGTGATGCCGACAACCAAGTCAGACTGAACGTTTTCAGCGACGGAAACGGAAGGAAAGGGACTCGTGGGGGCGACGTTTCGCAGTTTAGCTCTCCTCCTCCCAGCCCGGAATATTTTGTACATGTCCGGGCACGTCAGTTCCAGCTCAGTGATATGCAGAGACGATCGCCGTGAGTCGTGTAGGTCTACGAAGTGTGTACAGATTGCTCCGCTGGTAGTCCTCGGACAATCCATCAGAGGACTACAGAATTGTAGGCCGACTTCATGTTCTTCACGGCGCCACTGTCTCTTGTCCTTTTTACTACGTCAACGAAATGGTGCACATTGTCTTGCAAAACTTCAAACATTATCATGTAGTATCGGGTCTTGGACGTAATAAAGCACTTGCTCCGTCGTTCCTCTATCGACGCGCAGGAGCCATCTCGAGCTGCACTTTTCACAATATGGTGGTGCTAATGGAGACAATCGTCGCCGATTAGTGAACGCTGAGGATGTGCAACTGAGCAGAGCAAAAGAGTCCAGGGAATATAGAGATCAACAAATTTTACTGCCTGCACTGGCTAAAATAAGGCGTTTCGAGTCAAAGTCGCGACTCACAACATTCAACGTTTATCTGGCGAGGAAGGAAGCCTAGTGGCGGACATGGACTCATCATGTGTGATGAGGATGCTTCGTAAGAGTCCACTTCGCTGCTTACACATGACGTCTGATTTCAGGATACCAGTTCCGCACTGGACCGTGCCCGCATCGATTATTCCCCTCTTTCTTGGTGAGGGATTACTATTGAGCGCAGGACAAGACGGTGGATCACGTTCGACAACGTATCGGTTGCATGAGCACTGAGCTGAAAAAAGACGCGGACCGGACGTCCCTTCCGCATAAACCGAAACGCCTGCACGATCCGCAATTTCGAGGTGACACGCAGAAGACAGTTGTGTGGTTGGGAAGCAAGCCGAGGGCAAGAGCGATCGGGGGTCACTGGACGTCAGTCTTGTTGCCACAAATATGTGGAATACGAATCTCTGGGTTCTCATCATCATGATCGGTCAGGTAAACATCAACTCCAGTGTAACTGTCGGGATAGCCAGACAGAACTTGTGGTTCTAGTCTCGTTGAGCTGTAGACAAAAAACGAGAGATGCAACGCGTGTGAATGCACAGCTGATCGTAGTTCAAGTGACAGGGTCAGCTGTAAGGCAGGGCTTTTCGTTTCTGCACAAGTGGCCTTTTACATACATGTCGCCCTCGATATCTGTCATCTTGTCGATTTCGTAACAATCGAGCAGAGCTTGTGCTTCGTGATGAGCTCTTTTTTTCAGGAGCAACAACCAAACACTTCTTCATAGCCAGAGCCTCTTTAATCATAATGCCTTTCATCATGTACATCACCAATGTTGTAGTCGAAGCCAGGAACGACAAGTAGAACTTCCTCTCATTTTCATGACTCAACTGACGCATCGACAATAAAGTTCGGTCTGAAGTTACATGGTATGCGCTCAGTACGCAGCGACCACACAGATCCCCGTCAGAAGCTGGTGTTGCGTTCTTTACATCTTCACCTGTTCCAGTCCTGCTAACGAGCACGCACGCTCTCGAGAAGCGCGATATATTTCTCTGCTGTTGAACGACCTGCCTCTCCGCAACCTATTAGCGCATCCTAGGGGTCCAGAAACCCACAAGACCACCGTTACTACACGCACCGACTACGCTGTCCACACACAGATTCCTGTTAAACTTTTCAACTGGTCGTGCTGGCGCTGTAATGCTGCTCCCGATAATTGCACATCGCAGGTTCTTGGACCAATTTCCAGGTCGTTTCCTCTACCGAAATATGTCTAGTGTAGATCCATGCTTTGACATCACTGTCGAAGGAGTAAGTCTACGATGGCGGTCAACGTAAGTCGCGTAGGGATCCAGCAGCAGCACATCGAGACAGAAGGTGCAGTTGCGCGGTGAAACAAACACATGGTGGTGTTGCGGTTGTGTGCCCCTTCCCGATCCCAGTCAGAAATTTGGGGTCCACGCAGGAAACTGCGACAGCAAAAAAGCGTGGCGTCGTTGGTTGTATCACTAGCCAGCTTAACTGACACCGAAGCACGACGTAACGTGCGCGTAACGCGTTAGCCCGTGTTACATGTTTAGTGTACGTCGATTCAGTCCCGGTTGTTGTCCACATGGTCACCCGTAATCGTCGTCATTAGGGGGGACCATGTGTTAGCACCACAGTCTGAACTAGTAAACAGGCGTGAGCCGTATGGAACTCAGATCGCGACCACCAATAATATAATCTACGACCGGCTCAGAACACAAGTCGACTCTGGGCAAAGACCTGATCATTCTGCTCTATCGTGCTCGTATGACACAGTGAAAGCAGAACATTGCGATTACCGCCATGCTGGTGCGCATTCTTATATAAACCTTTCGGATCTTGTTTCAGGATGCAAGAAGTTTTGCATTCTTCATTCGCTAGCGCAAGACTACAAACGAAGAACTCCAGTCTCTAGCGAAGCTCACGAACCTGAATGTCCACACGTTTATCGCAGCGATCGTGGTTCGATATCGATCCTACCGCAAGAGACTGAATGAAATTGCGACGGAACAGCAGAACCATTCACACCGTATTGCCCCCTTGTATAAGTAGAGTAAGGAAGAAAGTTGCAGTGAACTAGAAGCGACGATAGATTGGTACTTTTTCCTTGAACTATGACGGGTCTCGTCGACACGAGACTTCTCGTGATTGTCGTGTCCAAGCCGACTGAATCATGCAGCCGTGTTTCTCAAAGCGTATGCAGTCGGCAACTGTCGAACATCATGCAAAGCAAGGGCAGACTTTTGGACTGGACAAGTCTGCAAACGTCGATGGTCCACAGCAATGTATTCGTTCGGCCTCTTGTCGTCACAGAGAAATTGTCATCCTCCATCCTATCCTGCATTGCATCAAGCACGGCACGAGTATCGAACGGGTCTTTTCGTTGCGAGCATCACCCGAAGCAACGAAGTTTCCAGCTCGTCCGTTAGTTCGTGGACCTTTTGAGTTGGACGCTAGCCGTACCGTCAAGTACACGCGATTCTAAAGTGCTTGAAACTCCCAGCGACAGTCCACCGGTAGTCGAGTCAGGACGATCCAATCGATTCTTCCCATTGAAAACACCTCACCAACGCTAAGCTGTTCACTTTCATCTAGCGGAACCACCGCTTCCTACCACATGCTTTCTATCGCTCAAAATTAAGACCGTCACAGAGATCGAGCGGCCAAGAGAGCCAGTAGTAGTCAACCTTTCCAGATCCAAACTCCATCATCGACCTCTCCTGCCACACAACATTTATGTGGTGCACTCCGTTTTCAATCCCCTTTGGATCATCATCATCCCCCACATCGAGCCCAACCTCTCGTCCGTCATGAGCTCGCAACCTCGCCGCAGTCCCGCTAGTGCTGCCGTGGATGCCCCCGAGAGGTCGCCACTCCTCCCTCCTGGCAGCTTCTCGCTCAACTACAACTCCGACTCGGCCGTCTACGACCGCAAGACCGAAGAGAACGACAGCGACTCGCGTCGCTACTTTCACCCTACCAATACTACCACCACCAACAACAACGGCAGCAGCAGCAGTAATAGCAGTCACAGCAGCTCCAGTCACACCAGCAGTCCCGGCAATGGAAAAAACCTCAGCGAAGAGCTCCTGGACTTTAGTGACTTGGATCGCCAATTGCTCTCGCCCACGAGTTACCGGCAGCAAAACACGGACGCCGCGTTCCGCCCGATCCCACGCACGAGTTGGCGTGGCTTTGGCATTCCCCGCAGGTTGAAACGAGGAGCTCCGAAGCCGCTGCCTGCCCCTGGTACTGTGAGTCACACGACGAGACGGTCCCGTATGAGGACGATTAACAAGCAGCTACGAGCTCCTCCAAGTGGGCCCAAGCTGCGCGTGTCTGCGTACTGTACGTGCGACCAGTTGCAGCTGTTTAAGCTGCTCAAGTGGCTCGAGCGAGTCGAGACGGGGCAATTACCGGGCGGAGAACTACATCCGGATGGATGGACCCACGAGATGTACATGGGTGCAATCCACTCGAGCTGCACGCCAGCACCAGATCTTGTGTCCGTGCTGCCTACATTATCGCTCGTGGAATGCTGTTGTTTTTTTCTTGCAGATAAGCGCAATCTCTGATGCTCACGATGCTGTTGTTGTGGTATCTGTTGTAGACCCTATCAGCAGAAGGATGCCTTCTACTTTGCGTGCGTTAATAATGCCGGTACTTCTATGGCTTGTATGACGTAGTATACTGACACGTGATGTGCTTGTTTGGATGTGGTGTAGCACGGGATGCGCAGTCTTCTGGGGCTTGACAAGAGCAGAAGAACAGGCGCATCTAGTGGCGCTTGGAGCGTTCTCGGTGGGACCAGTAAAACAAGTCGAGGTGGAGGACATGGACTACATGTACGGCGATGCAAGCATCATTTGCAATGACGCGATTACGCTGAGCAGTAACCGCGCATCGGAGAAGCTGGCAGTGTCGTTTGCAATGGCACAGTCATCAAAGCTGGACGTTTTCGAAGAGCGCGTGGAGGAAACGATTCGCGAGACGAAACACGTGCCTCAGAATCTCGCGACTACTGGATCCATCCAGTATTCTCAGGGCGACATCTCAAAACTCATCGGGCGGTTATTCATCGAGGTAAGTAAGGGATGCGCTGCCTGTGTGGATGATATGCATGTGTATATATGCTTACATTGGCGTGGCGTCGTCTATGATACAGCGGAGCGATGTAAATCTAAACTCCGATATGCTGGATGAGCCGGACTTTTTCTGGGAAGACGATGAGTACGAACCATTGTACAAGAAAGTGATGAAGTATCTGAGCGTGGACAACCGTGTCCAGATCCTTAACACACGTTTGGACATCCTTCGTGAACTGTACGTATCTCTGCTTTCCGTAATGTGAATAGCTTGTTGCTTAATCAGGATTGTACATTGGCTTGCTTGACACAGACTCGACGTGCTAAGCCAGCAGCTTGCACACCAACACGACACAAAGTTGGAAATGATCGTAATCTGGCTCATTGTCGCAGAAGTCGCCGTCCAAGTCGTGTGGAATATTCTCATCAAGGACATCCTCGGTTTCTTTCCGCACTCCGACGCGGACTAGACGCCCAGCGTCGCGCGGTGACTTGTCAGCAAACCGCACGACGCTTGCCACGTGGTGACTCGCTACCGTTACGATTGACGACGGACGGTATAGTACCAAAACGCCGGACATCAATTTGGTCATTCCGATGGAAGCAGACGACACCGCCGGGTCGCTGGCATCGTCGCTGCTACTTCTTTGAGTTGTTACGAAGTGTAGCGCACCTTACCAATGTGCGATGATCAGGAAGGCGGAGCAAGTCATTGACCTTGTTATCAGCTGTCACAATCAAGATACGTGATGCCTGTTCCTGTATCTTACTCGAAAACAGGGTGTACCCAGTGACCTCTTTCTACGGACGCCTCTGTTCTTGTACTCGGGCGCCGCTCTAATTTTTTGCAGCACTTTTGGGGTACACTGTAGATTCTGTATCCCTGATCCAAGAACGCCAACTCCTAATTGTCCAGTGGTAAACATATGAGATCGAAATGGGTTCAGCTGGCACTGATTGGCCGATCTAAGACACTCCCTTTCTTCACGTGATCGACCGCTCGACGGCAAAAGGACATGTCGCATCTCACAAGCGCTCGGCGTTGAGCTCCGTCGTGGCGTGTACCACATCATCCCTCTCATACAAGAACGCAGTCATTGCACCACTGGCTAGAATGCGTCGCTCGTTGCGATTGGCTGAAAGCGAGCATATCGTCGTGGCCTTTCAACCGCAAGCGCTTCACCTCGCCGCTGTTGGCCTGACCCTTCACTCTCAAATTTTCAGTCGAGCAGGTAAGTAGCTGCTGATTGGCCAGCAGTTGATCGATTAATGCACCAATTATCGGATGGGATTGTAGTAATAACGTAAATGTACATCTATTGCGCAGGAGATTAACATGGGCAAGGAAAAAGTTCACATTTCACTGGTCGTGATTGGCCACGTCGACGCCGGCAAGTCGACGACCACGGGCCACTTGATCTACAAGTGCGGTGGCATCGACAAGCGTACGATCGAGAAGTTCGAGAAAGAAGCTGCCGAGCTGGGCAAGACGTCGTTCAAGTACGCGTGGGTGCTGGACAACCTGAAGGCCGAGCGTGAACGTGGTATCACGATTGACATTGCGTTGTGGAAGTTCGAGTCGCCCAAGTTCTTCTTTACGGTCATTGACGCCCCTGGTCACCGTGACTTTATTAAGAACATGATCACAGGCACGTCCCAGGCCGATTGCGCCATCTTGGTGGTGGCTTCGGGTGTGGGTGAGTTTGAAGCTGGTATCTCGAAAGAGGGTCAGACGCGTGAGCACGCGCTGCTGGCCTTTACGCTAGGCGTGAAGCAGATGGTGGTGGCAATCAACAAGATGGACGACTCGTCTGTCATGTACGGCCAGGCCCGTTACGAGGAGATCAAGTCGGAGGTGACGACGTACTTGAAGAAGGTGGGCTACAAACCTGCCAAGATTCCGTTCGTGCCCATTTCTGGATGGGAGGGCGACAACATGATTGAGCGCTCGCCCAATATGGCGTGGTATAAGGGACCATACCTCCTTGAGGCGTTGGACAACCTGAACCCGCCCAAGCGTCCGTCGGACAAGCCGCTTCGTCTGCCTCTTCAGGACGTCTACAAGATTGGCGGTATTGGCACGGTACCGGTAGGACGTGTGGAGACTGGTGTGATCAAGCCTGGCATGGTTGCTACGTTTGGCCCTGTGGGTCTGTCGACGGAAGTCAAGTCCGTTGAGATGCACCACGAATCTCTGCCGGAGGCTCTTCCTGGTGACAACGTTGGTTTCAACGTGAAGAACGTGTCGGTGAAGGAGCTGCGTCGTGGTTTTGTTGCTTCGGACTCGAAGAACGACCCTGCTAAGGGTACCCAAGACTTTACTGCCCAGGTGATTGTGTTGAACCACCCTGGTCAAATCGGCAACGGCTACTCGCCGGTGCTTGATTGCCACACGGCGCACGTTGCGTGCAAGTTTAAAGAGATCACGGAGAAGATGGACCGTCGTTCGGGTAAGGTGCTTGAGACAGCTCCCAAGTTTGTGAAGTCGGGCGATGCGTGCATGGTCATCCTTGAGCCGTCGAAGCCTATGACTGTCGAGTCGTTTGCTGAGTACCCGCCTCTGGGCCGTTTTGCCGTGCGTGACATGCGTCAGACCGTTGCTGTGGGTGTCATTAAGTCGGTGAACAAGAAGGAAGCGTCGGCTAAGGGTGGTGCCAAGAAGAAGTAAGAGGTGCAGCTAGATACTTCTTGATGCATGGAGATGGTGTCGTCGTTCAGGAGTAGGAAGGCGTAGTTGTGCTTGCTAAACTGAATGGAAGACGCACTCGTAGATGAAGAAAAAAAAACTAGTCAAGAAAGAGTTTGCTGGCTTCATGCGGACGGACTAACGTCCAAAGACTGGAAAGCCGCGAGGTGAGCACATTCCTCCAGCATTGTGTCAATGGTTCTTTCCATGCGTCAAGCAACCATCTACGTGTTGATAGTTTATGCGACGCAAATCAGGTCACGGATTGCAAGCGAGGGGAGAGATCTATGGACGAAATCCCTCCACTCGATTCGGCGATAGTGACGTATTGGTCGAGTCGAACATAGCGCAAGTACGCATTTCCAGACTTCATCCGCCTCATCGTCTTCCCTGTACCCAAGGAAGTCGCATATCGTCAACACCATCGACCATAGGCCCAACGCTTCCATCACCCGGCGCCAAGTTCCGCACTCGGTCCACGACCTCACGTCAGGGACAAATGGACGTCTCGCCCGAGTTCCTCGCCCGCGTGCAGCAATACGAAGAGATGATGACCAACGTCCCTGGGACCTTTGCCAATGAATCCTTCAAGTCGCGACTGCCCGGACTCGTCCGCGACTGCGTGGCCGACAATCGTGAACGGTTTTCGTCGGACCAGAAGAACCGTTTGCTGCAGCTCGCGGAGGCTATGATCGACGATGCCGGAATCCCACTACCGTCTCAATACTTGGAACAAGTTACCAAGTCGTCAACCAGTGCCCACTGGGAGACCTTGCTGAAGGGCAAAGGCTATACGTGGCAAAACGGTCCATGGTTTTTGGTGGAGCAGTACATGTTCCATCTCGTGCTGCTGCTGGCCGAGTACTACACGACAGGCCTTGATCCGTTCCACCCCTCCAAGGTCGCAGAGCTGAAAGAGGTTACTCCTTGGGTGTTGTTGCAGACCGCAGTGAGTCTGTCAGCTCGGAACGAGGAGGTTCGATCACAAACTCGTTACGGTCAATTGGAGCGATTGATTAAATTGTGTCTATGGGGCAACAAGGCTGACGGGTGCTACAAAGAGGTGAAAGATACGATAACAGCTACGAACGTGTCGTTCGCTTTCGACGACGAGCTGTTGCTTGTGGATCATACAAATGACGTCATGAACTTCCTCGATCAAAAGGCGCGGGAGACTGGCGACGCGAAGAGCGTGAGCGTGCAGTTCATCAACGACAATAGCGGTGCGGAGCTTTTGCTGGATCTCGCACTGGCTGACCACTTGCTCGATCGTGGCTGGTGTGGCAAGGTTACGCTGAATGTGAAAGTTGAACCCATGTACGTGTCGGACGCAACACCTGCTGATGTGCATGAACACATTGCTGAGATGCAGCGTGAGACGCGTACGCCTGAAGTTCAAGCATTGGGTAAGCGTTTGGCTACACACGTCGAGAATGACAAGCTGGTGATCCACTCGGATATTTTCTGGAACCGCTACGCGTACTATTGGGACATGCCCCTGGAGCTGCAGACTCGTTTCGCCCGCGAGGCGACGCTCGTGATCATCAAGGGAGATCTGAATTATCGTCGTCTGCTGGGAGACCGTCTGTGGCCGCCGTCAACGCCCATAGAGGATGCGGTTCCGTACTTTCCAACTGCTTTCGTGTCGTTCCGCACGTTGAAGTCCAACCCCGTGGTGGGCATTCCTGCCGACGTTGTGGCAAAGCTTGAAAAGGAGGACCCAAAGTGGCGATACAATGGAAAGCGCGGTACGATTCAAGGCGTGCTGGGTGCGGATATCGTAGCCGAGAAAGCTACACGTGCAGTTCACGTCGAATGTGACCGTTCTGGCGAATAGGCTTGGTTGGACGTACGCGACCGATACACGGATCAGTGATCGCTCTATTCTTGCTTTACTGCACCGTTGATGAAGGGGTTCAGCCTAAGCGAACTAAAGACATGTCAATGCCTAGCACGTATGTCGTTGCAAATTGCTTACGAGGGATCTTTTAGACAGCGTCATTTTCGCTCCTGGGTTTTTACCGCGTGAAGCATCGGATCAATTGCACCTGCATCACGAAGCTGTCATTTATCACCCGGAAGAAGTGTAGTGTATGCATTAATACATGTCTTGCAGATGATTCTAGCCACGTCAATAGCTCGAGAAGCATGGAAAGCTGTAAAACAAGAAGGACTCACTCGTAAGAGATGGTAACATTTCGTACAATGTGTCGACCTGAGAACTCGTTGAATTTGTTCTACCTGAAGATAAAGCGACGTTTGAGCAGTACATCTTACTCATTGCGAGCACATAATCACTCGTCTAGTACACGATCAGTGGATATGCGATGGTCGAATCATTGAAGACAATAGGCATTTGTCGACCGATGTGTTCATGACTATAGACAAGCCTCCTACTTCCGTTCAACTCGCGCTCTGCTTATTACTGAGCGAAACCGTTCGTGATGGATCACAGTTGTTCAAACAAACCGATACGTGAGCTGGTCTGGTCGATAAGGAGTCGTGATTGCTGGCTCAAGAAACTGCTTGCAAACTGAATATGAAATCATAGATCGATAGAGAAGATGCCAAGGGGTAGAATGCAGACTCCCGTCTCCTGCCTTGTCCTTCTTGATCATGACGCGGTACACAACGAGAACAGAGTGAACGAGAGAGAGAGGGGGGAGGGAGGGAGAGAGGGAGAGAGGGGGGAGTTACGACGACACGATCGCGACTCTGACGTAGACAAGTGGTCGGGGCGAGCGACTTGTGGATCTATTGGCCTGCCCAAGGAGGAGAGAGAGGGGAGGGCGAGTGCGGGTGGGTGGGTGAGTGATGGTCTTTGAGGCGTGCGCAGGGGGTGGGGAAACTGAGCTCTTTGCGCGTGGGCGACCAGTGCGGAATGCGCGCAAAGTCTTTCCGTTTCCCTTTCCGTCAGTCACGACCGTCGAGCAGAATACTCGGAAGGGGTCGGGGCCCTAGCCCTAGCCGTTGCTTGCACATGTTGTCTGAGGCGCACGACCAATCGATCGACGACATTTTGGGCACGCTGAACGCGCAGCGAGCGAGGCGACTAGCTTGGTGTTTGTATGCTGAGTCGTGATGGCTAACGAGCTGGCTCGCAAAGCTGCGACAGTTGGACTTTGGCAACGTGTGCGCACGGGAGTGAGGGCAGACGGAGCCGACTCGTGATTTGCAAACAAGACCACGCAAGATTGCACTATTGCGACAATTAGAGCCAGTGGGGGACAGTCTGGAAAAAAGGGAAAGCGCAAAAAGGGGTTTCCACTGCGGGTAACTTAGGCGACGACAACATTTAGTAATCTCCGTCTTCGTTCTGTGCTTGACGCGGTTCGGAAGAGCATTACCACAAATTCTGCAGCTGCTGTTTCAGTGCTGCCCCCGCCGTCTGTTCGAAGATCTGGCTCCTAAGTAGCTCGTCTGCTGCACCGCTTGCTATCACAATCAGTCGAAGCGAGAGAACTTTTGCTAACACAACAGCGAGGAGGATGACTATCAGTTCTTACATGCTCAATGCATCAAGCACTATGAATGAACAACACTTCACACTTTCGCAGCCTGGAAGCGTTGAGTACTTGCCTATTTACTCTTAGTTCGCCCTTAATCCCTTTTGAGCTAATCACATGCGTGTGTTGTATAGGAGTATGCGACTCACAGACTCTGAGCGGTTGCAGATTGTGACCTACTCCAGGAGTTTCGCGTATCGTTCCTACCTATCACTTCGGAGAGGACATGCTAGATCGCACCTAGCAGGACGTGTACGGCACATCTAGGGTCAATTAGAAACGCTCCCACTGATAGTCGGTCTTGGGAAGTTCAGCGATCACCTTGCGCACAATCTGCGACAACATCGCCCTACGGCCGCACATTCATCATACAAAAAATTGTAGTAGCACGTTTTTGCGGATGTCACCGCTTATGATCAACGAAATAGTGCCAAAACCGCATAGCCTTTACTCCTAAAATGCTGCATGTGAAGCGCAGCCATTTTTGACAGGCCGCGCTCCAGATAGAAGATCACTCACTCATACGCTGTCTGTTGCGAAATAAAGAGACAAGAAGGACTAGCTGAAAGGTGAAAAGATGAGCTACGGAAAAAGTTGCTATTGAAGCATTGAAGACGGTGCACTCACTGCAAGGTACACGTGTGATCATATCTATGAGAGGTTGTTACTGTCGGCTCTGATAGTGAAACAATGCAAGTACGAGATGCCAGTGCACAGCTAGTGGCACGCTAGTTTGGCACACTTTAGGAACAGAAACGATTCTGGTGGTTGGCATGTAATAGTCACACGTCTCGAGCACTAGGTTGTGCTGAGTTGGCAAGACTACGACGGCTCAACTAGTCTCGAGCTCTGCCATCCGTGGCGCGTTATCGAAAAAACGGACCGCAAACAAAAGTACCAATGCGATCAACTCCGCTACCAGGCTGAGGACTGCGTCTTCACATGTAACGTACAGTGTTTGTGCGTGCGCACGTCAAGCGCGGACCTGCTTTCAATAAGTCCGACGACCATCAGCCTCCTGCCCAGATTAGTGTCTAGATTCTAACATTCAAGCCCAGACATGCTAGCTGACGGAGATCCAGTGAGGTATAAAGGACGATATCTTGTGCGAACCCGAATATGTTGCATAACGATCAAGAAATGTACGGTGCTGAGGAAGCTCACGTGTTGCATTGAACATACAGAGGGATTGCAATCGTACTCGCCGGTTGTGGTGGGCATCTGAGCTGCAAAATCGTCGCTCGTTATGTTTGATGTTAAATGCTGCCTTGAACACTGCGTTATAAGGTGTCAGATTGATAGCCCAGCCCATCGAGCAAGCTTAAATACCGCCGCTGCGAATAGAACGGCTGGCGTCATTTTACGACCCTCAGTACCATGGCTCAGAATTTCACACTGGTGGCAAAACAATTTGATGTCGCTAACAGCCACTACTGTGCTTCATTACGCTCATCCATCCTTGATCGTGATCTACGTTTGTTGCACTTTATAGTACATTTGACAGGTCTGCGAAGCCGGACGTCGTCACTACAATCCTCCGAAGAAAGACGAACATCAAGTACAAGCAACCAGTAAGAAAAAACGAAACGCATGATGCAAGACTAGGGTGCGTTGTCGTACATGCAGCATGCAGACACAACCCTCTTGTAAAGAGGATAAAGGTTGCGTGCTAAGCTTGCATTCTACGAGCGAGACGAGTCACGCAATCGTCGCAAGTCACGCTATTGTCGCAACGTTAAGGATGCATCGCCACTGACCCCATAATTAGATCCAGCCGGACGGATAATCAGCGCGTGAAGAAACTGCGTCACGCTTGTTGCGGCTTCCCCTTCGACGGGGTCCAAGAAACTGACGAGTGGGTCATGACTTCGCAAGCGAAAACACGTAGCGTCCATTTTGTTAAATGTCAGCTAAAGAGATAAGGAGATAGATGCCAAACCTTATGGGACAAACAACCCATCGATATACGATCACGATGTCGCGTTTGCTTCGCGTTTTCGCATAAGGTCCCATCGACAGGGGAGACGCAGCCCGTAGGAACAGTTGTGTATTCCGATTTAAATGTACTCATTCTATCCTGATATCCTCGATTAACCGTGTTCAGAGCTCTAGTCCATCGCTACCAAAGTACCGACTATCGTTCATGTTTGCTCTAATGAAGTTTCTTTGTAACATGGAACAAGGCGGAGCAGTTTTTGCGGCTCGTCGAATCCAATGTGTGTGAAGCATGAGATCGAATATCACTGTGGTACTATCTACCATTTCCTATACACGATTGCCGGCAGCGAGACATGAGGAATCGCTTTTACATATGGTGTGGTGACGCGCTTCGCGCACTAATCTGAACACGTGTCTATCGTCCCGACGTACATCAAATTCGCAAATTCCTTTACGCCTGTTTCTTGCCAACATGGTCGGTGGACAGTCGCCATACCAGTTTAGCTGACGCTATCGCCATTCATATCGCACTGTCCACTAACTGGCAGCCAATCCTTCGGGTACATGTGTCTCAACATATCCATAATGATTCCATTGTCCGCAAACTTGAACTGCAGAGTGTGCTGTATCGGTCATGGTCTATGGTCCGTCCGAGAGGATTGGTAGTACACGGACTCAATGACTGTGCAAGGCCCGATTGACGCTTTCTTACTAGCAATGTCGCTCCTATTTTCTGACGCTTCGTACACTCAGCGGGGGACGCGAGTTGAGTTTTAGCAGGTGTCGTAATCCATGCACTGGTAGTGAAAAGATAGGACTAGTTCAGGTGAAGAAGATGATGATAGAAACGTAGTTGTAAACTCGATTAATTCGGATGCCGCTTGCTGCCAAGAAGCTGTCAAGCTTGCGGGCGTAGTACTTCTAAACTGTCGAGCGTTGTTACAGTTGTCGATTACGAGCGCAGTGCGTGGGTAGCCACCACAAGGACTCGTCCTGTCATAAAAGTAGCAGCGTTAAGCGGTTGAACGGCTGACGAATTCTGGACACGCTGCGTGCGACACCGTGCAAGACACAAGGGGCCATAGAATGGGACCCTCGTACGCAAGGGTACAGGAACTGTCGCATCGGCTGGGCAGGGTGGTGTCTATCGAGCCCAGTGTCGTTGGACAATTGTGTCTACAATATGTAAATAATTATGGCACGCATAATTTTAAACGAACACTATGCATGCAACCTGCATGGACACGTGCGCGCGATGTCAGTGCTTCATGATAGACTCGGCTTCTATAGTCACAACCGTAATACTGATGCATCCCATTGGCGGTTCTTGGTTCGTGAAAAGAAGCCGGTGAATGTACAACTGTCATTACGTGCAGGAGTGACTCTCGTTCAGCATCTATGACTTCATTGAACGAAGCCTGGCTTCATGTGACCGTCGATCACTTTATAAAGGCAGTGCCGGACCATTCAAATGTAGCGACAACTACTGTCCATGTCACGACATTTCTCACGGGTTGTGCGTCGGCAAAGACGTGTGCGTGTGCGCTGCCTTTACAAGTATCGAAGCCTTCATGCACCAGTGATACCGATGTACGGTGCGAAGATGCAGACAAGTGTATGTAAAAGCGTTGCAGAATAAGGAAGGTGGACTCTAAAGGCTTTTCCCCAGAAACAGATGCGGGGTACTTGAAGCTGGGGTCTGGTCCCGACATTACCGTCGTCATCACGCACTTGCTGCTGCGGTTCCAGTGATGCAACCGGCGAGGAAAACTGGTCTCGACGGACCCCGACGTCATCACGATGCACTTGCACTGCCGCACGCGTCCTGCTTTTGGTCTCACCGACTGATCAATCAGTTCACACATTATCCAATTTGCGCACCAGGTCCATCATCTCTGAACCAAGCATCCATCCTCCAGTCATGGGCTCCGCATATTCCGTCCTGCCCCTCCTGGTTGTCACCGCGCTCCTCGCTGGAACTCCTTTCGCCGCTCCCCCCGAAGTCCAGCACTTCTCGACACTTGCTGTCTCCAACGCACCGCCCGATACTCCTGTGAGCCTGTCGAAGTCCAATAAGCTCAAGCCGGAAGTCGTAGAAGAACGACTGAACATGGAAAATCTCAAGGCGGGGGTTGGCAGCATGATCAAGAAAGTGTCGTCGTCCTCCGGTCTGGACTCGGAATCAAGACGCATAAAAGATGTCCTTACCCATACTAAATCGGCACGGAAGGCTTTTGACGTGTTACACACGGGGTCCACCCCTTTCGAGGATATTGCTGCACGACTAACAGCCCTAGTTAAGGCCGAGAGCTCTCCTGTCTACGAGAAGGACCTTAAAGCTGCTAAAAAGGCAGTCAGAGCTGCCAAGAGAATCTTTCGTCGTGACATAAAGGTCGTCGAAGGTGCCTTGAAACTCATTTATCAAGACAAAAAGGTCGTCGCCGATCGAATCGAGGCACTAGTGAAGAACCCCCCTCTCGACAGCGCCGCCGTTGGCGACTACGAAAACCTAGTCCCTACCAATGGTCTCCCTCAGAAGATCGTTGATAAATTCGAGGTGAGCAAGCAGGCTCTTGCCCACGCAGAGAGCAAGATTTCTGAGCTCAACAAGAAGATTGTTGACGTCGAGTCGGCTCGTAAAGAATTCGAGCTTGCTGTGTCCAGCTTCTTTGACAATGCTGCGTTCTTGGCTTGGTATAAAAAATATGCCAAACCAGTAGATGAAGACGCTCCACGTGGTAATGCCGTGTACCTGTTTTTGGTTGAACAATTTGGGGACAACCCGTGGGTGGCTGCAGCGGTGATCGATTCGATGCGGCGCAAGTGGGGCACTGCAGGTTCGGTAGCTAAAGAGCTGGAGATCGCGCAGTTTCGCAGTTGGGTTACCTATGACAAGAATTTAAAATTCCACACTGACGGTCTGCCTTTGAAAGGGCGGAGAGATGTTCCTGCTTCGGTTTTCTTGACCGTACAAGATCAATTCGTTGACTTTCAAACTGGACGAAACAGATTTATGAGTGTCTAGAACCATCAGAACCTATGAAGTAGGTTGTGGAAGTTTAAGATCGTTATCTTTGCATCAGTGCATTTAGTTTCTGTACTAATTTGTTTTATCGCATTTGCGCGTCTTCATTCGATTTACTTGGACTCATGATGTCAACATTAGCTCGGCCCTATCATCAAAATACGAGATGCGCTACGTGTTGCTGCTAACCTTATTGCGAGCTCCAACGATGAAGATATCAGTGGCTGTGTGCAACATGAATACATAGCTTTCTAAATCTTTTTTGTGTGTGTGTGTGCGTGTCCGTGTCTGTTTTAATGTAAATGCTGTGATATGTACCTTACACGTCGTATCAAGCGCGATGTTGCCTGTCGACTCCTCATAACATGATACGGGTACCCATAAAAATCGGGTATTGCTAAATACACCCCACTTTTTACTGAATACACCCATACACCACACCTTATACTACACCACACTATGGTTTGTACGACAAACATCGCACCACTATACCTCAGTACGACCATTTTCGCACAACATTCTACATCTGTCGTACAAATGCTTAGTAACTTACCAAGCAAAAGTCCTTTAGCTTGCAATCAAAAACTGAACATCGTTAAGGCAACGGCCTTTGTAAACGATTTGACCGACGACCACGACGTACTTGTCATGCACCCCACTTATTACTAAATACACCCCATACGTCAAACCCACATAGAACCACAATAGGGTTTGTACGAAAAAATATTGCGCCATCATCTCTCTATACTCATTCCACGAAATTCCACACCCGGGGTGCGCCACTTTAAAAGTGACCACGCCACATCAATTTTTGCCACACTTGCTGCCCGCAGCAAACGTATTTTAGTGATTTTATCAGGTCCTCATAATTTTCAATGGTTCAGGCGTCCAGAGCTCACAGGGGAAGTGGGTGCGAGGATTATGTGGAGTTTTGGTGGCAAATTAGAATGTGTAGGTTTTTGAGAGAGGTGACAAAGGTGGTATCGTGGATGACCAGCGAAAACCATCGATGACTTCCGCGATGACTGACAAGATGATTGTTAAGATGGTTGCACCATTAACTTAAATTCGTTGATTGCATCAGTCTAGCCTACCTATCGTCCCTCCAACTAATACACCTCCACTCTACGACCTAAGCTCATCTGCCAGCCACGACCCGGGTCTGTCATTTTAATAAACACAAAATTTGGCCAATCAAGATCGTTGATTACATCGCCTTTTACATAAGACGGAGCAACGAGGATGAGTATGTCATGTACACTATCGTTGTAACGGGGCACCCTGAAGCTTGTACTGGTGACAGTACAAGCTACTTATTCTGATAACAGAATAAGGCGGTGCCTCGTAACTTCACGTACACTCGTACGTGCAGAGGAAGACGGTAAGAAGAAGCGAGTACTCGGTTAGAGTAAAAAGTAGAACTGTATTTATAATAGTTAATGTCTGCAATAAATCACTATTTATCTTCATCTAACTATGTCTAAATACAAATGTGTAAATCAGTTATCTGCTCACCACTCATTGCGTGCGTCTGTCGTGGCGCGTCTTCGTTGGTTGATATAATGGCCTATATCAACCAATTAGGGACTACTTGGAAGTGCTACAGAATATTGTCCTTATGACAATATTCTGAGAATATAACTCTTATAGTTATATTCTATTAACAATTTCTTATAAATTGTTATGTAACGATTCACCCCGTTACATCACCCCCCTTAACCATCAGTCACTTTAGTGACTGATTGACTAAATGGATACTCGTCCCAAATCATTTGGGACGGGGTTTGCACTTGTTGGTCCGCGTCCACTTTCCAACATCTCATCGCATGGTAAACAAGCCCATGCGATGCGCGAGCAAGGCCGCCGAGAGCGCGTCTGCACGTATCTGTGCGGACGCCGAAGCAGAAACTACAGCAACTGATATCCCATCGGTTGCTGAATCGACTCAGCCTGTATCACCTGGTGATGCAGGCGCTGGTCATGAAGACACTCGTGTCTTCACAGAGTACGAGCTCGGTGTCTCGTACTCTCCTGATACGGATGACGGATCCGTATCGACGGCAATTGAATCCAAGCCGCCTGCCAAGCGTGGCATGGACGATGCTTTGCGTCGCAGCATCTTTGGTTCATCTGATGAGTCAGATGAACCATCGCCAACGAAGGCGCTCGAGGTCGCGAGACTCGGGCGCTAATAGTGGTGTCGTTTCTCCAATGGACACCACTTCACAGCGAGGTGCCAGTACTTCTGTCGGCACGTCGCAGGAAGAGCGGGACCGCAATGTGTTGCGTCTCGCTCCAGAAAAGAAGGCATGGATGCCTCCTAAATCTGTCATGGATCACTTGTCGGCGACGACGAGTGATCGTTATCGAACACGATTGTTCGATTCGTCAGAGATTCATCACCTTGACCCCAGCGCGAAAGACTATCGCGCTGAACATGAGTTCTTCATCGATGCTTTCTTCAGACATCGATGGTACAGTGGGAATCACAAACGTGATGGTCCCTCACTACTTCAGGCGTGGAACGCCTACATCCATAATCTCGAGGATGTAGGTCGTGACGCTTGGAACGACAAACTTATCAAAGCTCGTGATAAGTTTGAAAAGCGAACCCCGACAGGTGCACGCTATAAGCTGCATCGTCTGTCAAGGGAGAAAGGATTACCCTGCCTCTCTTGGGGAGACTCGTGCCCATGTTGTGTGAACAACTCTGCACGAGCACCTAAGGAGGCTTACCTCCTTACCAGCCCGTGGTGGCGCGTACGTGTCTCTACTGAGATGTACGAAGGGATTGACAACCTGAAATCCCTTTACGACCGTGCCGGGAAGACTTTCTCCGGCGGTCCTTCTGCGGCACAGGATGTGTCGCGTCGTACTGCTCGACCAGACCCAGTACGTCAACCATCAATTGGGAGCGGGGCTCCCAAGAATCCCAGGACGGGGGATAGCCGCGCCACCGGACGAGGTAACTCGTCCGACGTCCGTTCACGTCGCGGTGGTTCAACAGCTGCTCTACTAGATAGCGCTGGCCACCGCGAGAGTCCTCTAATGGAGGTGGAGGAGGAGGAAAGACGCTCTCCACACGATCATGTGGATCGGTGTGTTCCCGAGAGCTTCTTTGATCGCGTAACGCAAGGGTTACGCGACGATCTCGAGCATGAGCGGAATAGGCGTCTCCAGATGGTGGACACTGCCTCGAAGCATCGAGCTGAGTTTGCCTTTGCTCAGCTTGAGAACGAGAGATCTCTGACATCTCTTCGTGACGAGCTAAGGGTAGCTCGTGGGATTGTTGATCGGTCTCGGGCTGAGATAACTGCTCTTCAGACCCTTGTTGATGCCCACCATCGGGAGCACAAGGCTCTCTGCGAGATGCTTGAGCGCAAGGGCGTTCTTCATCGGAAGAAGCAGCGTACTGATGGTACGGCTTAAGCCGACCAACGTAAAACGTGGGATGCGTTCGCATCTTACGTGGTAACTCGATCGTGTATGCATTGCCTAGGCGGTGCAATACACGAAATGGAGCCAATGTACTTGGGTAGTAGTTTACTGCTACCCAAGTTAGTCACTACATGTTTTGGTAGATTAACCGTAGACAGTAGGACTAAGTCACCTTTATTAAATAAAAGAGTGTTTGCCCTTCCATTCTTGTCAGCGTTTTGCTTTTGCTTATCCACCGCTTCGGCGATGGAGTCTTGCACAAAACGGACTACCGTTTCACGAGCCAGTATGAACTCATCTGATGACTCGTTAGCTTCAGTGTGCTGTGAGCGCACTGCAGCGACAACAACCTTTTCTTCAGTGAGGGCTTCCGCACTCTCACTGGGATCATTGTCTTCAGTGAGGGCTTCCGCACTCTCACTGGCATCATCTTCTTCGATATCGATGTTATCGATATCGGCATCAAACGCAATGACTTCTTCGTCAGAGCGTGATGAGCGTGAACCAAATCGGTTTTTGCTCGCGCGAGTCCCTCCCCCCTTAAACCAGAGTTACACTCTAGTAAGGTGGGTACACGCGGATGGCGCAAGCCATTCACGTAAAACGGTGTATGTGTCGTGGACGCATGCACCGAGTTGTTGATGGCAAACTCTACCATTGGCAAAAACTCACTCCAACTCTTAAAGGAGTGTACGTATCCTCGAAGTATCTCTTCAAGGACACGATTGGCACGTTCCGTCTGACCATCTGACTCTGGATGATCAGATGTTGACATCTTCAAGCGCGTTCCGAGTGATTTGAACACGGAACGCCAGAAATCAGCAGTGAATCGGGGATCTCTGTCTGATACGAGTTCACGGGGCAACCCATGAAGTCGGAAGATGGTGTCAATAAAGACACAAGCACAGCCACTTGCCGTGATTGTCTCTGGTACAGCCACAAGGTGTACCATTTTGCTGAATCTGTCAACAAATACGAGAATACCCGTATTCCCGCGTGCGTCTTTGGGTAACCCGAAGACGAAATCCATTGAGATGGATTCCCAGCACTCAGCCGGAACCGGTAGAGGCTGTAAAGGTGCACGCAGTGAAGGACTTGACTTCACTCGTTGGCAGACTTCGCATGCGCGAACATACTTTCGCACAAACTGATACTGGCGGGGCCAGTAAAAGTCTCGACTTACCGTGAGATATGTTTTCTCTCGGCCACGATGTCCTCCTATAGGAGCATCGTGATACTCGAAACATGATCCGCAAACGCAGATCAGTATCATCTGGAATGACAACACGTGGTGTGTCACCAGAAACGGCTGTATAGTACAGTAAACCGTTACGAGTAGTGTATCGATCTGATGCAGATCGATACGCAGACGACAATCGTTTCAACGATTCTCGAGATGGTTGGGAGAGATGTGACAACAACTTCACTATCTCACCATCTTGGGCGTATGCCCGCCTCACATCATCATACAACGTTGTAGATGGAACTGAGGACGTCATAACCGCAACAGTGACTGTCTCACTGTTGGGTTTCGCGACTGTTTCAAAGTCGGGACGACGTGAGAGTGCATCAGCGACGACATTAAGTCGTCCTGGTTTGTACTCGACCGTAAAGTTGTATTCTGCAAAGAATGACAACCACCGCGCCATTCGTTGTGAAAGGTGCGGGCTGTTCACTGCCGTGCGTAAGGACGCATGGTCAGTGTAAACAACGAAAGGGTCTATCTCCTAATAGATAGACTCTGAACTTCGCGAGTGCATACTTCATGGCAAGGAGTTCCTTGTCATGCACTGGATAGTTCCGCTCAGCTGGTTGCAGCTGACGCGACTGATAGCAGACGACGCGTTCAACGCCTTCAAGGTCGTACTGCATTAATGCACAGCCGATTGCGAAATCGCTGGCATCACAGACCACATGAAATGGCCTGTCCTGATCGGCTATTGCTAGGACTGGGGATTGTATCAAGCTCTGCTTGATACCCTCAAAGGAGCGTTGACATTCAGCGTTCCATAACCACCTCTCGTTCTTTTTCAACAAACGAGAGAGGTGTACAGTCATCTCGGCGTAATTGCGTGAATACTTATGCAAATACGCCGCTAGCCTAAGGAATTTTCGAAGACCTTTGACATCGACCGGCACGGGCCAGTCGGTGATCGCCTTGATCTTTTCGGGATCAGGACGTACACCGTTCTTACCAACGATGCACCCAAGAAGTGGTATTTCGCTTGCTGCAAATATACACTTCTTGAGGTTTGCATACAATTGATGCTTTCGCATGATTGTAAGAACTTGTCGGACGTGGTACTTGTGAACCTCAACGTCCGACTTTCCATCCATAGCTCGACTATGGATGAATACGTCATCGAAATAACTCGGCGCGAATTCTCGTACTGGCCTCAACAGATGTGATATACACCTGTTGAACGTGGCAGGGGCATTACTGAGCCCTTGTGGCATTACTAGCCATTCCCAGAGCATGCCGCTAGGCGTGCTAACTGCGGTATAGGGTATATCCCGTTCCCGCATTAGGATTTGATAGAAGCCATCCATCAAATCCATGGACGAAAAGATGGTACTCTTTGACATACCATCAATGATTACGTCCTTCCTCGGTATCGGCGTCTGAGCCGGTACCGTTGCAGCGTTCAATTTGTTAAACGCGTGCACTATCCGCCACCCTCCTGTTGCTTTTCGCACACAGAAGGTCGGAGAGCTATGTGGGGAAGTTGATTCCCTCCATGGCCCGCTGCTAAACGATCGGCAAAGAACTTGTCGATCGCAAGTACTTGTTCACGAGGCAGTGGCCACTGCTTCATGACACAGTACTTCGAGCCTGGTTTAAGCTCGACTTCGTGTCGAATACCTTTATCCTTCGGTAATTCGCACGGAACAGTTTCAGGGAATACATCCTTGAATTCAACCAAATCTTCATAGAGAGGATTTTCCTTGAGCGATTCCCATGATTGGGACTCATATCGCTCAATTCGTGTCTTTTCATCTAGGACACTCTCGTCCATAGATGAACTACTGAGAACTCTCTCGTTCTCAGTAAACACTGTTGCTGACCTTATGTCGGTTACATACTCGTCGTCAGCGACGAGTATGCAGATCTGCTTGACTTTGCCACTACGCAGATCACGCAAGAACCTTTTATGTTCGAGCGTTGGCAACTGAGTGATCTCCGAAGTTAACTTCGGAGGCGCAATCAGATCAAGTGTATAAGCGCCTACACATGATCCGTTATTGACTATGACATTCAATGTCTCTGTCATTTCCTGGGGACTTATTCCCTCAGGCTTCGAAGGACTTATTCCTTCGTCTTCCCGGGGACTTATTCCCGCGGGTTTCGGGGAACTTATTTCCGCCGTATTTGTAATCTTGGGACTTATTCCCTTTACTTCCTCTAGCTGGGGTTGCGCAACCACAGCGAGATCCTCTACGAAAGACTCTCCAGTCGATCTAGGATTATCGTTTCGCTTAACCTGAGCGATCGATTGTTTCTCTTCTAGATGTTCCCCTCTAGGGATACATCTTTGTCCCAGTCCACCCGACTTATTCGAGTGGTGGACCTTCGGCGCAGCCTGTGTTTCCTCACAGCCGCCGGAACTTTGCTCCGAAGTGTAACCGTTTGGTACACTAAGGTTTTGTGCAGTCGTACTAACGACCGTACCACAAGTGAGGCCATCGCACTCACTCGTAGTACATCCACACGCTTGTGGACGCTCCAAAACGTTCATCAGATGGCCATCTGATGAACAAGCGGCAGGCATCGTTACTGTCCGATGTTGCCAGTTTACCCGTGGTTCGTACCTTCTGAGCCACGGTATTCCAAGGATGACATCAAATTTGTCATCCAAATCCAATACGATAAAGTCATCGTCGTATTGGGTATCTTCTAGCGTATAGTGAATCTTCACTATGCGCTTCATGACGGTTACGGATGCGCCTGTCGCAAGACGTACCGTCATCCTCGTAGGAGGTGTGTCACATTCACTGAATTTAAAGTGACCATCTTCTAGCGATTGGCGTCGCACAAAATTGTTGGACGCCCCACAATCGACTAGAGCTCGAAGGGACAACTTATTCGTCACTTCGAGTTTCAAGGTAATGAGTGAGATCTCATTACCTAGAGCAGCAACGCACAATGTCTGTGTGTTGGGAGCAACCTTCATCAAGAGGCCTACAAATTCTCTTGACGTTGCTGGATCAGTAGGGTGCTCCGCACCTACTGATCCTGTCCGTTTTTTGACGGTCCATCCCGTTGTTGCGTCTTTGCACCAACTGCGGACCCTCGTCCCTGCCCCTTTCTCATGGGTGGACGGTCACTACGCCCAGTGTCGCGAGACACTGGACGAGGGGCACTACACTCGTAAGCGTAGTGTCCTGTCTTTTGACATCTGTTGCATCTCTGCAACTTCTTGTAGCCTGTAGAGCGAGCCTTCTCGCTCTCTACATAGCAGAGTTCCATCGGCTCTGGACCTCCGTTGTCATATCGTCTCGGTTGACGATATGATGTCGAGCTGGCGCGAGCCTGTCTCAGACTGAAGTCTTCCTGCTCCGCAATGGAAATGGCTTGTTCTAGTGAATCTAGTTCAAGCCGGAACAGGTGAGTCTTGACGGGACCATCCGCAAGACCCTGCATGAACACCGAAACCAACGTGTGTTCATCCACCGGATTGGAACTTATACAACTCGTGAGATGTCGTATATGTTGAGCGTAAGCGTGCACATCACGCTTACCCTGCTTGAGCTTCAAGAGTTCGGTTCGAGCTCTGAACTCAGCTCTAGGCGGTTCAAACGTTTGTCTGAGCCGCGACTTGAAGACTTCCAACGACCCAAACGCATATGGGTCGTGCAGCTTGAGCCCCAGTGCCCAAGTCTTGGCACGTCCTGCCAGATTTGACTGGGCAAATGCAACTTGCATATCCCCGTCGTCGATGCGACGCGCCCTTATGGCGTCATCCAATTCGACGAACCATCTCAAGAGGGAG